TGAAAATTCTCATAAGGGTCTCATGGCACGTTTGAAAATTCTCATAAGGATCTCATGGCACGTTTGAAAATTCTCATAAGGGTCTCATGGCACGTTTGAAAATTCTCATAAGGGTCTCATGGCACGTTTGAAAATTCTCATAAGGGTCTCATGGCACGTTTGAAAATTCTCATAAGGGTCTCATGGCACGTTTGAAAATTCTCATAAGGGTCTCATGGCACGTTGTTTGAAAATTCTCAAAAGAGTCTCATGGCACGTTGTTTGAAAAATCTCAAAAGAGTCTCATGGCACGTTTGAAAATTCTCATAAGGGTCTCATGGCACGTTGTTTGAAAATTCTCAAAAGAGTCTCATGGCACGTTGTTTGAAAATTCTCAAAAGAGTCTCATGGCACGTTTGAAAATTCTCATAAGGGTCTCATGGCACGTTTGAAAATTCTCATAAGGGTCTCATGGCACGTTTGAAAATTCTCATAAGGGTCTCATGGCACGTTTGAAAATTCTCATAAGGGTCTCATGGCACGTTGTTTGAAAATTCTCAAAAGAGTCTCATGGCACGTTGTTTGAAAATTCTCAAAAGAGTCTCATGGCACGTTTGAAAATTCTCATAAGGGTCTCATGGCACGTTTGAAAATTCTCATAAGGGTCTCATGGCACGTTTGAAAATTCTCAAAAGAGTCTCATGGCACGTTGTTTGAAAATTCTCAAAAGAGTCTCATGGCACGTTTGAAAATTCTCATAAGGGTCTCATGGCACGTTGTTTGAAAATTCTCAAAAGAGTCTCATGGCACGTTGTTTGAAAATTCTCAAAAGAGTCTAATGGCACGTTTGAAAATTCTCATAAGGGTCTCATGGCACGTTTGAAAATTCTCATAAGGGTCTCATGGCACGTTTGAAAATTCTCATAAGGGTCTCATGGCACGTTTGAAAATTCTCATAAGGGTCTCATGGCACGTTTGAAAATTCTCATAAGGGTCTCATGGCACGTTGTTTGAAAATTCTCAAAAGAGTCTCATGGCACGTTGTTTGAAAATTCTCAAAAGAGTCTCATGGCACGTTTGAAAATTCTCATAAGGGTCTCATGGCACGTTTGAAAATTCTCATAAGGGTCTCATGGCACGTTTGAAAATTCTCATAAGGGTCTCATGGCACGTTTGAAAATTCTCATAAGGGTCTCATGGCACGTTTGAAAATTCTCAAAAGGGTCTCATGGCACGTTTGAAAATTCTCATAAGGGTCTCATGGCACGTTTGAAAATTCTCATAAGGGTCTCATGGCACGTTTGAAAATTCTCATAAGGGTCTCATGGCACGTTGTTTGAAAATTCTCAAAAGAGTCTCATGGCACGTTGTTTGAAAATTCTCAAAAGAGTCTTATGGCACGTTTGAAAATTCTCATAAGGGTCTCATGGCACGTTTGAAAATTCTCATAAGGATCTCATGGCACGTTTGAAAATTCTCATAAGGGTCTCATGGCACGTTTGAAAATTCTCATAAGGGTCTCATGGCACGTTTGAAAATTCTCATAAGGGTCTCATGGCACGTTTGAAAATTCTCATAAGGGTCTCATGGCACGTTGTTTGAAAATTCTCAAAAGAGTCTCATGGCACGTTGTTTGAAAATTCTCAAAAGAGTCTCATGGCACGTTTGAAAATTCTCATAAGGGTCTCATGGCACGTTGTTTGAAAATTCTCAAAAGAGTCTCATGGCACGTTGTTTGAAAATTCTCAAAAGAGTCTCATGGCACGTTTGAAAATTCTCATAAGGGTCTCATGGCACGTTTGAAAATTCTCATAAGGGTCTCATGGCACGTTTGAAAATTCTCATAAGGGTCTCATGGCACGTTTGAAAATTCTCATAAGGGTCTCATGGCACGTTTGAAAATTCTCATAAGGGTCTCATGGCACGTTTGAAAATTCTCATAAGGGTCTCATGGCACGTTGTTTGAAAATTCTCAAAAGAGTCTCATGGCACGTTGTTTGAAAATTCTCAAAAGAGTCTCATGGCACGTTTGAAAATTCTCATAAGGGTCTCATGGCACGTTTGAAAATTCTCATAAGGGTCTCATGGCACGTTTGAAAATTCTCATAAGGGTCTCATGGCACGTTGTTTGAAAATTCTCAAAAGAGTCTCATGGCACGTTGTTTGAAAATTCTCAAAAGAGTCTCATGGCACGTTTGAAAATTCTCATAAGGGTCTCATGGCACGTTTGAAAATTCTCTTAAGGGTCTCATGGCACGTTCGAAAATTCTCATAAGGGTCTCATGGCACGTTGTTTGAAAATTCTCAAAAGAGTCTCATGGCACGTTGTTTGAAAATTCTCAAAAGAGTCTCATGGCACGTTTGAAAATTCTCATAAGGGTCTCATGGCACGTTTGAAAATTCTCATAAGGATCTCATGGCACGTTTGAAAATTCTCATAAGGGTCTCATGGCACGTTTGAAAATTCTCATAAGGGTCTCATGGCACGTTTGAAAATTCTCATAAGGGTCTCATGGCACGTTTGAAAATTCTCATAAGGGTCTCATGGCACGTTTGAAAATTCTCATAAGGGTCTCATGGCACGTTGTTTGAAAATTCTCAAAAGAGTCTCATGGCACGTTGTTTGAAAAATCTCAAAAGAGTCTCATGGCACGTTTGAAAATTCTCATAAGGGTCTCATGGCACGTTGTTTGAAAATTCTCAAAAGAGTCTCATGGCACGTTGTTTGAAAATTCTCAAAAGAGTCTCATGGCACGTTTGAAAATTCTCATAAGGGTCTCATGGCACGTTTGAAAATTCTCATAAGGGTCTCATGGCACGTTTGAAAATTCTCATAAGGGTCTCATGGCACGTTTGAAAATTCTCATAAGGGTCTCATGGCACGTTGTTTGAAAATTCTCAAAAGAGTCTCATGGCACGTTGTTTGAAAATTCTCAAAAGAGTCTCATGGCACGTTTGAAAATTCTCATAAGGGTCTCATGGCACGTTTGAAAATTCTCATAAGGGTCTCATGGCACGTTTGAAAATTCTCAAAAGAGTCTCATGGCACGTTGTTTGAAAATTCTCAAAAGAGTCTCATGGCACGTTTGAAAATTCTCATAAGGGTCTCATGGCACGTTTGAAAATTCTCATAAGGGTCTCATGGCACGTTTGAAAATTCTCATAAGGGTCTCATGGCACGTTGTTTGAAAATTCTCAAAAGAGTCTCATGGCACGTTGTTTGAAAATTCTCAAAAGAGTCTCATGGCACGTTTGAAAATTCTCATAAGGGTCTCATGGCACGTTTGAAAATTCTCATAAGGATCTCATGGCACGTTTGAAAATTCTCATAAGGGTCTCATGGCACGTTTGAAAATTCTCATAAGGGTCTCATGGCACGTTTGAAAATTCTCATAAGGGTCTCATGGCACGTTTGAAAATTCTCATAAGGGTCTCATGGCACGTTTGAAAATTCTCATAAGGGTCTCATGGCACGTTGTTTGAAAATTCTCAAAAGAGTCTCATGGCACGTTGGGATGCGTGAAGCAGCTTGGTGGGCAGGAATATGCCTGCAGTACTGCCGGCAGCACCTTGGGATGCGTGAAGCAGCTTGGTGGGCAGGAATATGCCTGCAGTACTGCCGGCAGCACCTTGGGATGCGTGAAGCAGCTTGGTGGGCAGGAATATGCCTGCAGTACTGCCGGCAGCACCTTGGGATGCGTGAAGCAGCTTGGTGGGCAGGAATATGCCTGCAGTACTGCCACTGACCTTGGACTGGGGCGGTCGGTGTGTTTCGCAACAGCCTCTGCTGCACCACGGTGAGAGTAGCATCGTGGTACCGCAGGAGGAGAAGCATTTTAGGCATTTTAGGAGTGAAGCCCTGGTCCCTCCCTGGGGATTCTCTCTAGCTCCACCAACTCCTTCCCATCCACCACCCCCTTCCCATCCACCACCCCCTTGTTGAGCCTTTACAAGAACGCATTCAAACCAACCAAACCCCCTGACCTTGGATTGCGGGGGCGTCACTCGCAGCAGGCGTTGCACCACATTCAGCGCAGCGTTGCGGTACGGCAGCAGGACGAGAACTTTAGGGCGAGTGAAGCCCTGGTCCCTGGGGATACTTTCCACCTCCACCAACTCCTTCCCATCTACCTCCACCCCGCCTGGCCCTTTCCTCCCTCTCGTCCCCCCATTTCCCCCCTTTTTGAAAAGCACACTCTCTGTCCCTTCTTCCTCCATCTCCTCAACCTTCTCATCTTCCTCTGCCTGTTCCCCCTCCCGCGCCTCCTCCCCTTCCTTCGCCTGCTCTCTCTCCTCCGCCTCCTTCCCCTTCTCTCCTTTCCCCTCCACTTTTTCCCCTGTTTCTGAGCTTGCAGTAGCTGCAGCTGCTACACTACCCGCTTGACTCCTCCCCTTCTCCGCACCACCTTTATTCCTCTTCTTCCCTTTAGCCCCAGCGGCAGCATCAGCTGCAGCGACAGCAGCAGCAGAGGCGCGGCTGAGCTTGTCGTTGTTCTTGGTGATGCGGTCCCGCGTGTGAAAGACGTGGTTTAGCTGGGGGGAGGAGAGGGGTGGGAGAGTGAGCGGGGAAGAGGACGGGATGAGAGGGGGATCATGAGGAGAGAATTGACACAGAGGCTCAGTTGAGTTTGCCGCTCTTGGCGATGAGGACATGCGTGTGAAAAAGGTGGTTGAGGTGGAAAGAGGTGGGGGGAAGAAGAGATGGGGGAGGGAGGAGGTGAGAGGACAGGCAGGAAGGAAGTTACAGACCGGATGTGAAAAGCAGTTCAGCTATGTATGTGTGTGTGTGTGTGTGTGTGTGTGTGTGTGTGTGTGAGTGAGTGAGTGAGTGCGTGTATGTGTGTGTGTGAGAGAGTGAGTGCGTGTGTGTGTGTGTATGTGGCTAAGGGACAGTTGAGAGAAGGTGCAAGCAGGTGAGTTAGCGCACACACACACAGTATCGTGTGCAGCAGGAAGGAGGCGTCAGTGAGGGCCTGTGCGTCCAGAAGCGAGGCAAACTTGGAGTGAGCTTGCAGCAGAAGTTAAGAGCAGGTGAGCACAGGCAAGCAGGCAAGGGCGCGTACCGCATGCAGCAGGTAGGCGTCAGTGAGGGCCTGAGCGTCCAGAGGCGAGCCGAACTTGGACTGGGCGCATGGACGGCGCGAATGCAGCACATCCGTGTATGACGTGCCTGGGGGAGAGGGGGAAGGGGGGTGAAGGAGGGGGAGGGAGGGGAAAGATGGGAAGTGGAGGGTGGCGGGAGGGGGGGGTTGGGGAAAGAAAATTCGGGGAGGGGGGAGGGAGGGACTACCCTTCAGGAACCTCAGAACCATGCGATTTTGTGTGATGCCTGGGGGATGGTGGGAAGAGACATTCTTGGCAGAAAGGATATGGGCAGAAAGGATATGGGCAGAGAGGATATGGGCAGAGAGGATATGGGCAGAGAGGATATGGGCAGAAAGGATATGGGCAGAGAGGATATGGGCAGAGAGGATATGGGTAGAGAGGATATGGGCAGAGAGGATATGGGCAGAGAGGATATGGGCAGAGAGGATATGGGCAGAGAGGATATGGGCAGAGAGGATATGGGCAGAGAGGATATGGGCAGAGAGGATATGGGCAGAGAGGATATGGGCAGAGAGGATACGGGCAGAGAGGATATGGGCAGAGAGGATAAGGGCAGAGAGGATATGGGCAGAGAGGATATGGGATGAGATGGGAGGTGGGGATGGGTAAGCAGAACATGGCGCAGCGAGAGAGACTCACAGAGGGAGAAGAACTGGCGCTGATGGTCGCTCGCAAACCCATCACTGCTCGCTCCCAAGGCTGTTTCCTCTGGCGATGACACAGCTGCTGCTGCAAGAGCCGTCTTCCCCCTCTTCCGCTTCCCACCCCCCTCATCACCACCATTCACGCTGCTCTTGCTGCCTTTCGCAGTCTGACTACCGCTGCTGCTGCTGTCTCCGCCCCCCTGCTTCACTCCCAGCAGCGGTTCATAATCCTCCTCCACCACTCTCCCCCAATGCTCCTTCAACCGCCCCTTGTACCCCTCCCACGCATCCACCTCCTCCTCCTTCTCCTCCTCCTCCTGCTCCTTGTCCTTTGCTTTACTCTTCGCCTTATCCTTACCCTTGGCCGTGCCTTTTTCTTCATCCTTATCCTTATCCTTTTCTTTGTCCTTATCTGCAGCAGCAGCCGTCCAAGGCAGTGCATGGTCAGCCACCCACTTGCCGCCCGGGACACCCATTGCCGGCCATTCATACGAAAACTTGAGTGGCTTGCCGCCCCCTGCACCGCCCAAGCCACCGGACCTGCCAGCGCCACTGCCACTGCCCTTCCCTTTCCTTCCTACAGCAGCAGCAGCCGTAGCAGCAACAGCAGCAGCAGCAGTTGCAGCAGCGGCGTCGGCAGAACCTCCCAGCGAGAGGAGCTCCTGTGGCGTGAGCATGTGATCCATGCGCTGGGCGAATGGGCTGGGGGTGGGGGAGAGGGGGAGAGTGGGGAGTAGGAGAGGGCCGAGTGGGAGGGAAGGTACAATCTGAACGTCTTGCCGCTGCCCCATGCATCACCCAAGCCACTACACCTCCCAGCGAGAGGAGCTCCTGTGGAGTGAGCATGTGATCCATGCGCTGGGCGAAGGGGCTGGGGCGAGTGGGAGAGGGGCAGTCAGGGGAAGGGGGAGAGTGAGACGATTTGAACGCCTTGCAGCTCCATGCACCACCCTATTCAAGTTTACTTTTGAGTCGACTCAAAAGTCACTGGGCCTCCCAGCGAGAGGAGCTCCTGTGGCGTGAGCATGTGCTCCATGCGCTGGGCGAATGGGCTGGGGAAGAGTGGGAGAACGAGAGAAACAGGAAGGGAAGCACACGAGGGGCGAAGGAGAGTGGAGGGGTGGGATGGGCTGAGAAATGGCAAGGAAAGCAATCGGAGGTGTAAAGCAAGAGGGTGGGCGTGACACGAAGTGCGAACGTGGGGAATGTTGAATGCGAGAGGAATGGAACGCTGGGTTGTTAAGTTCTGCTTACTCCTGTCTGGCTGGAGCAGCAGCATTACCATCCCCACCTCTAGTTTCCTCCTCCTCCTCATCCACTCCCTCCTCCTCTTCACTTTCCTCTTGTTCCCCTTCCTCCTCATCATCACCACTACTATCCTCCGCTTTTACTCTAGCAGCAACAACAGACCCTCCCACATCCCCCTCCTCATCCTCATCCGCATCCCCTTTTTCCCCTTCTGCTTCTGGATCTGACTCGCCTGCCTCGTTAGTCTCCTCCTCCTCTTCACTCGCCTCCTCCCCTTCCTCCTCATCTTCTTCCTCTTCCTCCTCCTCCTCCTCCTCGCTCTCTATCCCCAATGCGTCCCTCTCCCTGCAATCAATCCCACTCGCCACACAACGCACAAGGTGGTCATACAGAATCCAGATGCTTGCATGAATTGCATGAGTGCATGCACAAAACACACGTGAGAGCAATAAGCACATGCAAAACGGTCACATTGAAATGACGAGCATCATTCGCGCTGCTGCAAGAGCCTCAAAAGCCACGCGTCGCACGCATCGCCCGCATTATAGTCATCTCTCCCTACCTCTGAGAGTAGACCTGTGAGAGCGCGCCACGTGTACTCTTTCCCATGCGAACTGTTCTTCCAACCGCCTCCTTCTGTTCTTCCTGGATTTCAAGTCAAATGCGACCTAACATACGCCTTGCAGACGCAAATAATACGCAGTTTCGGTCCAATAACTCTAAAAAATGAGCCGTTAGATTCAGGCCGATAAGCTCGAGGTGACAGGTGAAGAACAAGGCTTATTGAAGCTCGGGTTCAGGGGGCAGGGTTTCTGTTCTTGTCCGCTGTACGAGCTGTTGAACCACTGCCGCATGACAGTCGGATTTTAGTACACCAGTTGCAGAAATGCTAACGTGGACGATAGAGCAGCACTGAAGCATGTAGGTTGGGAATGTGACTATAATTTTAGTAATTTCTTACAGCTCCTCTTCGAATTTGAACCAAATTTTGTACTTGAATTAATAACATTATCAGATGAAACGTATGCAAAATATTACTATTGAGAATAAGGCTCAAGCCCTTATATTCCATGAAATGAATTGGTTTGGTTGGCTACACCAGCCAGCCCGTTTCAAGGAAACTGCATTTTTTTTCTAAAAGCAGACGGATTCAGCTGGTCCACCATCTCTCCCTCATCAAGCCCAGAGCATGTGTGCGTGCTTGACGCAGATTGGCTGAAGTATCGGCAGTCCCGTTGCTGTGCGATGCCTTCGCGAACGCTGGTTCACGGCTCTCGCTGTGTAACATCCACAGTAACATGCAGCGGTGTCAGCAGCACCACTCAGGCAAATTGGCGCCAAAGAATCAGGGCGCCTCAGGAACGCGCGAATCAGAACCAGCAGCACACGCTTCGAGAGTGTCTCCGCCGAGGTTGCCTTATCCGTTCTTCCCGCCAAATCCCTCCGATTCGGCTCGACGCAGTTTCAACGGCTAGGAGTGCAGCTCAGGCTAGGGGTTGTGCACGTCAACCCCTTCCTGGAAGTCTCCAGCAGATCTCAATCTCAAGGGGCCTGTATAATAAAGTGAAAACTGATGTTAATCAGTCCAGAGCACTCCCAGAAGCCTCTCGTGGGACATGGGGTGCTGCTCTGTCTCGAGATTCATGTGGTATACTTTCTAGCGTTATCTGGTTCCTACCTAGCAGCTTCCGATCTCACGTGCATATCTGACGCTTTCTGGTTTCTTACCAAGCGAGGTGTCAGCATATCGAGCTAGCTACAGCACTCCTTGCATGGACCCGCATGCGGAAACGAGTGGCATAGAGGTCGAAACAGCTAAGTTGGAATCCACATCGTTAGCCGGAGATAGACGTAGTGACCTCATCAGTAGGACCAAAGGAATTGGCAGATTTGGCACGCCTAGGACAGTGAGTCGGTTTGAGTTACATGGCAACACCGTTCCTGAATCGCGTCTTCCTGTTAGCTGCTCGAAGGCAGTCGGTGACGCATCCCTTCATGAGCATAATGAGCCTGGTAGCTGCAGCTGTCTTAACAGCTGTAGCAACAGCAGCAGCGGCGTTTCTCTAAAGAGCTTAAGACCTCTGCTGGAGCTTCTGATAAAGCAGAAAGAGGAATCAGCAGCACCTTCCACAACAGTCACCACCAGAGGCATTGGACGATTCGGCAAACCTAATCATGTGACGTCCATGAAGTCACTCCGTGCCAACAGACCCTTGTGTTTTAAGCCTCCTCAACCCTCAGTGCGGATTGACAGCACGAAACGTCTCACTGCAGACCATTGCAACAGCATTGTGCTGAAGAGCGTAAGGCCGTTGCTTGAGAACCTGTCAAGACAGCCCCACACCTCTCCCTCCTTCACCAGTTCTGCTGCTGGCCAGAGTGTTAGGCTGGGGGATGTGAAGCCGGGAGGAATAGGCCGCTTTAGAGGGCAAGTCGCTGCATTTGAGGTCACTGCCACTGCATCTTCTCACATCTCAGCGTCTGCTGCACCTTCCGTGGTACCGTCTCCTGCAGTTGTGGTTGTGCCGCCGGCAGCTGCAGCAGCAGAGCCAGATCCAAGTGCTGCTGCTGCCATGCTGGAGTCAACAGGTGCTGAATCTGAGCGTCCGCTGCTGCAGTCTCAGGTCAAGGTGGCCAGGAACGACTGCACTAGTGGCAAGGATGGAGTGCCTGCCAGCAACACACGCAGCATCTCTGGCAGCAAACCTATCAGCAGCAGTAGCAGCAGCAGCAAGGAACGGGTGCTCCTTCTAAGGACGATCAGGTCCATTGTACATGATTTAGTGCGGGAGAGGACAGATCCTGCCAATCATATGGCCGACAGCCACAGGTCCACCAGGCGTCGTCTGAAGGAAACCCTGTTGCAACTGGCCTTGCAACGAGTGAAAGCCAGCCATTCTTGTGAGGTCGGGGGGACAGAGGTCGGACAGTGTGGAGGGGGGGTGCGGGCAAGGGTACCACAGCAAGTAGGTTTTGAGAAGTCTCATAAGTGATTTTCATGAGGTCGGACAATGTGGAGGAGGGGTGGGGGCAAGGGTACCACAGCAAGTAGGTTGCAGGCAGGTTGAGGTCATGGAGCCAGATGGGAGGGACGCAGCAGAGGGAAGAGGGGAGTGGCAGGTGGACACAGAGATTATTCAGTGGTGGAGGTTGGTTGGAGGGCGAGCGGAGGGTTGAGGGTGAGTGGGGGGCGGTTGAGAACAAATAATTTTCCAAGGAAAGAAGAACCTTTGCAAGAGAAGGACCCTTGCAAGGAAAGAACCCTTAAAACCAGCCTGCAGGTTTGTTAGTCGACTCAAGAAGCAACCTGCAGGTCGGATCCGGAGTTGAGGATAAGGATGCGACTGTTGTTGATGGCCATGCTGATGTCACCCTCCGGTACTGCTGCTTGCACCTGCTCATGCCATGCCATGCCACGCAACGCAACGATGCCATGGCATGGTGGAAGCTAGCATGTAAGCATCCCATATCAGCATTAGTGTGGATCAAGCATGTGCTTGAGGCAAGCAATCGAAGCAAAAATGGTGCAGTAGATACACTGCCTTTCGGCGTCTAGGTAGCCAGTTGTAAATACACTTCGCTATTTCAGAAAGGTTGTAGTGGCTGCATATGTTTGTCATACCGGTACCATCAGTTCTGAATAACAACCTACTGCTGCATGGGTTCCACACCTATGCTATAGATGGTACAGTATGGCACACTGTCTAGCTGTTGAGCCCTCGATTGATGGATGCCCTGCATTCCAGAACACCATCTTCAACAATAAACATGGAAGTCAGTCAGGTCAATTTTTAATCCTCATCTCTGGAATTATCTTCACCAATAAACATGGGAGTCAGGCTTCCACGGCTTGAAGTCATTCGTATGTCCAGCAGTCCAGTTCAGCCTCTCATCCCCGGGCTTTAAATACGTGGACGGCGGGTGAGGAAGCTTTCTCGCAAGCCCATTCAGCACCTGGTGAAACACATCCCCTTCTTGGGGCTGCGGGTGCCCCAGCACCACCGCCTGCCTGATCGCATGCGACGCCAGCCGCTGCTGCATCGCGAGCACTCTCCTCGGCCCAATCCCAGCCAGAATCTCGTCCAGCTTCGGCACGTCTTTCTCCGGGACGAAAACGGCGATTTCCCGCCACGGGATGACGTCAGAGAAGGGGAGCACGATGTTGTCAGCAACAATGACGGGGATGCAGCCGAAGAAGACGGACTCGACGAGGCGCGGCGACCAGGGCGCCCAGCCAAGCGGGCAGAGGCAGAAGAGCGAGCGCTGCATGTCCTCGTAGTACGAGGCTGGGTGTTCTGCTGAAATGTCAAATAGCGGGTTGCTCTTGAAGTTCTCCCACATGGATGCACGTGCACCCCTGCAGGAGAGGAGGCACGGGGGAAGGGAGGGGGTGCGGAAGAGGAAAAAAGAGCGGTGGGATGCGGTAATGAGGTCACACATAAAACAGTGCTCCGCTGACAAGTCAACAGCGGGTTGCTCTTGAAGTTCTCCTGCTCCGATGTACGCACGCCCCTGCAGGAGAGCAGATGCGTAAGGGGGGGGGGGGGGGAAGGGGGAGGCTATCATGCTGTCGGGCACGTGGCAACACTCGGTACCTCCACAAGCTCAGGTCATCTGAGAGCATGACTCACCTGGCGTCGTGCCCAGATGGTGTAGTGACTCTACTTCCTCTGCGGGTCGTTGTTGCGGTCCTAGAACAGTCCCAGGAAGTACACTAAGATGGAACGCGGGGTGGTGTCAGCACCGTGCAAGTGGCATGTTATGAACACACTCCTGACCTCCACAAGCTCAGAGCACCTCAGAGCAGCTCCGGGCACAGCTCACCTGGCATGATTTGGGTTCACCTGCCGTGCAGTGAGCCTCACCTGGCATAGTACCCCCCCTGCGGATCGTTGTTGCGGTCGTAGAACAGCCCGCGGAAATACACAAAGATGGACCGCGGCGTGTCAGGGGGGATGCGGCGGCGGTGCATGTGGCCCGTGGGGGCGAAGGGAGGCACCACGATGCTACCAGGCTTGTGGCACACATGGTGCGACTGCCCAAACGTCTGCACCAGGGTGGCTCGCTTTAGGAGGGGCATGATGCCGCGGGTGATAGCTTTTTCTTCCTGGAAATCGGGTATTGGGATGTGAAGTGAAAGCACAAGGGAAGGAGAGTGAGTCGCTTGTGGCACACGTGGTGCGACTGCCCAAACGTCTGCACCAGGGTTGCTCGCTTTAGCAGAGGCATGATGCCACGGGTGGCCTTTTCTTCCTGAGAATTGGGGGTTGGGATGTAAAGGGTGGGAGGAAGGAGAGAGGGAGGGAGAGTGAGTGGGTTGTGGCACACGTGGTGCGACTCCCTAAACGTCTGCACCAGGGTGGCTCGCGGCACACGTGATAAACCTTGTCCCTGTGCTGTATAAGCCCGCCTATCACGCTAGTAGAACTACGCGGTATGTGCTCTCCCCTTGCCCTCGCTCTCTGATCTCTGCTCTGCTCTCTGCTATGCTCTGCTCTCTGCTATGCTCTGCTCTCTGCTATGCTCTGCTCTCTGCTATGCTCTGCTCTCTGCTATGCTCTGCTCTCTGCTATACTCTGCTCTCTGCTCCCTGCTCCTTGATCCCTGATCCCTCTTCCCTTTTCCCTGTTCCCAGCTCTCTGCTCCCTGCTCCTTCTCCCTGCTTCCTGCACTCATTCGCTACAGTCACACTCACCTCGTAATGAAAGCACGCGCCGAAATCGTGCGGCGTGATGAAGAAGTGATCCGCGCCGTCCGTTCGGTTCCAGTACGGCCACCTCTCCGACACCAGCGTGATCGCCGCGCGAATCATGCGCGGCGACCGGAACGGCAGCGGCAATCCCGAGGCTGTCAGGTCGCACGTGGGGTAAACGGGCATGTAGAACCAGTCCGCCTCGTCCGGGTTCGTCGTACGTACGGGGCTGTTCAAGATGTAACGGTGGAACAGCACCTCTAACGCGAACATGTGCGTCAGGCAGCGGGGTTGCTTCTTGATGTAATTGTAGTTGAAATCGCGCGGTAAATCGTAGACGTAGATCTTGAGTCGTCCCACGGGATTGCCGACCAGCTCCTCCTGCTGGTGCCGCTGCTGCGAACTCAGACTCGCGTCATTGTCGCCGTCATTGCCGCCGACAGAGACGCTCTCCTCCTTTTCTGCAGGGTCAAGGGACGGGAGAAGAGCGTGGGAACGACGGAAGAATTTTACAATTTCCCTCAAAAGCCTCAAAAGCTTACCCGGCATCAATCATACCTGAAATCCACTATCTAGTAAGCGTTAGAACGGCACTAACGCGTACGGAACAGGAAACACCTCGACAAACAACCCACCTCCTAAGCTATCCGCCGCGTCGCCGGCAGTCACGCCCACCACCATCTCCTTATCCTGCATCTTACGTCGGACCAAGCTGACGCCCGCTACGGCGCTAGCTCCGCCAGACGACGAACCGCTAACCCCCGTCGACGCCACCCCTTGCAAGCCATCCGTCCGTTGCTGCAGTATTTGTTGTTGCGACGAGCCGTCGGCGTAAGGTCCGACAACGGAATCGTCGAGTTTGGTTGGACCGGGTAAACTGGGAACTCTGGCGTTCAGGTTGAGATTGCGGTTGAGCGACGGGAGGACGATGACCAGCAGCAGCGCGAGCAGGAATCCCGGATCCGTCACGGCGCTCTGCGCGCTGCGGATCAATGGAGTTAATCTTCGAAGCATGGCGGTGAGCTAAAATCAGTGATCGATGGTGATCGGTAGTGTATACTGTAGGCGAAGAGTAAGTGGAGAGGAGGACGCCGATGATGGCTCTATGGTGGCCACCGCGGGGTTTGAAAGACTAGCTTTGAGACGCCAGATTTTTATTTAAAGGGGCATGAAGAATGGTTAGAGAACGGTTTTGAGGAGTCTAAGAACTCGTCTCATGATTCCTTATGCAGGAAATTATTTAGAATCAGCGAGAATGTCTGACGAGACTCATTGCGATGCGGAGTGTATCCATGGGCGTCACATCACGAACGGAGCAGCGAGAGCCTTAGCTTGGACGCTCGATTACTCGCGTGGGATGGGAAATAACTATTCACGATTCAGGAGTCACGACTTGAAGTCTGTCACCCTCGACTGACCCAGGAGATACAATATGGGGGTGTTCGAATCTCAAGGCAGGTCAATGACCGTGGAAATGCGCAGGACGTGTAGTAACAGGGTGATTGACCTGTCTTTTGCTAACGCTGCGAGATGTCACTGCACTGCACAGAACAACTATGGCGTGAACCTCTGTGAATGCGAGTCTAGACACTATGCGAGTTTAGGCACTAGACTCGAAAGTCTTGCCAGTAGTGGCTACTGTTCTGTGCTATGGAGTTTTTTGTGGTTTATCCATGGCTCCACTAACTTCAGCATGTTGTATGCACTTGTTTCTGCTTGTTTGGCAATGCCTGGGGTTGGCAATTCGTTTTCAGTTGTGTTTCCAACTTCACACAAAAAGAGTGCAAGTGCAAGGTTGGCACACTTTTCAGCGATATTCTATTTCTTTTGAAACTATACTGCACGCTTCCATATTTTTACAAACATCTAGTGCGTGTGTTAGTCCGTACACGGTAGCTTTGCTGCTATATTGGAAACGTATTTGCAACATTTCATCCACAGAAATCAGCGGGTAAACTCAGGAAAACCTGGGCACAGGGGAAGCTAGTCACAGTCAGCTGTGACTGAAGCGATGGCATGGAGAGTGCGCCAAACGGGGTTTCACCACAATCACGGGGAGGCATCAGTCGTGACTCTTCACGCAGTCACCTGGTCCGTGGCGCGCCCTGAACAAAAGGCAAACTGGGTTTCGATTGGCTGACTCATCGAGAGGACCGCTTCCGTTGGCCCCACTGTCAGGATCATGGCATCCTTTAACGAGATCTAGCGTTACTGTCACCCCTGTCTTCCCTAAGAGATCCACACGTGTTCCACCGCAGTACAATCTGTTTGTTTCGCTAATGAGTGTAGACAGGATGTTTGCAGGTCGAATCAAGTGAGCAAAGCAGTAGCGCGTACGTACAACGCTCTCGAACCCTATTCGTGGAATCGTGGTGTTCGCTCGCGTGCTTTCCCGTCTTCGAGCCTTTTCGTGCCACTGTAGCCCCTCTGTCGCTCCCTCGCGCCTGCAAATGCAATTTTCGTGCGCCCGTTGTGTGAAATGCTTCAAACCCTCACTTCTCACGCTCTCTCCTTCAGTTGTTTGAACTCTCGATTTGAAAGCTCCGACCGAACGGCACCGCGCAACGAATAGTATTAAGATTATGGACGGCAACGTGGACGCGGCGAAAGTTCCTATACCCGCAGAGACAGAAGCATCGAAGGTAGGTAAGGCCGCTGCTGGCGATTCGACTGCCACGGCTAACGCTGTGCCCGCTAGTTCTGTCAAGGATACCCCAAAAGCGGACGATCAGCGTGCAAACGGCGTGGAAGCGGGGAAAGAGGGGATGGCTGCCGGTGGCGGGGAAAATGCAGCGGAGGCGGAAGGAGCAAAGGTCGGGGCCAAAGCGGAAACGCCGCAAGCAAATGGCGATGCTGTCGTAATCGCGGATGCTGAAAAACCGGTGCCGGAAAAAGCGGAAGTGACCAAACCAGAAGCGGCTAAGGCAGAAGTGAAGCCAGGGGCAAAGAAGGTGGATGCGGAAAAGCCGGAAACTGAGAAAGTAAAGACAGAAGAAAAGGCGGAAAAGTCGGAAGCGAAGCCTGAAGCAAAGGCGGAAGAGAAGGCAGAAGAAAAATCAGCGGATAAGGGGGACGCGGAAAAGGCGGAAACCGAGAAACCGGAAGCGGGGGATGCGAAAGCAGCCAAAGCGGAAGCGGGGAAGGCGGAAGTTGATAAGGCCAACACGGGGAAAGAGGAAGCGGAGAAGGCGACGGAGAAGCCAGAAGCGGGGAAGGCGGAAGCGGAAGCTGACGCAGAGATGACGGAAGCGGGGAAGGCGGAAGCGGGGAAAGCTGACGCGGAGATGGCGGAGGCGGAGGCGGAGGCGGCGGAAGCGGGGAAGGCGGAAGAGGGAAAGACGGAAGCAGCGAAGCCGGAAGCGGCGAAGGCGGAAGCGGGGAAGGCGGGAGCGGGGAAAACGCGGAGGTCGAGGAGGACTCTAGCCGCCGGTGGTGTCGGTGGTAGCGCTGACGCTGAAACCACCAACTCGAAAAAGAGGAAAGCGGAAACCGTCGAAGAAGAGCATGCCGACGCGACGAAAGACGACGCGCCGCCGGTGAGCGAGGCGCCGCCTACTGGCGAGCTGCCGGAAGGCGAGGAGCCGACGTGCTACTGCGACGCGGAGGAAGGGGAGAAGGGGCGGGAGGTGGAAGAGGAGGGGGAGGCGGCAGAGGGGGAGAAAAATGAAGGCAAAGCGGAAGCGGGGAATGCGAAGGAGTCGGGGAAAGAGGGAGGAGACGCTGCGCAAGCTGGGGAGGCGGAGGCGGAGGGGAAGGGAAAAGGGGAGGAGAAGGCGGAGGCGGAGGGGAAGGGGAAGAGTAAGCGGAAGCGGCTGGCGGAGGTGCGGACGGTGACGGCGGCGGCGAACGAGAACAAGGGGCTGCGCTACTGGACGTGCGCCAACTACCAGCCGCGCCCCTTCAAGCGCCCCCGCCACGCGCGCAAGGGCGCGCGCCCCGCGGCGGAGGAAGGGGACGAGGCGGAGGGGAAGAAGGGCGCGCGATGCAATTTCTTCAGGTGAGAGAAGATCGTTCTGTGAGTTGATGAGGTTGAGCTTTAGTGTGTGTGTGTGTGCTGGTCTGAGTGCGAAGCTTGTGGTCATTGTATACTTAGGTAGAAGTTGCCGGAGTATGAGTAAGAATAAGTGCACGTTGGCGTGCGAGCAGGGCGGTATTATGGGTTGAAAATGACATTCCATTTTGTATTGTTTTCTTTTACTTTGCTTTCTTTTGTTTTGTTCTATTTTATCTTATTGTATTTTTTTATTTTTATTTTCTTTTCTTTTCTTTTCTTTTCTTTTATTTCATTTTCTTTTCTTTTGTACGCTGAGAATATTTTTTTATGGGTGGAGCATGTTGGGCAACCTAATCTCTCTCACAAGGAGAAAAACAAGGGGGACTATGCGTTATGCTTGATGCATTATGCACAATGTAGAGCACTTTATCGGTGCACCGCATGTGACCAAGGAGAAGGCGGCAGCAGCCAGGGAGAAGTGGCGCAAGAGAGTGTGTCTTTGTCTGAGCATTCTCAACACCTTTCTTGCCCCAATGGCCCCATTCCTCCCGGGTTGTGCAGGTGGCTGGACACCCCGTGTGTGACCAAGGAGGAGAAAGCGGCAGCGGCAAGGGAGAATTGGCGCAAGAGAGAGCTGGCTCTTCTGAGAAAAAACAAACCCAACTCTAAAATTGCCCCCCACCTGCACCCCTCTCCTCCCCCCCCCCCTCCCTCTTCTTCCCCCTTCGATTGTAGGTGGCTGGACACCCCGCGTGTGACCAAGGAGGAGAAGGCGGCAGCGGCGAGGGAGAAGCGGCGCAAGAGAGAGCTGGCGCTGCTCGCATGAGGAGAGCAGCACTTCTCCTGAGGGCGCACCTAAAGGCCCTTGACTTTGGAGGCTGGGGAGAGCTGGTGGTGCTGGCATGTCAGGAGGAGAGGAGAGGAGATGATATTTTTTTAGAGGTGCCTCACAGTGGAGGTGTGGGTGGCAGGAAGAAGTTGACGATGCGGGCGGTAGTGTGGTGGAGAACAATTGAGCGGCGGGGTGAGATGCAGTGACATGACATGACCCCAATGTGATGTAGACTGATATGGGGTTAGTGCTGGGTGTTAGGTTGGGTGTTTGGGCTGGGAGTTCGGGCTAACTGGGTGGTAGGGCTAACAGGATTTGGTGGTGACCAGACCAGATTACATATTTCTTGCAGTGTGGGGTGTGGGGGGGGAGGCGAGGTGGTTGGAGTTGGGGGAGGGAGGGAAGGAGTAGCATGGGAAGAGGTGGGGATTACGCGGCGTGGTTGAAGGGTGGTTTTCTTGTTTGTTGCCCTCTGTTGTCAGCGGTTGTAGGCGGTACCTAAATGATGGCTTTTTCTAGGAAGTATGCACTACCTATGGTTTTGTCTGTTTCTATTGACTGTTTTAGCTACCTAATCTCATTGTCAACTTCTGTTCCGATAAAGTTCAGGCTACAGTAGAGGACACAATATTTTCTTTCTATCCACATGAAATTGCACCACCCCCCTTATCCCTGCAAGCCTAAACCTACAGTATGTTTACCATAGAATCACCCTTCCCTTCCTAGCCCGTCCAATTACCGTACGTACTACTGGCTGGCGGCCGTACCATGTGCAGTTGCATTTCCTGCTCCACATCATGCCCTCTAACCATGCCAGCATTCTGCAAAAATAGATGCCATAGAGACTGCATGTATCTTAGGTGCCATAGGCCCCTCACCTCACTCTCCAGTCCCTGCTTCCCTCACTACTGTACCCCTCCCCCACTCACTCCCCCCAGCCTGCTTCCCTTCCCCCTGCTGCAGCCTCTGCGCCAGGCCCCTGCTCGCCTCGCCCTACGCACCCCTGCTGCCTTCCCCTGCTGCCTCCGCTTCACTCCCGCTTACTGCTCGCCACTCTGCCTCACCTCCCCCTGCTGTCTTCTACTGCTGCTGGCTGCCTCGCCCTCTCCCCCCCCCCACACACTCACTGCCTGCCAACATGCCTCCCTTCCCCCTCTGCCGCCTCTGCGTCAGCCCCCTCACCTCCTCGCCTCGCCATACAAGCCTCTGCTGCCCTCCCCTGCCGCTGCTGCTGCCTCCACATTACTCCCCCTCACTGCCCGTCAGCCTGCCTTGCATCTCCCCGCTGTCGCCTCTGCGCCAGCCCCCTCACCTCCTCTGCAGTGGGCGGGCGAGGGCCTTCAGGGGGGTAGATCACATATGCTCTCTGTGCGGGGAGAAGGGGGAAAGGGGGGAGGGGGAGGGGGAGGGGGGAGGGGATGAGGGGGGGGCACTCAGGGGGGTGGATCACATACGCCCTCTGCAGGAAGAGACCGGGGAAAAAGTGGGAGAAGGTGAGGGGTGAGGGAGGGAAGGGGTGCCGGAACCCAGTCCTTGGCCTCCCCTGCAGTGGGCGGGCGAGGGCCCTCAGGGGGGTACATACGCCCTCTGCGTGGGGAAACCAGGGGGAGGGGAGGAAAGGGGGGGAGGGGTATATGAGGGACCAAAACGAGGGTAGAAGAACCGAGTCCTTGGTCTCCTCGGCAGTGGGCGGGCGAGGGCCCTCTGGGGGGTAAATCACATACGCCCCTCTGTGGGGGGAGATACGTGGAGGAGAGGGGGAAGGAGGGGGTGCGTGGGTGGGTGGAGGGAGAGTGGGGAGGGACGGGTGGGACGGTGGATCTGGGGAGATACATAAGAAGTTCGAGGGGTTGAAGGCCTATTCCTTGGCCTCCTTGGCCTCCTTGCCCTCCTTGCCCTCCTTGGTCTCCTTGGCCTCCTAGGCCTCCTTGCCCTCCTAGGCCTCCTAAGCAGTGGGTGAGTGAGGCGTACATGAATGAATGCCCCACGTGTCACATGACCCACGCCACGCACGTTTTCGCCCGAGGCACAGGCACAGGCACACACGTTTTCGCAATGCACGCGCATGTCTGTCGCGCGCGAATGATGCTCTCACGTTCCGGATGAGGTTGTCCTGGTTGTTGGCGAGAAGAGGCTTCTGATAATTCTCAAGCAGAAATACTTGAAATGCTGAACCACGCACACACGTTGCATCATCGCCTCACATTCCGGATGATGGCTTCGAGGTTGCCTTGGTTGTTGGCGAATGTGACCATCATGGCGATGGGGATACTCTCAAGCACAACCCCAACACTCACGCACGCACGCACATGCCCCACGATCAACGCCTCACGTTTCGGATGATAGCCTCGAGGTTGTCTTGGTTGTTGGCGAATGTGACCATCATGGCGATGGGGATCCCCACGTAGCACGCGAATTTAAACACCTCCAGGAACCCCTTACGCGGCCCTTTGAACGACATCCCGGTCCCGATTCCCGCCTGCTGCGCTCACTCGCTGCTCCTTCTTGCCACAAATCCCGCCGTCGCCCTCTGCACGTCGCCGTTTCTGCCGGATTTCACCTCTTCCTGCCGGATTTCACCTCTTCCTGCCGGATTTCACCTCGTTCTGCCGGGATTCGCCTTCTCTGCCCCAAATTCTGCTGCCGCCAGTCCTTTCCGCCTGAATCTGCTTTTGGCGTCTGAATCTGCCCTGAACGGCTGTGGCAGCTGAGAAGGCGGAAGCGGGGAAAGCCGAAGCGGGGAAGGCGGAAGCGGGGAAGACGGAAGCGGGGAAGGGCGACGGGGTGAAGGCGGAAGCGGGGAAGGGCGAAGGAGCGAGGGCGGAAGCGGGGAAGGGCGACGGGGTGAGTGCAGAGGAGGGGAAGGGCGAAGGGGTGAAGGCGGAAGCGGAGAAGATGCGGAGGTCGAGGAGGACTCAAGTGGCGGAGAAGGAGAAACAGCACCCCAGGCGGTGCCGCAGCAACCCGCCGGTGGTGACGGCGGTGAAGGCGGTGACGCCAGTAGGGGAGGCGCCGCCGACAGGCGAGGTGCCGCCAGACGAGGCGCCGACGCGCTACTGCGACGGTAGGAAGAGGCGGCGACTGAGTCGGCGCGTGAGGCGGCAAAGGGGGAGAACGAAGAGGGCAAAGGGGATGCGGAGAAAGAATGTCACCTCTTTCTGCCGGGATTTGCCTTCTTTGCCGCAATTTCTGCTGCCACGTGATACGTCGGTGCGTGGCAGCGTCCTACGTCTTTTCTTACGAAGCTTCGACTCTCCACTAATTCGCAATGTCTACGGTATCCGTTATTGAGTGAAACATTTATTAAACTGAGTGGTTAAGGACGTATTTTGCTATGAGCAATAATTTTACAACTCTAACCCCCCTTGGATTGGATTACCATGCACAACCAGTTGTACACTATTGATGCTGGTAATAAATTGATACGATTATATCCCCTTGATTTATTGTCTAACTAAAAGTTTAGAACATACAACATGTATGACCTAGCAAATAGGTGAGCATGGCGAGGCAAGCATGGTGAGTATGGTGAGCATGGTGAGCATGGTGAGCATGGTGAGCATCCCGTGACGATGAGTTTGGGAACCGTCGTTTCAAAAAGCTCAATTTGACTAACACAGACATGTCACCTGCTGCTGCCATGGATACCTACCTCCTTGAGCAGCGTGCATGCAGTTTAGGGAGAACACTTGGGAGAAGGGCGGGGCAGGGTCTGGGGAGCATGAGGGGTGATTTAAGCATGGGGACATGAAAGCATGAGTGGGTGAGAGAATGGGAGCATGAGAGGGTGAGAGCAGAGCATGCAAACACCACTTGCAGGGTGGCATGGAAGCCAACATGGCAGGCGATAAAAGGGTGAAGAGGAAGGATAAGAGGTGGGATACAGACGGTGTCGGCCCGAGGGGGGCAGAGGGCAAGGAAAAAGGGGAAACAGAGGGTGTGGCGCAGGAATGTGCAGGGATGGGAAGAGAGGAGAGAGGCGGAAAAGCGGAGGGGGGGGAAGTGGGGTGGGAGGAGTGAGCCAGAGAGGGTTTTGATGAGGGAGGCAGAAAGGGAAACGACGAATGTGCATAGGGAGAAGGGAAAACTGAGGTGGAGAAGGGCGGGGAGAGATGGAAGGAGAGAGGCAGGGAGGAAAGCGCGGGTTCAAAGGCAGAGGGAAATATAGGCAGGGAGGAAAGGGCGGGTTCAAAGGCAGAGGGAAATATAGGCAGGGAGGAAAGGAAGGAGAGAGGTGGGAGGGAAGTGTGGTGAAAGTACAGAGGGGCTGAGAGAGGGGGGGAAGGAAGGAAGGAAGGAAAGAGGTGTGGATGGAAAGGCGGTGATAGGGCAGAGGAGGAGATAGGCTGGGCGAGGCGGGATGGACAAGGGAAAACGGAGGGATGGACAAGCGGGGAATGGAGGAAGGGCAAGGGGGGGATGGGAGAGGCGGAAAAAGAGGGGGGGAAGGAAGGAAGGGAGAGGAATGGACGATAGGAATGAAAGAGGGGACAGGAGGGGGGCTAAGGGAGGGTCAGGAGAGTGGGGTGAAAGGGATGGGAGACTGGAAAAGTGGAGGGATGGCAAGGATGGAACGGAGGGACAAAAACGGGGGAAGACGCACATATGGAAAAGGGAGAGCAGTGTATAGGATAAGGGGAATGGTCAGAAGCAGACAGAAGAGCTGCGGAGGCCTTACTTGCTGTTCGGTGTGTGGCCCATTGTCAGAATTAAAATGGTGTATTTTGAGGCGCCTCAAAATACACCTCAATGCACGCGGATTTCATACGGAGAGGATTATTACAGCTTGGAAATGTTCGTGTAACTTGCAAAAGTTACTGGTGCGCGCGCGGTTACATCAACGAATTGGTTGACGAAGATCTTCTCGAGGGCTGACTTTGCACCCTGGGTGTACCCCATTTGCTTAGCTGGCCGAGTGACTTGTCACTCTGGGTAGTTGGTTGTACATTTGTAGATCTCGAGGGCAGTTGCTAGCTACTTAGCCTGCTTCTGTCCGAACTCTTTCTTTTGTGGATCTGGTAGCTTACTGATGAAGGCTTAGCGGGTTGGAGACCCGTGAGCCGAAACTAGTTTGAGCTGTAAAGATCCTCGTTAGTAAAGGGTTTCTAAGGTTTCTACTGATCGTTTTTCCAGGAAAGAATTTCTGTTTCGTTTCCTTTTGTTGCTTTAAGCGTCACTCTTTAGAATTGCTGCTCTTCCACTATGAGCGAAGACCCTTGGGACATTGAATGGTTTCCAACTGAAGAGGAAGACGCCGATTCTGAAGAACGCAACTCGTTGAAAAGGCAGCGTAGGAGTGGAAACAAGTCGCGTTCTGCTCGAAAGGCTTCCGGGCAGCGGCAGACCGGCAACAAATTTCCGCAACTGGCGTTAACCTACGAACCGATTCTACGAAGTGAGCAACCACGTGATCCTCCCGCTGGACCGTCGCGAATTCGTCCTACCGTCATGGCGGAACCCACTGACGCGACCCCCATCCAAGAACCTTTCAAGGGATGGCTTGCGACTGCAGTGAAGGATTTCCGGGACGATTTCAGGACTCTGCTTAAGGCGAAATCTAAGCTGAAGAAGATGAAGGAACTCGACGCTGAAGGAACGATTCTGCACAGCATCCGTACCAAAGCGGTCGATTTCCAGACGAAGATTGACTCTGTCAAGGAGAAATCCAAGGCGTCCGTTGCTGAGATCCATTTGGCGAATCAGAAGCGGATTCAGGCAGAGTTTATCGCCTCGAAAGCACTGGAGGTTGAGGAGATCGCGAAGATGGCTAACTCGCGTGTCACGACTCTGGCTACAAGGATGGAGGATTACATACAGGGGCTGAACGCGGATCCTGATTTGGTGGTGTCTGACGCTTCCAAGGAGAAATTTCGTTTACTCAAGGGACGCTGCATCGAGAAAGCCCGATCCGACATCGCTGCTGCCAAGGATGATCTTACCATCCGGGAGTTGGAAAGACAGCGTAAGATAGCTGCTGAGGATTTGAAGTAAGCTGCTGCGTCTGAGGAGGTGCAGGAGATGGAGTTAGAACCTGCGTTAGAGGAGATTTTCGCGAAGCAGGTTAAGAAGATTGAAGACAAACTTCGCAAGGAAATCACTGCGAAGGTTGAGGCCAGTCTTACGAAGAAGCTGCAGAAGAATCTCTCTCTTAAGGAGCAAGACCCTGCGCAGGCCGCTGCTGCTAATCCGAAGCAGAGGAGTACGGCGGGAAAGCAGAAAAGTCAGGAGAATGGCAACGCTGCACCTGCTGGATCCAAGCCGAGGAGGAAGCGTGGTGGGAAGAAAAAGAATCAGAAGCAGAATTCCAGCACCGACAAAGGCAAGCAGGCGGGAGGCCAAGTCAAATCTGATACGGCCAAGGGACCAAAAAACGGCGGAGGCGGCCCCGAAAAAGGGCCGCGCAAGAAGAACTAACCAGCCATGAGCTGGCCCTCCGTTGGTTTGGACGGCTGACGCCTCGACAAGCTGCGTTGCGCGTCCGTAACCGCGGAGTTCACAACCTCAGCGCCAAAATCTTATCTTCGGATGAGAAGACAGCGTTGGGGTTGGGATTGAAGTTCATCCCCACGCCCACCGTTTCCCTTTCGGCCGGAATTGAGTTTGATCAGCTTTTCCGGCAGATCTCGTTACATTTTTTCTTCAAGGATGCGGACGGTCCACCTAGGGATTCACGGTTTCGTGTGCGTAACCCGACGTGGCTGCCCGATCGGATGGTGATTCCGGAGCAGGTCTTCAAGGACTCGTCCTCTGACTTGTCCGTCTTGTTGAAGGCATCTCGGCCTGACCGACGTCGGAATCTTTCAGCTGGCGTTAGGAAGGCTTTGCGCACCATCGCTGCGGATCGAGACGTGGTGATTAAACCGGCTGACAAGAATGTTGGGATTACGGTGATGGACCGGGGACATTACATTCGGTTGTGCATGGAGCACCTAGGTGACAGCACGACTTACTCCCTGGTCTCTCACAATCCTACCGCTGAAGTCTACCGGAAGCTGCGTGAACTGCATAGCGTTTGGGGCCCTGCTTTTCCCGAAACTTTGTGGAAGTACTTTTTCAATCAGCCGCCTGGAGGATGGAAACCCGCGGCTTTCTACATTTTGCCGAAGCTGCATAAGAAGGATCTCGTGGGACGCCCGATCGCCGCCTCACACTCATGGGTGACTTCTAACGTTAGCCGTTGGCTCGATGCTGAATTACGACCGTGGGTTTTGCAGCAGCAGACATACCTCCGCGATTCCCTCTCGCTACTCTTGAAGCTGGAAGAGACCGCCTTCCCGAAAGGGATCTTCTTAGCCACCTACGACGTTACTGCTCTCTACCCCAGTATCCCATTAAGGAGAGGTATCGACGCAGTGAGTAGCATTCTTCAGAGTGGGAAATATCATAATCACCTCCCGGTCATTGCCCTGCTGGAGTGGGTGATGATGAACTCGATTGTTGAGTTCGACGGCCAATTGTACCTGCAGCGACAAGGGACTGCTATGGGAACTCCTGCAGCAGTATGTTTCGCGGTGCTGTTCATGAGCCGTTTGGACGAGGTGCTGAGACGCAGGTGGTCCGGGACGCAGCCGTTGTGCCACGTGAGATACATCGACGATGGCTTCATTGTTTGGCCAGGTTCTCGGAACGAGTTGGAGTGTTACCTCAGTACCTTCAACGAATTGGATCCCAACATCAAGTTGACGTGGCACATCTCGGACTCCTCGGCAGACTTTCTTGACATGGTCATCTTCAAAGGACCACGTTTTGCCGAGAAGGGTAACTTGGATCTGAAGACTTTTCAGAAACCCATGAACAGTTACTTGTACCTGCCGTTTTCTTCATACCACCCGCGACACTGCAAGGTCAGCTTCATCCGTGCAGAACTGAAGCGTTACTTACTACGTTCGACCTCTGCCAAAGCTTTCCTAGCCTCTAAGCACGCGTTTTTCCAACGGCTTAGAAGTCGCGGATATCATGGAGACTTCCTTCTACCCATCTTTCGGAGTGTGTTTTTTCGAAACCGCCCTCTCCTTTTGGAGACCACTGCTGCGCGCCAAGCTCTCAAGCTCAACTCTCTCCCCCAACGCGGACCCCTAGTCTTGAAGACTCTGTTCACCCCGGTGACAGCCCGTCTCAGGCTGGGGGTCCTTTTGAGGCGCCTCAAAATACACCTCAATGCACGCGGATTTCATACGGAGAGGATTATTACAGCTTGGAAATGTTCGTGTAACTTGCAAAAGTTACTGGTGCGCGCGCGGTTACATCAACGAATTGGTTGACGAAGATCTTCTCGAGGGCTGACTTTGCACCCTGGGTGTACCCCATTTGCTTAGCTGGCCGAGTGACTTGTCACTCTGGGTAGTTGGTTGTACATTTGTAGATCTCGAGGGCAGTTGCTAGCTACTTAGCCTGCTTCTGTCCGAACTCTTTCTTTTGTGGATCTGGTAGCTTACTGATGAAGGCTTAGCGGGTTGGAGACCCGTGAGCCGAAACTAGTTTGAGCTGTAAAGATCCTCGTTAGTAAAGGGTTTCTAAGGTTTCTACTGATCGTTTTTCCAGGAAAGAATTTCTGTTTCGTTTCCTTTTGTTGCTTTAAGCGTCACTCTTTAGAATTGCTGCTCTTCCACTATGAGCGAAGACACTTGCTGTTCGGTGTGTGGCCCATTGTCAGAATTAAAATGGTGCGTGTGTATTTTAGGAGCAGCGCGCTGGGAATGGAAAAAGCTTCGCGTAGGGAAGGGGGAAAGCAGTGTGCGGGGAAAGGGGAGCAGTGCAGGGGGGTTGGGGAAGCAGAAGGGTTGGGAAGGAAGAGTAGTGCAGGGGGGAGCGGGGAAGCAGCAAGTAGGGAAGGGGGAGCAGCTTTTGGGGGAGCAGGGAAGCAGCGAGTAGGGAAGGGGGAGCAGCGCAGGGGTGAGCGAGGAAGCAGCGAGAAGGGAAGGGGGAGCCGCGCAAGGGGGAGTGGGGAAGTAGCGTGAGAGAGCAACGAATATTGAGCATTTGTTTCAATTACAGTGGACAAAAAAGTGGAACTCCATGCCCACACCCTACTCATAATCACATCCTCCTCCATAATCACATTCTGTATCATCACATTCTGTATCATCACATGCTGCATCATCACATTCTGTATCATCACATTCTGTATCATCACATTCTGTATCATCACATTCTGTATCAGAACATGCTGCCATCAGCAGGACTATCAATCCTCGTCATCGCCACCAGCAACAGCAAGTTGCCGCTCTCCAAAGAAACCATCCCACGGCAAAACATGCTCCGCGGTCCTTCTACCAGTCACCACCAACCGTGGCAGCATCATCCCAACCTCCCTACCAGCACGCCTTAACTCCACACTATCGAAACAAATTTCGCCACCCCCTTCACCTTCAACCCTGCCCATGTCACCCTCGCTTCCACCTTCCTTGCTTCCCCTCCACCGATCCCCAGCAATCACTCCAGGAGAAACCAGCAGCCGCCGCAGCCTGAAATCCCGCAGCCCACAGCACCCTCTCCCCCTCATCCTTTCCTCCTCATGCCCCACACCCTCGCCTGGAATTGCCTCCTGCTCTGCACACTCCCCATCGCCCTGCACCACTTGAGCCAACCCATCCTCCCTGCTCTTCTCCGTGTTACCAGCAAGATCCCTGGCTGCTGCTGAGAGAGCGAGCAGGACGGCAGAGGACACCCCCGGGCATTCATATAGGTCCAGAAGACCCAGCCGCGGCAGCTGCAGCTGCAGCGGCGCACCGGAGGCATTGCCTGCACCAGTAGTTGCGTTGGGACCAGGTGAAAGCTCAGCGGTACATTCAGAAGCACTGCCTGCACCAGGTGAAATTTCAGGGGTACACTCAGAAGCAGCGGCAGCAGCACTGCCAACAGCAGCATTCAAAGCCATGCCGCCGCTGCGCCAGCTGTCGCCAAACAGCGCCGTCACGACAGCAGCATCATCCACCGCCGTCCGCGCCAGCCGCAGCACCTCCAGCCACCCGCATCGCCTCGCCAGCTGGCGCAGCCCCACTGGCCCCACGTTCTCACAGCCGCCCAGACTCAGCTGCACCAATCGCGTGCATCCGTTCGCGAGAGCCACCACCCCAGCATCGGTGACCAGCGGTTGGAGGGGAGGGGGGGGGACATGGAGAAACGTCCTGGCATAGGAGGAGGGCCAGTAGAGAACGTGAAGTTCAGGAGCCCTGGCAGCAGCCGGGCCGACCGCGACGAAGCGAGGTAGCGGCTGCGCGTGCAAGGCCGTGAGGTTCGGGCAGGAGTGGGAGATTTGCAGGAGAAGGGCGTCTGAGGCCCAGGGGAGGGCGAGGCGGTCCAGGAGAGGCAGGCAGCGGATGGTTTGACAGAGTGCCGCCTCGCCGCTCGCACTCCCACACTTTGTGTCAATTTGGAAAAGGGGAGGGCAGTATGATAAGTCAGATTGGGACAGATCGAGAGTGGTAAGGTGGCGGAACAAGGGGCCCACGAGTTGCCACGTGGACAGGGAGGAATTGTGGGCGTGAAAGGAGCGCAGAGAGGAGGAGGGAGGAAGTGAGAAGCACTGGCTGCTGCCATTGCCGCCGCCGCCGCCGCCGCTGCTGCTGCTGCTGCCAGTGGTGCTGCTGCTGGCGTTGGTGCTGCTCGTCTCCGCTCCATAGGCGACGCAGTTAACAGAGAGGGCGAGCAGGAGGGAGGAGGCGGGGGGCAGATGCCAGGCAACGGAGTGGTGGGGGGTGATATATAGACGGATGGAGGAGAGGCACGGCGCTAAGGGGGAGCCTGAGCCTGAGGGACACGAGAAGGGGTTGTCGGTGTTCGGGCTCGGCGAGCGAGGAGAGGCGAGCCAGAGCAACTGCCACAGCAGCAGCAGCTACATCAGCTGCATCGGCTGACCCCCTCGCGCGTCCTACTTGCTCCGCCGCTGCGCGTGCCGCCTCGCGGAGCTTGTACTCCGGAAGGGGCTGGAGGCTGTAGGATATGACAGAGAGGCGCTGCAGCGACGGGAGGAGCGCGAGGAGGCGAGACAGCGACTCCCAGTCGATTGAATCCGAGCAGAGCGAAAACGTCTTCAGGCGTGGAAGCTTGCTGGCCACGTGCTCTACGCACGCTGCCGTGTAATCCCCTGGTGTGTCGAGGTTTAAGGAGCGGAGATTACGGAGCGAGGCGGCGATTGAGTGAAGGTGGCAGTTGGAGAGGAACGCGGGCTGCCGATGGGGCGCGGGCAGACGAAACGGGGGAGGTGGCGGGTGAGGCAGCAGCGGGGGAGCGAACTGACGAGGAGGGGGAGGCGGCGGAGGAGGAGGCGGTTTAGGAGGAGGCGGCGGGAGGGAGTTGTAGGGGGTGAAAACGGGGGGAGTATGGGGAGGGGGAACGGGAGAAGGGGATGGAATGGAGGGAGGCGGTGGAGGAGGTGCAGGACCACACCGACCGGCTGGGGGGGGCGGAGGAGGGGGCACAGAAACACGCGGAGGGGGAGGGGGTGGCGGAGGAGGGGGAGCAGGAACACGCGGGGGGGGAGGGGGTGGCGGAGGAGGGGGCGCAGGAACACGCGGAGGGGGAGGGGGTGGCGGAGGAGGGGGAGCAGGAACACGCGGAGGGGGAGGGGGTGGCGGAGGAGGCGCAGGAACACGCGGTGGGGGAGAGGGGGGCGGAGAGGGGGGTCGGAGAGGGGGGCGGAGAGGGCACAGGAACACGCGGAAGGGGAGAGGATGGCGGAGGGGGAGGGGGTGGCGGAGTGGGGGTGGCGTCACCATGTCCCCACACCAGATCGGATCTCCGGCATTGAGTCCTCTCATCTATCTCCCCCTCATTGAACGCTTCCGAATCGCCTTCAGCGAGCGCGAGCGGGTTCACGCACGTCACCGGGGAGAGAAAGTGGTCGGAGCGCACGCTCAGCGACTTGAGCTGACGTGGCACGGCTGGTAACAGCACCCTATCGAAGTCTGGTTTGAGCATGGGTAGCGAATCCAGAGGCCGGCAGTTGTGCTCCACGCAACTGACCAGAGTTAGGGTTTCGATCCTCGGTGCCTGTCCAAGGATTCGCGCGATGCCGTGGCACGTCAGCCTGTCGTCATCAGATTCCGTTAAGTTTCGTGCGCCGGGACGGAACTCCAGGGACCGGAGCGTGTCGGCGAATCGCGTAGTTAAATCGAGCATCTGCGATTCGGAGTCGGAACAACCAAGGATGCGCTCCGATCCCGGAGCTATGCTCTCGAGCAGGAAGGGCGACGGTCGGAGCGATTGCACAGACACGCGCAGCGCGACGCGGCACCAGCGGCGGCAGACGAAGGCGGCCGAGGAGATGGCGAAGCGCGAGGGGAGGAAGGAGAGGACGATGGAGAGAATGTTGTCGTCTAGTAGTGCCGTGAGGGAAGCGCATTCCGCAGAGAACTCTCCGCGGTCACAGTCGGAGCTATCGATGTGCAACACTTTTCCCATGGCAATGGGAGCTGTCAGTAACCAGCCAGAATACTGTCACGGTATCACGAGAGAGGGAAAATGCCGCGGATATGTTACTGAACGGTTCAGATCGAGGGAATCGAATTGAGGAAATAACTAAGCTGCGGAGTAAACGCAATGGATTCTAAACTGAGCCAAGGGAATCATACGGCACGGAGGATGACGGGGAATCACGTGCAGTTCGACGAAAATACTGCAGTTCGACGTGCGGGAAAGCAGTAAAAGCCTGTTGAAATACTCTTGGCCCGGCAGCGCGATGTTCGGCTGGCGGGAATACATGAGGAAGAGGTGAGAGAGCGAGAGTCGGACCTTGCGCCCCTAGTTCGCGCTGGTCAACTTTGGAGTCGACACCAAACGGAATGTGCAATTCAAACGGAATGTCAGAGGGGACAGGCGCGGAAGTGGAGATTCGGGGGGATGGGTGGAGGGGTGGGGTTGATTGAGAAACAGAAGCCCAGTGAACAGATATATCGTGACAACAGAACAAATATTGGGGGTACTGTAACCGTTTTTTCCAACCAGAAAAACATTATTTTCTGCCCCGAGTCGAAGGAAAAGGTTTTCCCAGTGGTTGGGCAGTACGATTCGGGCAGATCGGGCGTCCTTAGTTCTGCCTCCTTGATCAGCCACCAGACCAACCATAGCGGTCCCGCCCCTGACATTTTTGCTCTTGCCTGACAAAGCGCTTGCTTGCATTCCTGCTGGATCCATGACACAGGCATCTGTGGTTTCTTGAAAGGGCAGGTACATAGGTTCTGAAGTTTCCGAGGCCGCAAGCTATTGTTTCCTCAAAGTACCGGGAATGAAAAAGTCCAGATTACTTGCGACTGCATAGCGCACTTAGAGCAACCCAAACTTTGATAAAGGACAGAAAGACAGAACAACCACTAGACTGAATGTCGGATCGAAAATCCATCATGAGACTGCACTGGGTATTGTGAGCAGACCCGTGATGTAGACACTAGTAGTAACATTTTGTGTGAAGTGGGGGGAGAACCCCATCGATGTTACCCCGGCTGTCAGTCGTAACCCGCCAATCAGCGTAGAGACACACACACACACCAAGAATTTCCCTGGTGTTGATCTCCGAAACCGCCTTTCTTCCAGGCGTTTAGGCATTCAGTCTTCCAGTCTTCCAGGCCATGGTGGCCTGGAAACCTCCTCTCTCCAGATCCGTAATGAGCCGCGTGATCTTCAGCCTGAAAAAGAAACGTGATTCCTGGTTTCGACCGAACATGGCTTGCGCTACCAATCCATGGCGGATCGGCTACAGCCGCGCCGCGATCCAGATATTCCTGATAGCGTTTTTCGCGCTGAACGCCGTTCTCGCTTGTCTCTACGCGACGGGGTTTTTCACGAGCGAGGCGTTGGAGAAGCAGAAGGAGGAGATCGTGCATCTATGGCAGTCGTGCATCTACAACCGCTTCGCGCACATCCATCGATTCCAACACCCCTTCCTCCGCCCCGAGCCGTGCTCCGACCTCACTATGGCCGCCGCGAAACGGGGAGAAGCAGGCTTGAAACGAGCGCGATCCTCGAGAGTCCCTGGCTACTACCACCCGGACATTGTCGACGGGTGTGCTTATATCGAAAGATCGACAGATTCGACGGGATCGTCTGGAAGATCCACGGAGGGTTGTCAGCTCGAGTGGGTAGTGTACTCCACGGAATGTGGAGTGAATCTGAACCGTCTATCCAAGCTGTGCCACCTGGCAGGAATCCCGCTAGCGGTGGTCGGCCTAAAGACTATGTGGAGGGGATTCGGCGGCAGGCTCCGGATTTTCAGGGACTATCTGCACTCGCTACCAGCTGACAGGATTGTCATCGTGTCAGACGCTGATGACGTGTTCGTGCTGCCTGCTCAGCAATGCCGTCCGGTTGACATTATCCAAAAGTTTTTGGATCTGGGTTCGCCGATGGTTTTTGGCTCGGAAAAATACTGCTTTCCTGATTGGTGGCTCTATCAAGATATGTATCCGAAGCCGTCCCGAGATACCCCTTTTAAATACGTGAATGCTGGCACATATATGGGCTACGCATGGGCTACAGCGAGCGCCATTGACGCTGCTTACATAGGGGATTGTTTGGACGACCAACGGCAGTTCATGCTCGTCTTTCTCGGGCAGGACAAACTTTTCAAAGGCCTGCCCCGTGCTCCAACCCCATTCACCCACGGCAAAAAATTCTCCCGCGTAAAGAAACTTCCACAGGTCACCCCTTCCCTGGTCCTACCATCCCCTCCATCCGCTATAGAGTCTTCACTTACTCGCTCCAATCCCCACTCCTCTTCTCTCTCCTCTTCGCCTGATTCAAACGCCAGCAATACTCCTCGGTTCATCCAGCTGGATTATTTCAACTCTATTTTCCACCTGCTGGGGGGGTTTGGAGCAGAGGCGTTGGAGATAGAGGGGGACGGGAGGGGCGGGAGGAGGGAGATGCGGGTGCGGTCGAAGTTTACAGGTGGTGAGGCGTGTGTGTTTCACCAGCAGGGAAACAAGACGGGAGATCTGGCCATGTTTGATGTGTTCAACACCACAGGGATGGAGGTGTTGTTTGATTGAGCAGCAGGAGGGGTGGGAAGAGGGAGATGCGGGTGCGGTCGAGGGTCACAGGTGTTTGCTTCACCAGCTGGCGAATTGGCCATGTTTGATGTGTTCAACATTACAGGGATGGAGGTGCTGTTTGATTGAGCTGCTGACTGTGTGGTTGACTCAAACTGCAGGCATTGGATATGTACAGTACAGTATACATGAAAGGGTGTGTTTTTTTTAGTGGGCATGGCACTCTCTGTCTGTCCCTCCCTTGACTGCCATACATCATATACGGTACTGCCCCGGCAGTCCCAGAGGTACTGCTGGGCCGATCACTTCAGTCACCCACTACATGTTCTCTAGTCTTTTTCCAACGGCTTTTTTGTAAATGGCATGTGAATGCCAGAGTTGCTTTCCGAGTGCTTTGTCAGGGATGGGTGCGTGTTCACTGTTCAGCCCAAAACCTGCCCTGCATCAAGTTTATGATTTTCCCACCCAGTTATATTTGACCCTCCTACCCTGACAATGAGTTTCCCTTGTGCACTGCTGCTCCTCCGGTTGTACGCTGACCGGAAAATGACCAGGCATACTGGCATTACGCAAAAAGGAGCTCCCAACACGAATGGCAAACAGAAACATCCATTCAACCTAAATCAAATACTGTCAAAACTGGCGGACCAGCAGAACTCGCTAAGCGCAAAAACTGCAGCAACACAAGCTCCGTGCCTCATCCAACACCAAGGGCAGTCAAAAGCCTCATACACTGCTGCTTCCAGCCTCTGCCTGCTCCGTGCTTTCATCCATCCACACATGTAGCACACATGTAGCACACATGTAGCACACATGTAGCACACATGTAGCACACATGTAGCACACATGTACGGTACCTTAACACCCATTCTTTGAGTCGTTTCGCTATAGCTCACACCAGCTCTCCCACCTGCCCCGTACTTCATGCGCTGCTGCCTGTCGTGTGCCTCCATCACCACTGCTTCCAGCCACTGCCATCTTGCTTCATCCGTGCATACAGCACATGCATACAGCACATGCATACAGCACATGCATACAGCATGGTACATACAGCACGGTACATACAGCACGGTACATACAGCACGGTACATACAGCACGGTACATACAGCACGGTACATACAGCACGGTACATACAGCACGGTACATACAGCACGGTACATACAGCACGGTACATACAGCACGGTACATACAGCACGGTACATACAGCACAGTACATACAGCACGGTACATACAGCACGATACATACAGCACATATATCACAAGTAGAGCACAATACAGCTCCAATCGCTGTGTTGATTCGACTGATGCTGGCTCTCCTGCCTTCCCCCTACTTCATGCGCTGCTGCCTGTCGTGTGCCTCCATCACCACAGCTTCCAGCCTCTGTCGCACCTGCTCCATCATGTGGGCATGCAAGCGCCTCGTCTCTTCACTCCCCACTTTTGAGTCGATTCAAAAGTCACTTCATACACTGCTGCCTGTCGTGTGCCTCCATCACCAGTGCCTCCAGCCTCTGTCTCACATCCTCCATCATGTGGGCATACACATGAAGCACACATGCATATCGCACATATTGCAGACATGCAGCGCCCACCTGTCCCACTACTTCATGCACCGCTGCCTGTCATGTGCCTCCATCACCACTGCTTCCAGCCTCTGCCGCACATCCTCCATCATGTGGGCATACATGCGCCTCGTCTCCTCACTCCCCACTGCCATCACATTCCCTATCCTCCTCCTCAACGCTGCCGCCTCCGCTTCCCTCTCCGCCTCCTCCCTCCCTTCCTCCATCCTCTCCTCATTCACAATCCTCGCTTCTCCTCCACCTTCTCCTGCCCCAGCCTCCAATCTGTGGTCGATTTCTTGTAATTGTTCTGACCGTTCCCCACGCTGCATCAACTCCTGTAACCGCTGAGTCAGCACCTCGGGCGAGTGGATAAGGGCATCAGCGCCAAATGTCGGTTGCTGGGCCCGCCACGTGGGATCGAGGGAGGCGGGAGGAGAGGTAGCCGTTGATTGCCTTTCTTGTTGACAATGAGGGGGAAAGGTAGCAGCATCGGAAGCAGCATGGCTGGTGTGTCTGCTGTCACTCATACTTCTACTGGTGCTGCTGCTGCCATTGTCACTGCTGCTGCTGCTGTGGGCAGAGGGGGAAGCATCGAGCCGAATGGCTTCCTTGGCTTGCTGGCGTAGAGAGGGCAGGTCAAAGGAGAAGGGCTCGCCCACCACCACGCTCACACGCTGGTTCCACAGCGGGATCAACGGCCGCTTGTTGTTGCGGTAGTTCTGAGGGATGATCTGCAGACAAGAGGGGGGGAGAGAGAGTAGTAGCTAGTTAAGCAGTGGTATGATCTGTAATGCGGAAGGAAGAAAGGAAAAATCAATCAGCTGGTTGCGCTGCGGAATCAGCGGGTGTTCGTTGTTAGGCAAGAGGGGGAGGGAGGGCGGCGGCAGCGAGGAGCAGAGGGCTGGTCCAGCAGGCTGGCGAGTCACGTGGGGTACAGACAGAGCCTGGGGTAGGCACATGCACTTCCCTCCTTTCCCCACACCCACTCACCCTGTTCCTCAACACCCACTCACCCTCTTCCTCAACACCCACTCACCCTCTTCCTCAACACCCACTCACCCTCTTCCTCAACACCCACTCACCCTCTTCCTCAACACACACTCACTTGATCGATGCCACTGTGCCCCACGCAGAGGAGGATGGGTGGCGGCAGCGAGGGGCAGAGGCGGTCGAGCAGACTGGCGAGTCACGTGGGGTGCAGACTAGCAGACATACACCCATCCCACAGTCCCCCACAAGCACTCACCACCTTCCCATCCATACCCACTCACCCGCTCAAGGCCGCTGTGCCCCACACAGAGGAGGATGGGCGGCGGCAGCGAGGGGCAGAGGCGGTCGAGCAGACTGGCGAGGCCCCACTTGAGGCGCGGGATGGGGCCGTGCTGCTGTATGATGCGCGCCTCTGGGAAGATGTTGAGCTGCGAATGGGGGTGTGGGGGGAAGGAGAGAAGGGGAGAAAAAGGAGTATAAGGCTACTCCAATCACCCACTTGAGGCACGGCAGGGGGGGGGCTGCTGAATGAAGGGAGGGGAGGGATTAGAAAGGCGGAAGGATGCGGGCATGAGGCAATGCACTTGACTGAAACTTGAGGCGAGGGATGGGGCTGTGCTGCTGTATGATGCCCAACTCTGGGAAGATGTTCAGCTGCAGATGTAGGGTTTGAAGGGAGGGAGAGGGCTAGGTGTAGCTTCACAACGGGCCAATTCATTCTGATGTTGTTGCAAACAGAAAAGACGAAGATGTGAAACCGGTGTAGCTTCAGGACTTACACAGGCGCCGTGGTCTGTTTGCAAAAGCTACACAATCACCCAGGTGTACTTGTGGAACTTACCCAGTCACCCTGCTGTAACCGCAGGAGAGCCTCGTCCATGCCTGGTTGAAACACTCCCTGGTTTCGCGATACCGGAATGCTCTTGCCTGACAGGGAGAAATGTGTCAGAGCGACATGTGCCAGAGAGACACGTTCCAGAGCCACATGTGCCAGACCAGAGTGCTTGAGACGAGTCGAATCAGAAGGCGAATCCAAGTATTTACTGAATGTCATAAGATAAAAAGCGAGTATATAACAGAAGATTTACGCATCAAGGATCCGGAGGGAATGATTGAAATTACCGATGCGGAAGATGTAGGAATCAAGGAGGCCGGTGAAGCAGATCTCGGAGGCAGTGAGCGTCCAGCGGCACAGCTTGGGGTCTCTTATGCGCAGGCCCCTCTGCCCGCCCCATAGCAGCGGGTCGTCTATCCTGCGGACGGGCAGGCGAAGCATGGGGTGGGTGAGTGACAGGCAGAGCATGGGGTTGCAGGGAATATCGAGGGATCCGTGATGCGCAGCCCCCCCTGCCCGCCCCACAGCAGCGTGTCTCGTGTTTCTCTATCCTGCAGGCAGGTGGGTAAGCTATGGGACGGGTGGGTGACAGGCAAAGCAAGGGGAGAAATGAGGGATTTGCGCGGGGTGCAGGTGAGTTGAGGGGTGCAGGTAAGGCAAGAATGTGCGAACAAGGGAAAACAAGAGACATGTGGAGGACACAAGACGGTGACAGATCAAACCAAGAGAGACACGTGGAGGGCACACGATGGAGACGAATCAAACCAACCCCCCCAAGTGAGAGAAAAGAGAGAGGGGTTGGGGAAGTGGGCGAGGAGAGGGGCGTGGACGGGAGGTGCGGGAGAGCGGGAGAGCGGGGGAGTGGAAGAGCGGGGGAGTGGAAGAGCGGGAGCGGGGGAGCGGAAAAGCGGGAGAGCGGGAGAGCGGGAGATCGGGAGCGGCGGGTGCGCGGGTGAGCGGGTTGGAGCCAATCGTACGTTGCCATGTGGTTGCTGACGGTGATGAGCGGTGTGCCAGCTGGCCGAGAGTTTACGAGATCCAGCAGCGTCTGCTGATTGGTCACCTCCATGCGATTCAGGACGTTCATGTAAAAATACGACATCGAAGTAATCGTCGCTATCGCCACGCGCCTCGGAATGCCGAACAGGTGCGACGTCTCCGCGGGAGGCGCCAAGGCTTCGGAAATCCAGGAACTCGCGCCGCGCCGGCCTTGCGTAGCTGCCGCCGCCACTGCTCGAGTCGCGGCCGACGCGGCTGCGGAGACGAGCGGCTTGGAAGCTCGCACGCCGTTGCTCATGATCGCTGCGTTTCGACGTCTCTTGGATCGTCGGTTCGTGAGTACGTCTTTCCCGTTTAGACGTTCATCCTGGAACGGTCAGACGTTCGTTTTATGCTATAAAACCAGAACGTGGCATTTACATCGGACTGCTTCAGGCGATCAAATGTACACAGGTGAAGATTTGGTGTAGTGTAACGCGGGCAAATATTAACTCCGAAACCTTTGAATCCGTGAGGCTCCTCAGCCGCATATCGATTCTTGCGTCATTCCGTTAGGAATCGAAACCGATCTAAAGCGGGAGACCAGGGCTTCACCTTTTCGCTGCCAGGATGACAGGCTACAGCAGGCACTGAGATAAAAGGATCTGAAGTGAGAGAACGGAGGTTTTGAAGAGGGACGCGGCTGGGATGGGAAGCTTTCAACGGCTACTTCTGCTCCCTCCATACAACTCCACTTCGGTCAATTGGTTGGCAATACCGAGGTTACCTGTGTTGGCCTGATAACACCAAGAGCAAAAATCAGCCAATCAGGAGCAAAGGTGTGGAACAAACAAAATGGCCCATACAGGTTTCGAACCTGTGACCTTCGCGTTATTAGCACGACGCTCTAACCAACTGAGCTAATGGGCCTGTCTCTGGAAGATGCGTTATTTTTATAAAATTTAGTTTTTACTCCTCTCCGTCACGCACACGGTGTTTCGCCTGTCAGCTCCTCCACATTGCAACAGCTTTCCAACGTCAGCAGCCCTGCAGATGTGCGCGTATCTTAGCCGTTAAAGTCGACGTTCCAGGTACCGTCAGATCTAGGGTAGCGACTATCCCGCAAGCTCCTCTCACCAACTTCTTCTCAGCTCCATTCCTTCTTTCCAAGTTCTGCTGTTAGCAGCCGCGGCCAATAGGATTCCCGAGGGGGGAGCGGGTAAGGGGATGAGGACGGATGGGAAAGACGGAAAGGATGGGAAGGACGGGGAGCACTCGAGAACGCATTCGATGAAAAAAAAGATGGGATCGGTGCTCGGATGGGCGGCCCGGATTCTCCCGCAGTCCACCAGTGGCGGCAAAGGGCTCGGCGCGGAGCGACGGAGCGAGAGCGAGGTGGAGCGGCGCGTGGTGGAGGCGCTGCGGCGGCGGAGAGAGGAGGAGGAAGCGTCCGGGAAGAAGCGCATCGTGCATTTCAACACGCTGGTGATGAAATTCGCCAAGTCGGACGAGGCGTTCAAGCAGATCCGCAAGCAGTTCGACCAGTACGGTGCGCGCACGATTCCTCAAGGTTCTGAGGCCTTTAGATGAGTTTTGAGGAGTTTTGAGGACCGTTGAGGCGCCTCAAACGCCGCCAAGTCGGACGAGGCGTTCAAGCAGATCCGCAAGCAGTTCGACCAGTACGGTGCGCGCTCCGAGCCGCATTCTCGAAGGACCAGATTCTAGGAGGACGAGATTTTAGGATATTTATGGTCCCACGATTCACGTGAGAGCGCTGAACGGAGGACGGTGGGGGTAGCCCGCCGCGTGTATAGTTCCACGTCTGGCTCTGCAACGCTCTGCAACCGGGTTTCGTGGGGGATATTGGTGTTCTCTCCCTCCCCTCTTTACCACCCACCCCTTGAATAGACAAGCACGCGAGCCAAGCGATCGACCTGGAAGAGCTGACGGCATGTTCCCGCCTTCCCCTTCCCCACCAACCACCCCTCCCCCGCCATCCCCTCCCTCCCCCGCCATTTCCCCCCTCCCCCTCTCCTTCCCTCCCAACAGACAAGGACGCTAGCCAGTCGATCGATCTGGAGGAGCTGTCGACGTGTTCCCCCTCCCCTGTCCCCCACCCTCCTCTCCCCCCCCCCCTCTTCCCCTCTCCCCCCCCCCCCCTCTTCCCCTCTTCCCCCCCCTTCAACAGACAAGGACGCGAGCCAGTCGATCGATCTGGAGGAGCTGCGGACGTGTCTGTCGGCGCTGGGCGTGCGGATAGAGGAGGAGGAGGTGATGCAGCTGTACCGCGAGGCGGACATGGACTGCTGTGATGGCATGCACTTCAAAGAGTTCATCCTGCTGCTCGCGCTGCTCTACCTGCTGCAACCAAACGTACGTGCAGCTGTGCGTGTAACTGTGGGGATGGTATGTGCAATTTTTGTAACAACGGGGAAGGCCAATGAGCGTACGTACGGCTGTCAGATCTTTCGGAATTGGGACTGACTGCAGTGAGTCAATGAGCAGCGCGAGCGTTTAGGTTGTGACTTGGCTAATTCTGTTGGTGGGACATGTGTTTACGCAATGATGCTCATTAACCCCACTCATTCTCTGTGTGTGTAACTTGTCGAGAACGCATATTTGAGCAGTCCTAGGTGTAAACTGCTCATGCCTGGTCCGTGATAATCTGAAGGAGGACCAGTTTCACTGCATCAGATACTTTCACTGGAAACACATTTTCCACATACTAACCCTTGCTTTGAAAAAAAAAATTTCCTCAGCAAGCATTTGAGGCGCCTCAAAAGTCGTCTCAGCAAGCATTTGCTCCGGCTTCTGCTGGACCGTATCCATCTCTTCAACAGGACTGCTTTACTTTTTTTGCTGCAGCTCACGTGCAGCTTCTTCACATGTTATTCTGTTACCAATCACGTGCAGCTTCTTCACATGTTATTCTGTTACCAATCACGTGCAGCTTCTTCACATGTTATTCTGTTACCAATCACGTGCAGCTTCTTCACATGTTATTCTGTTACCAATCACGTGCAGCTCACGTGCAGCTTCTTCACATGTTATGCGCTCACGTGAGCTGGGAATCACTTGTGCGCTCCTCTCATGTGCTCCCTTTCCATGCTCACTTCATGTGCTCCTCTGTGCTCCCTTCCCTTCACCGCCCCAGCAGTCGCATTTCGGGCTGCTAGAAGTGGAGGAGGCGTTCGGCTGATAGCAGACGCGTTCAACGTCTTTGTATTACCCTCTCATATGTTTCACATGCTCCCTTGTTGTTTCCCCCTTCAGGCGCACTTCGGCCTGCCAGAGGTGGAGGAGGCGTTTGGGCTGATAGCAGACGCGTTCAACTTCTTTGACACCACGGGGGAGGGCTTCCTCACGCAGGCGAAGGTGCAGGCCGCCATGAGCAGCGGCAGAGACTCCTCGCCCAGCCGCATCGCCGGGCAGAGATTCGGTGAGTTCTGAGCTTGCAGGGTGTGTGTGGGGGTCACGCAGACCAAGGTGCAGGAAGCTTTGAGCTTCGGTTGAGCAGTGGAAGGGACTCCTTGCCCAGCCGCATTGCTGGGTAGAGATTCGGCGAGCAGGTGGAGAGGAAGGAGTTAGAGAGGAGCGATGCGAGGAGGTTAAGGCAGGGGGGGAACTATCCCACGCAGGCCAAGCCAAGGTGCAGGCTGCCATGAGCAGCAGCAGAGACTCCTTGCCCTGCCGCATCGCCGGGCAGAGATTCGGTGAGTGCTGGGGGGGAGTGGATGCGAGAAATGGTACAGAGGAGAGGGTGGGAGAAGGATGGGATCTGGAGGCATTCTCACGCAGGCCAAGGTGCAGGCCGCCACGAGCAGTGGCAGGGTCTCCTCCCCCAGCCGCATCGCCGAGCAGAGAGGTTCGGTTAGAGGCTTGGGGAATAAAGGGTGGTGGGGTGAGTGATGGGTGGATGGGGTGGTGGGTGGGTGGGGGTATAAAGGCAACAGGGCCGTAAGATGGTTGGGGCATGAGGCTGGGACGAAGAGGGCTTCATTTTTGGGCAATTTGTTGTTAGGAGTTTCTGATTGGCCATCTCATTATCTCTCTTCACCTTGGTCGCCCTCCACCTCTCACTCCCTAAGTCACTCACTCACTCACTCATCCTCACTCACTCACTTGACATACTCACTCACTCCCCCCATCCCTCACTTACCATCCACCAGCGGAGATGGATTACAACACGAACGGGCAGTGCACGCTCATGGAGTTCCTATTCGCTCTCTGTTCCTCCCTTACTCTCTCTCCTTCACACTCTTTCTGCGTCACACACACCCGCTCACCTCCCACCTCCAGCGGAGATGGAGTACAACACGAACAGGCAGTGCACGTTCCAGGGGCTCCTGCCCGTTCAAGGACTCCCAAACCGTCCTGTCTCTCTTGCTCACTCTTGTTCTCTCTCCTGATCTACCCGTTACACATTCTCACCCTCCCCCTCACCAACCTGCAGCTGAGATGGACTACAACACGGACGGGCAGTGCACGTTCAAGGAGTTCCTGTTCGCGTATGTGGGGTGGGTGGGCACTGCAGAGGAGGAGGAGGACGAGGAAGAGGAGGAAGAGAAGGAGGAGGAGCGCAGCAAAACCCCTAAAACCCCGAAAACCCCCAAGTCCCCCAGCAAGTCTCCCAAGTCTCCGAAGTCGCCCCGCACTCCCAGGCATTCGGGGGGGCATAGATGAGGAAGAGGAGGAGATGGAGTGTGAGAATCAGGGAGGGGAGACCATGGGTCGAGAATGAGGTGGGAGGGTTTATTGCACAGGGGATGTGGCACACATGTTCCTCTCTGCACCTCTCGGCATCACTCTCCACCACTCTCCACCACTCTCCACCACTCTAGTGTCACTCAGGGGGCGTTGCAGCGGCTGCTAGTGCAGCGGGTAGGAAGGTGAGAAACTCCTGCTGTGAGATCTATGGAGGAGAGAAGCAGACTAGCAGCAGTGGCATTGCCAGCAGCAGGGGGATGGCTGGGGAAACGGCATGGTTTAGAGTGTGCATGTGCTTCTGTGGGAGCAAGCAGGCAGTCGCTGGTGGAACTTTGAAAGCAGTGGGAGGGCTAGCAGCAGCAGGACGGAGCCGTGAAATACCGTGATTTGTGGGCCTTCATGTGCTGCCACGGGAGCAAGTTGAGCAGCGAGGAGACACAGCTTGAGCTTGAGAGTGATTTTTTGTAGAGTTTTGAATGAGGAGACCAGGGGCGGTGGGGGGGGGGGGGGGGGAGGAAGTGCATTTGCTGTTCTCCTCAAGACAAGGCTTGTGAGGGAGGTGTGGGGGGGGGGAGAGGGGGGATGGGGAGTGTAGAGAGGGAATTTGCGACTTGAGAAGTGCGTCTGTGGAAGTGGTTTGGCTCTCAAGGGTGCGTCTGTGCAGGATCAGCAAAAGGGAACAGAGGGAGCAGGAAGTGGGTGCCGGACGGTGAGGAGGGAAAGTGCGAGGGAGACACGGTTTAGTTTGGTGTGGTGATCGCATAGTGCCATGCACAATTGTGTGCTTGTGGCATTCAGGGTGTTTTTGAGAATCCAACAAGTACACTGCCATGCACAATTGTGTGTGAGCAGCATTCTTTGGTGGAAACAGCAGAGGATGAGTATGAATGGATGGGTGCGAACAGGTTCAAGAGGGGTTGGATGGAGGGTTGGAGGAAAATGGCTGGAGATGGAGAGGGAGGGTTCAACAAGACATGCTGATATGATATTCCATGGGCATGCGAAACATGTTTCTTTGCGTGCACAACAATACTGTGTCGTGGGCTGTTCAACGGAATTTTTCTGCTGTCCAGGAGTGTGATTCCGCCGGTTTGAATGTAAAAATGCTTTGATTGATGAGAAAGTGATGTAAAAATTTCAGGTGCAAGCTGGCTGGTTCACCCTCCAATTATTTGTTTCCTTCACCCTACTTGTCATTCCTACCGTTTCAGTACGACCGAACTATCGGTAAAACGGTAGCTCCTAAGCGCGGACGTTATTGGTGTTCTGCTTCTACAGCACTTCGCCACTCAGCTGTACCTCTGTACAACATTGCGAGGGATAATCGCAACGCAACCCGACAGCCCAGCTGTCGTTTCGCGTGAGGGCGGCGTTATTCCGGGGAGAATCTGCACGCTGCAGGTGCGAGTAAACGCAGTCCTGTGACCTGTGGGGGGAAGCGTAACGTGCGAGCCCGCGACTTGCCGCGACGGGTCCTCACGACCAGAAGCATCGTTCGCCTCGCCCCTCGCCCCTCGCCCCTCGCCCCTCGCCCCTCGCCCCTCGCCCCTCGCCCCTCGCCCCTTGCCCCTCGCCCCTCGCCCTTTGCCTCTCTCCCCTCTTGTTCCCGTGCCTTCCGCACTCATCCACACCCTTGATTTCCGCCGCCCTTGCTTCGCCCGTCGTCCCCACATGACGTCGCCCCTCCTCCGCCGCCCCTTATTTCCCGCTCGCAGTCGTTTTGCCGCTCGCGCCTTGCGCCTCTCACGCTCCTTGCGCCTCTCTCCCGCTCCATCTCGAGTGCATCTCCTCGCCCGAACTCCCCTGTTCCTCGTTTCTTTCCCGTGAATGGTTGCTAGTGCAAACAACGGGCGAAGGAGAGGGGCATCGCTGAGGGGGGGTTAGGACGAGAAAACACGGAAATCTCCCCTTTGAACTGACCAACAACTTGACTGTTATCTTTCGTCCCTTTTGAGGTGCCTCAAAAGAAAACATGGAATTCTCCCCTTTGAATTGACCAACAACTTGACTGTTATCTTTCGTCCCTTGGGGCATGGCGACTCTTCTTCGCTCTGAGACGCTGATCCTTCTTCTCATTCTCTCCGCCTCCCCCCTCCCCACCACCCGTCTCTCCCCCCTCCCCTTCCCCCCTCCCCCCTGTTCCCCCACTATCCACCTTTCATCGCCTCTCCCATCTGCTGCGGTGGCACCCCGCACCCCCCAGCAGACATGCACATCGTGAGTGAGCGCATGGCATGCTGGGCGGCAGTCATTTTTTTTTTTTTTTTTTTTAAGAATATTAAAAAAAAGCTGCCCACACCCTCCAGCAGGCGCGCACATCGTGAGTGAGTGTGAGCACATGGCATGATGGGCGGGAGACAGGAAACGAGAAGATTCAGCCAGCCATGGTGGTGGTGACCTCTCAGGCTGCAACCTGATTCACACTTGCACTGCGGCTACCGGTCTACCGGGTGCCTTTTGGATTGACCGAAATAAGAAATAAAACTAGAATCAAGGTACATTTGCACTGGCTGTATGGGCAACCAAGCGTCCTCTCCGTGCAGCATGACCTTTCCTGGTAGCCCCGACTCGGGGTCGGCAGCAGAGCAGGTTCAGAAGCCTCAGCAAGCAGCAAGCACTGCACAGGACGAGTCAAGCTCACAAAATCGTAAGTACCAGTGTTTCCGTTGCACTGCAATTTCTGAGAATTTTTGTGACTAGGATAGGGTGTTTCTTGCATTGCTCTCGGCTCATGATTGTGTATGTTAACCTCCCCCCTCTTTCACTCCCATCTTTCCGATGTCTCCTCCCGCCTCTTCCCCTTTCCCCCGTCTCCTGCCCCCTTTCCGGCCCGGCACCATGCTAGGTGCTAACCACACAGAGCCATCATCAGGGTCGCACTTGGTGCTCGGATGCAGCTTCCACAGCAATGAATCTCCTGTTTGGCGAGAATTTCCTGACCCTTCAGGGGCTCGTTATAATCCTCCTGCCGCAACGCTCCCCCTTCCATTTGAGCTGTACGGCCAGCCGTTTTATAGAGGTTTTCAGTGGGAGAAGAAGGTTTAAGAGCTACCATATGAAGTTGCTGCACACAAGCTGTGACAACTCGTATCGTACCTAGTGCATTTGCCTGGCTTACAACAATAATCTGTACAGATATTCCATGAAAAATATTGTTTGTTGCCACAAAATTTCAAAAGAGATAGTGTCGTCTACTAAATGTCCAATGCATTGAGTTTGCATGCACCCAGCTAACACCCAAAGCCTACAAACCATTTTCATCTGTAAGTATTCGCCATTGTTTGTATGGATCCTTCCGTTTGAGGGGCATCTCTTCAGAGTTGGCACGTCCCGCAGCAGATTGAGTCCCTTTCTATCCGGTTATTTATCTTCCGTGGCGAGGAGTGCTGCGTTGCCAGCGTGGTCCAATCTCGGCGCCGCCACATCCTCTTCGGCATAAGCGAAAGTCAGGCGACCGAGCAGGTGGTAACCCTGGAAAAGAGTACATTCCTTTCAATTGCCACGTGGTTCACGTTGTGTGAAGGTTGCCTCTGTATGGCCAATTTACCACGTGGAACACGGAATTGAAGGTGGCACTACGAAGGTCGAGACTAGTTCTCCTTTCCATATTCAAAGTTGAGGCCATAACGACCATAAGCAAAAATGGAACAGCATTCGTTTTAGGTTGAATATTTAATGTAGCCAAACTATTCAGGTATAGAACGTGATCGCGACTGTTCGTAAAACAAACCGTCTGACATCCCAGGCTTGCGAGGGACTGGAGTGACCTTGAAGGGAGTGAGAATTTTGACAATCATCCACTAAAGTCCCCACCCTTAGAAACAATCCCTCAGTAACAGACAGAAGCCTCATGTTTACACAGGAAAGGTGGGGTATTGTGGGAGCATGACCCTGCGACTGCAATCACCGAAGCGAATGCATGCCGCTGATTGGCCCGTTTGTTGGCGAATATGCGTTTGCGAATTCACAATGCAACCTGTGTCATTCTATCAACCCATCCCAACCTGGCGCTTCCTTTGCGATTGCCACCACCACCCAGCTTCACAACCACAGCCACAAGTTCCTCGCTCATGCTGGCTTTTCCTGAGCCACCTTTGTGATTCAACAGCTTGCATTCTCGAGATAATCTGACAACCTCGTCAGTTTCGAGAGATTCGTGAAGCCATTGCTCCAGGGTTTGTTCCTTTCTCTTTGATCTGGTTGCTATACAACTGATTTGGTCGAGTATAATATTTCTGTTTAGGTCCAGGAAGTGCAGCCAGCCATGCTTGGCTCAATGGCAAACGCGACTTTGCCATGGACACTCGGTGGTCCAAGAGGTTCCTGCCCGGCGGAATTACACGTACGTCGCTCCATTGACGTAGCTCGTGCTTCTTCTCATTTCGCTTTGTGATCCTGAGAACTCTGGACTAACGGAAACTTAACGAGCCACGATTTTTTACGGGATGACAGTTGTGAATTAACCTGATCAACTCTCATTCGGAGCAACCGCTACTTTGACAATTTGTGAGTCGACTGGAAAAGAATCTGATTCAACCCATCCTATCTTCATCTCCTGCAGTGTCTCATTTGGGTCCATCGCTACTTTGGCGACTGCGTGTGTAACTTTCGCGACGGGCTTTCGTTCACGCTGGGCATGATGAGCGTCGTCGCCTGGGGTGTCGCCGAGATCCCGCAGATTGTTACCAACTTCTTCGCTGGCAGCACCGAGGGCGTTTCGCTCACCTTCCTCATGACGTGGACTGTCGGGTGAGATGACGTGGACTGTCGGGTGATGAGATTGCCGTCAGGAGAGTGTAGAGCCAACTCAAATTCGCGTGGGTGCAATTGATAACCAGCTGCTTCGCTAGTAGCACCAAAGGAGGTTTTCTTTCCTTTCTCGTGACCTTGACCGTCAGGAAGACAATGTGGTGTGGGTTATGAGCTGATTTGGCCTTCCGTGCAGGCACCTTTCGTTCCACATCTTCCTCTCTTCGCTCCTCATCTTGTGCTGTCTTTCCTCTCTAGATTCATTTCTCCCTATTCCCCTCTGTTCCCTATCTTCCGTCACTCCCCCGATACTCCCGCTCCATGTCTTGTACATGCTCCCAGCCAGTTCTATCCCAGAATCATAAAAAAAACTCGAATGTAGTCCGATCTCACACCCGTCATTTGTGGCCTCTTCCCTCCACCCTGGCTCCATGTGGCTTTCACAGGGACGTCTTTAATCTGGCCGGATGCTACCTGGAGCCTGCAACGGTAAGCTTTGAGTTCATACAATTACTTTAGTCAAAAGTTACAGTCCCTTGAATGGAGCTAGAGAGTTTCGCTTCTGTGTTTGTTTGCTATTTTTTTTAGTTTGCCTGGCGGAAATACCAGGTAGTGGCCTGCATGAGCTTCGAATTCCACCTTATCTTTTGATACGACCTTCTCGTCTTTCTCTCCGTCCGTCCAACCCCCTTTTGTCTGTCTGTGAATGTGCAGCTCCCAACGCAGTACTACATGGCTCTGGTAAGAGATACATCATAAATGCTCGTGTGCTCCTTCCAACGCATTTCATCCTAAACTCTCCTCTTGATGCTCGAGTCGAAGGCTGCACCATGCACCTTTGTGCACCATGCACCATGCTCGTGTGCTCCTTTTGCTTTTCTTTTTCTATTTGTCCTTCCATGGTGATCTTTTCAGTACTCGTTCTGCGTTCGTCCTATACTCCTTCTCCCACGCCCACCGTCCTCACCTTTGTCGTAAACCCGTTCCTTCTTCCCCCCTTTTCCTTTCCTCTCACTCTCCCTTCCGCAAAACATCACCACCACCACCACCACCACGACCACCTCCGCCCTTACCAGATACGATGATAGTGCTGGTGGCGCAGACGGTGTACTACGAGGTGTTGGTGCCTTTGCAAAAATCTCATTCCCTCTTTTCCCCCACTTTCCTTTCCCTCCCTCACTCAAAACACCACGACGACCACCACCACCAACCACCATCACCAGATGTACACGATAACGACGATAGTGCTGGTGGCGCAGACGGTGTATTACGAAGTGTTGGTGTCTTAGCAAAAATCCCATTCCCTCTTTTCCCCCACTTCCCTTTCCCTCCCTCATTCAAAACACCACGACGACCACCACCACCAGATGTACACGATAACGACGATTGTGCTGGTGGCGCAGACGGTGTACTACGAGGTGTTCGTGCCACACAAAGAGGTGGCGGAGGGTGAGGACGACGAGGGCGACAGCGTGGCAGTGCAGGACAGCATCAGCGGCAGCAGCTCTGTGCAGGTGGGTGAGATGGGTGGGTGGGACTTAAGGGTTGGTGGGTGCTGGTAGTAGTACAGGCGGTGTACTATGAGGTGTTGGTGCCGCACAAAGTGGCGGTGGAGGGTGAGGACGAGCAGGAGGAGGGCGGCAGTGCAGGACAGCATCAGCGCCAGCAGCACTGTCCAGGTGGGTGATATGGGTGGGTGGGACTTTGGGCTGGGTGGGTGCTGGTGGCGCAGACGGTGTATTACGAGGTGCTGGTGCCGCACAAGGAGGTGCCAGAGGACGAGGACGAGCAGGAGGAGAGTTTCACGCCAGTGCAGGACAGGTGACAGCATCAGTGTCAGCAGCACCATGGCCGTCAATCTGCAGGTGGGTGGGTTGGGCGAGTTCTGAGGTGTCTAAAAAGTTGCCGCAATGCTGGACAACATCAGCGCCAGCACCACCATCGCTGTCACTCTGCAGGTGGGTGGTTTGGGACTTTGGATTGGATGGGTGCGCAGTTGAATGAAAGAGTGTGTGAGTAGCTAACTGTTAAAGGCACCTCTGGGATTTTTGAAGGATAGATGACCTTATGCTATGCTGTGCCATGCTATGCCATGCCAAACATTAAAGTCTCGGTGCACAAGGGTCAACAGGAGGCATTTCTTTATCAGATCTAATCAGAGGAAAATCAGAGCAGACGATATTATATCAAATCTTACCGGAGATCAGATTAGACCAGATCACAGCAGGTTAGAGCAGATAAGATAAGACCCCATCGCTAAGGAACAAAGACACCTCACAGTCCTCCTCACTTCCCAATTCCCTGCCCTACCCACCCCTTGTTCCTCTCCGCACTCCTTCCCCTTCTCCCAGCTGCAAACCCCTTTGCCTGCTGCACAGGCAGCATCAGCAGCAGCAGCAGGCACTGTCATTGCTGGTGGGAATCGCTCCCTCCTCCTTTCTCTCCTGCCCGCAGACTCCTCAGCTACAGGGACAGCAGCAGCTGCCATCATTTCCAGTGGGAGTGCCCCAAGGCGTGCCCATTTTTTGAGTCGATTGCTCCCCTCTCGTTCTTATCCCCTCCCAGTTGCAGACTCCTCTGCTACAAGGGCAGCAGCAGCAGGCGCCGTCAATGCCGGTGGGGGTGCCCCAGGGCCTGTTCATCTTTTGAGTCGACTAAAATTTACCCAACTATCTTCTCGTTCCCCTTTCCTTTCGCCCCTCTCGCCTACAGACTCCCCTACTGCAAGGGCAGCAGCAGCAGGCGTCGTCAGTGCCGGTGGGAGTGCCCCAGGGCGTGCCCATCCCCACTGCCCCACGATCCGAGATCCTCTCCGTGCCGCTCAGCCGCAAGTCCTCCCACCGCGACATCCACATCCAGTCAGTCGCTGCTTCTCGCCCTCCTTCATCTCCCTCCCTCCCCCACCTTTTGTGCTCTTGTATTGAATGCAATCGTCCCTTTGCTTTCGAATGGTCCGTATATTGAAAATGCCAGGTACAAACGGGCACGCCAGGTACAAACGGGCACGCCAAGTACAAACGGGCACGCCAGGTACGTCATGGCTAGTGAACGAATCATTCTAACAAAACGGACACACAAACAATCGTGTCGCTCAGCCGCAAGTCCTCCCACCGCAGCATCCACATCCAGCCAGCCCCTGCCCTCCCCCTCCCACACTGCCCCCCCTCCATAGTCGCCGTACCTAGCCCGTCCCGGTACTGATTCTTATGAAACTGAATGGTATGGTACTGAATATTATTCCCTTTGACTCTCCCATCTCCCATCCCCTCCCATCTCCCATCCAACCCCACCCCCCCCCCCCCCCCCCCCCCCCCCCCCCATCTCCCATTTGTGCAACCTTGAGTAAGCCCTCAACCCAAGAACCAAAACCTCCCGTCGCTGAAGTACTTCCTTGCTCTCCCCCCTCCTCTTTCCTTTTTTTCATTGCCTTTAACTTTTCCCCTCTCGTAACATGTCTCCCGTGCCTTCCCCCTCTCTCACCCTCTCTGCCCTCTTCCCACCACCCACAACGCAGTCGCTAGTGAGCTGCTATACGCCCATCATGGCCCCATTCCTGCCTGCCTCTTCCTGTGTTGTGCCTTCATCATTTTCCTTCTCTGCCTGCCTTCTCACCTCCCTGCGTTCACTACCCTACCTTCCCCCCGTCCCTCCACCCCCCTTCACAGCTCTGCGCGGTCGCTAGTGAGCTGCCACACGCCCACCATGGGCTCGTTCGTGCCTGGGTCACACGGGCACCACCCACACCACCCGCACTCACTGCACGCGCGCGCCATGCGAAGCACCATGTGGGGTCGCTGCTCAGCTAGTGCTCCCTCTCTTTCCCCCTCTCTCTCCCCTCTTTTTCCACCTCCCACCCCCTCCCCCTCCCACCCACCAGCTCTGCGCGGTCGCTAGTGAGCTGCCACACACCCACCATGGGCTCCTTCGTGCCGGGGTCGCACGGACACCACCCACACGGCTCACACGGCCACCACCCACACTCGCTGCACGCTCGCCATGCGCAGCACCACGTGGGGTCGCTGCTCAGCCAGTCACCCGGCCAGGGCGTGCCCCACATCTCCCTGCGCAGCAACAGCCCCGTCACCCGCGCTGTAAGCCCCTAAAATATATATATATATATTTATATACATATACATATACATATACATATACATATACATATACATATACATATACATATACATATACATATACATATACATATACATATACATATAGATATACATATAAATATATAAACTTTTTTATATATGTATATATATATATATATATCAAAGTATCCTCATCTCCCTGCGCAGCAACAGCCTTGTCACCCATGCTGTGAGTCTATTTTTGAGGATTCCACAGCAGCCCCGTCACCTGTGTTGTTGAATCAATGCATTGAACACCAGCCGTACCCTCTTGGGATACCTGGTCGGAGCATACCCTTGTCATTCCCGCAGTCTTGCTCTGGTCCACGGATATCCTTTCACGTTTCCGCACCATTTGCTGCCTCACCTCCTCATCCCTTCCTCCCCTTCATCTCCATCTCCCTTTGAGACTTCCTCCTCGTGCCCTCCTCCCCTCCTCCTCATCCCTCCTGTTCTCATCCTCATCCCTCCTGCCCTCCTGCCCTCCTGCTCCCTCTTCCCTCCCTCCCCACAGGTGGCATTCGGCATGCTGCTAGTTGGCTGCCTGCGCATCGGCACCCTCTCCCACTCCCTCTTCTCTGCTTCTTCCACCCCCAACCACCTCGGTCCCATCCCCCACCACCCAGACCCGGCCTTTACCTCCTCCTCCACTTCCCCACTCTCCTCTCTCTTCCCCTCACTTGCTGCCTCCTCCTCCGCTGATCCCGGCCTCGAATCCTACCGTCTGCCAGCGCAAATCTTTCCCATGCGCCGACGACTGTTGCAGGTGAGTCTGTCTGTTTCCTCATAAGAATAATTTTTAATAAGCTGTCTGTCTAATCACAATGTGCTTGTATCAGGGTACGCATGTATCCAACAACCCATTTGGGTAACGCATTCCAACAGACATTCTATTCAAACAAATCAAGTGTGTGCGCATGTCACATGCGTGAGCGGCCTTGGTACCAAATGCTCACATCCCGATCCAGCCAGCCCCTTTCCCGTTCAAAAATCATGAGATGTCTCAAACGTTCCCTCACCTGTTGCCGTTCCTCTTCCTTCTCACTAACGAGCACAGCACTTTGCTGCTCATACGAACCTGCTGAATGCCTTGGCTCTCTCTGGAAGAACACTTCCCAAGCCTGTCTCGTAAGAGGGTTGCTCCTTGCCTTCCTGTCCGCTGATGCTTTGTCTCTGCACTGTTGCCCTGCCCCCCGTTATTCCAGGTGAACATGCACGGATTGTTTTCTCAACACCTGCTGACAGATGGTAACTCCCGCTTGCGCCATACCATCCCCACCATCTTCCACCATCCCATGGTCCTGTAACAGAATTTCACCCTTGAAACGCCCCATCATACCATCTTCACATTTGAGTCCACTCAGTGTCAATGCCCACCAGCCTCAGCCATACCACCGCCCTGTACCAGAATCTCACTCTCCAAAAGCTCCACTGCATGCCCATCGTACTTCTGCTCTTGCCGTGCTGCTCCTCCCCCCAACAACCCCCCCCATCAAACCAGGCGACGATGAGGAGCCGAGTGCGCTGGGGGAGCTGCTGGGGTGGCTCATGGCGGCCATCTACATGGGCGGACGTATCCCCCAGATCTACCTCAATGTGCGTATGCATGCATGCTGCTCTCCTTGCATGCCATGCCATCAGTGCGAGCTGCTGTGTTGCTGCATGCTGAATGCTGTGGCTTAGATTTTTAACCGAGCACCCCCTTCCCTCCCCTTCGTCTCCCTGCATGCATTCAGATCCAGCGAGGCACAGTGGAGGGCCTCAGCCCACTCATGTTCCTCTTGTGGATGCTGCATGTTGCATCTTGTGGCACTTCAATTCAGTGTACATTCTCAACCTTGCACCCTCTGCCCCTTCGTCTCCCTGTGTGTGCATGCAGATCCAGCGCGGCACAGTGGAGGGACTCAGCCCGCTCATGTTCCTCTTCGCCCTCGTTGGCAATGCCACCTACGTGGGCAGGTGAGAGATTCCACGTGTCTACTTGTCCAGGTCAAGTTTTGAGACGTCTCAAAACCAGGTGAGACTTTCCACTTGTCCAGGTCAAGTTGTACTGTCAGCACATTCACCCGGTTGTAGGCCTATTTGAGCGTCCAGAGGTGAGAGACTCCTGAATGTGCTGTCTGACAGCTCACCTGAATGTGCTGTCTGACAGCTCTGAGGGCGAGGGCTTCCATTGAGGGCCCTGCTTTCTTTCCTGCCACCTCGCTGCTCCATGTTTCTCTCTGTATTCCCTGTCCCTCGCCCCATGAGTGGCATGAGTGGCACACTGGCAGCACATAAAGCCCAGCTTGCCTGCTGTCTCCTTGACACCCCTCTCCACCTCCCCTTCTCACCCTTCCCCTCTTCTCTCACTTGCACATCAACAGCACAGCACGGAGTGGCGACACATCAAGCCCAAAATGCCTGATGTCGCATCAAACACATCATGAATCCCCACCCTAACGCCCCTCACCCCCCCTTCTCCCCCCCTTCTTCTTTCCCTTGCACATCAACAGCATACTGGCGCGCAGCAGGGGGTGGTGACACATCAAGCCCAACATGCCTGATGTCGGATTAATCACATCACGGCCTCCCACACAAACCTCTCCTCTTCCCACCCCTCTCCCATCCATGCACATCAACAGCATAGTAGCGCGCAGCATGGAGTGGCAACACATCAAGCCCAACATGCCATGGCTCGTTGATGCTGCTGTCTGCGTGCTTCTCGACCTCTTTGTAAGCCCCAATACCGCTTTGTAAGCCCCAACTAACCCTAACACCTCTTTGCAAGTGCCCACACCTCGTTGTAAACCCCAACACGACTTTGCAAGCCCCCACACCTCTTTGCAAGCCCCCACACCCCTTTGCAAGCCCCCACACCTCTTTGCAAGCCCCCACACCACTTTGCAAGCCCCCACACCTCTTTGTAAGCCCACACGCCTCTTTGTAAGCCGCCGCAGCTCGTTCAGAGGCATTTTAAAGAAGAGATCCACATGACCTAAATACGTTCAAGATTCTGACCTGTTTTCCAACATCACAACCCTCTTGTATGTCTGTCGTACTGCCTCTGGCAGATCCTCTGCCAGTTTGCCTACTACAGCTACAAGAATTCAAAAGAGGCGAGCACAGACGATGACTACGAGGAGGTCAAATAGGCCAAAAGCCGTGACCCTCCCTCGAGTAGGCTATACGCATGCCTTGTTAGCTGCAAGCAGCGATACATGCCTATTAGTTGCAATGCAACTCCCCTTGCAAAGGGTATGAAAAAATGGTTGCACTATTTTGACATTTATGTAGAGGAAGTCATTGTGTCCGTGTTGTGCAGTGCAATACATAGGAATTGAGCATCTGCTTATAGAATCGATCAGGTGTGGCATTCTATGCTATTCATGCCATTGCAGTTCAGCACACCAGACCTACCTGGAGTACAGAATGAAATCGTTTCTGATAGCGAAACAAACAGCAGGATGGGGACCATGCGATGGATAGATACTACTGTTGAAAACAGTATTTCTGTTACAGACAGCGTTTATGTAACAACATTGCTTCTTGCAGAGTTTAGACAGCACGGCACAGCACAGCACAGCACAGCACAGAGCAGAAATTCAGTGTATTTTCAAGGTCTGCAAAAAAATAGCTTCAGTGTGTGAAGAGGGTGACTGAGCAGTCAGCGCCTGCTGTGAAGAGCCATGGCTGGGAGGGGTGGAAGGCACACGCGTACAGACCTGCAGGCACAGGGAAGAGTGGGGATGGGGAGAGAGAATGAGAGGGTGGCGGTGAGAGAATGAGCTGTGCACTACGAACGGTGATGCTTTCAACAGGACACTCCAATAAGAGGAAAAACGGAAAATCAACGCACTGTTGGAGGAGAACAATGATGAGGTGGCGGCACGGGGGGGTGGTGGTGGTGCAGAGGATCTTGAGCGGCACGATGAGGGCCAACGTCTCTAACGCAGCCTCCTAAGAAAGAAGACACGGAAACTTAACGTACCTCTTGGGTGATTTTTGAGGCGCCTCAAAGATCACCTCAATGAAAGAGGACACAGTAACTCAACGTACTCTTGGAGGAAGATGACGAGGAGGCGGCTTGTTGTGGTGGTGGTGGCGCCCGGAGGATCTTGAGCGGCACAATGAGGGGGTTCTGCAGCAGGTCGGCGAAGACCATCCCGTGGAAGGCAAAGGCTGACCCGTCCTCTGCTGCACTGGCGAAGAGTGGGTACGTGGGGTGGAAAGCGACGCTTCTCACGTCCATGCCGCCGTGGCTCCTGCAGAGTGGGCCAAGACAGGGCAAGACAGGGGGGGCGTGAGGGAGGTAGGGATGGAACACAAAGGCTGAGCCATCCTCTGCTGCACTGGCGAAGAGCGGGTAGGTGGGGTGGAATGCCACTGACCGCACATCCATGCCCCCGTGACTCCTGTAGGGGGTGGGGCACGAGACAAAGCACGAGGGCGTGGAAGAGGGGAGAGTGAGGGGGGTTGGGATGGAACATAAAGGCTGACCCGACCTCTGCTGCACTGGCAAAGAGCGGATATGTTGGGTGGAAGGCGACTGACCGCACATCCGTGCCCCCGTGACTCCTGCAAGTTGAGGGGGTGGAAGCACGCGGGATGGGAGAGGAATTGGGAGAGGAACAAGGGATGATGGAGCCGTGGTGTGGCGTTTTGTGCTGCACTGGCGAAGAGCGGGTAGGTGGCAGCGGGAAGGTCCCCAACTGCACGTCCATGCTGCTGTATCTCCTGCAGGGTGGGAAGTAGGGGCATGGCAATGAGGTGGTGGAGGGAGGCAAGACAGATGGGTACGGATGGAAGGGAAAGGACGAGCAAGCCATGCTCTGCTGCACTAGCGATTTTTTTTTTTTTTTTTTTTAAGCCCACCTCAAGACATTGTAGGACTGCTCACCTCAAGACGCGGTAGGGGCGAGTGGAGAGGTCCATGTCGATCCATGCCACCTTGCCCTCGTCTCCCCCCACCAGCAGATGATCGCCTGCCATCCAGGCACACGGTAGGGGAGGTTGGGTTGTAGGAGGGTGTAAATTGTAGCAATTGCAATGCTTCAGGAGCACGTCGTTTCCTTCCCGTGCGATGATTTGAGACCTACAGAGACAGCTTTCACTGGTGGTCGAACCCACCTGAGGGATGGGATGGACGGATTGCGAAGACCATTACCTGAGGGATGGATGGCGAGCGAGGAGATCTGTTTGATGTTGGGCATGTATTTTCTCAGCAGGCACAGCCGCAGCAGGTGGTAGGAGCGCACGAGCGTGCGCGACGACACAAAGAGGATGGGTTTAGATGGGTGGAAGGCCACCGCTGCAATGCGCCGGTCCCCGCCCGCTGCTGCCTTCTTGAACGGGCACTGTGATGCGCGACGGGTGAGCTGGTGAATCACCACTGCCCTGCTGCCACGTGGAGGGAGGGAGAGAGGAACGAAGAGACGACAGAAGAGAGAATATTAATAGGAGATTGTACACAGCTCGAACACAAGGATTGAGAGGATCGAATGGACCTTGAAGCGGCACTGCGATGCGCGACGGTTGAGCTGGTGGATCACCACTGCTCTGCTGCCACGTGGAGAAAGACAATAAGGGCAAGGAGGGGAGAGAGGGGGAAGGGGGGGAGTTGGGAAATTTGGACGGGGGAAGACGGAAGGAAGGGAGACAACGCAAGCAGAGAGGAGAGGCGGAGCACTCCCAGCAGGAAAGCGGGATTCTCATCAGAAACGCAAGAGAACGAGCGCATATGCTTTTGAGACGTCTCAAAAGAGTGCATATGCTGTGTACTAAGCAGTTGTGCTAGGAAAACCGATAGGCCATCGATGGGCAAGACTACAGAATCAAGAACCTGGAAATAAATGAAATGCAAGAAGCAAGAAGGACTTATCATTTGGGGAGACGGAAGCAAAGTAGTCGGCCTTGCGATGCCATGTGACACTCGACACTTGCTGCATGGGGGATGGCGGACAGGATAGGTGGAATAGCAGCGGGAAACATAGGGGCGTGAATGAAATCGCTTTACAATGCAAACATGAGAAGGAAGAAAAAGAGTCGGCGTTTTGAGGAGCTGACTTTTGAGTCGACTCAAAAGTCACCTATAAGAAAGAAAAAGAGTCGGCGTTTTGAGGAGCTGACTTTCGAGTCGACTCAAAAGTCACCTAAAAGAAAGAAAAAGAGTCGGCGTTTTGAGGAGCTGACTTTCGAGTCGACTCAAAAGTCACCTAAAAGAAAGAAAAAGAGTCGGCGTTTTGAGGAGCTGACTTTTGAGTCGACTCAAAAGTCACCTAAAAGAAAGAAAAAGAGTCGGCGTTTTGAGGAGCTGACTTTTGAGTCGACTCAAAAGTCACCTAAAAGAAAGAAAAAGAGTCGGCGTTTTGAGGAGCTGCGCCTCGCTTGGTAGAGAAACGATACGGAGTCCTAAAAGAGAACTGGGTACAAGATGTGGGTACAAGTGTGCAGTTCTCACACTCAACCAAGGGTACAAAGGACCACGGTGGAGTGTGAGACGAGAGCTGAGTGAAGCAGTGAGGTTAACCTATTCTGTGTAACAGAGGAGTTACCACCTTGCCTTACCTAGTATTATTGACTACCTGTGTTAGAATTTACCTCCTGGTGCCTGAGTCGTAGGCCCTTGAGCTTGCCTCCATGCCCCCGATATGTGCTCCATGTCAACCCCACCCCTGTTGCCTCACCTTTTGAGTTTACTCACATACTGTTCAACAGCGCCAGCACTCACCTCCTGGTGTCTGAGTCGTAGGCCCTTGAGCTTGCCTCCCTCTCCCTTATACGCGCTCCATGTCACCCCCACCCCGACTCCCGCGTCTGTGGCGGAAACAAGGCAAGAAAGCTGGGTTTCGATTCAATGACTGTTGCGATTTGTGGCACGTCACAAAAAGATTTGAGGATGCAGAAACTGATCAGAGTAGGGGATGCGTTATTGTAGCATGGATGGAACACAGAGCATCTTCTTCGGGAATTCATACAAACTTGTTACCCCCCCAATTCCCATCCACACCCATCCAAACCCATCCCGCACTCATCCCCCACCCATCCACACCCACCTGCCACCCACCTGCCACCCACCCACCTGCCACCCACCTGCCACCCACCTGCCACCCAGCCACCTGCCACCCACCTGCCACCCATCTGCCACCCATCTGCCACCCATCCCCACCCACCTTCTTTCCACCCGTCCTTGGCCTCCAACAGCTGCTCCACCGCCCTCTCCTCCTCCTCCGTGCCCCCCTCCCCTGGCAGTAACACCACATCCGTGCCTCTGTTGTGGGGGGGAGGAGGAGGAGAGGGGGGAAGGGGAAAGGACGGGGAGAGAGGGGGGAGAGGAGAATACGAGGAGAGATGGGGGAGAGGAGAATACGAGGCGAAAGGTGAGGAAAACGGGGGGGGAAGAGGGGAGGGGAGGAGACGTGATAAGAGGAGGGGAGGGGAGAGGTGGAGAGGAGGGGGGGGCTCACGAGGTGATGGCGAGGATGGGGCGGGAGGAAGCAGGGCTCCATGCCACGTGTTTGACTGCCGCTGGCATTTGTATGACCCTCCGGCACCGCGTGGTGTCCACCTCCCACACCCTCACTGTGCCATCGTCACTGCCTGCAGTGCGGTGAGGAGGAGTGGAGAGGAGAGAAGATGGGAGGGGAAAGCAAAACGGGGTCTGGTGTGACATGCACTTGTCGGCACCGCGTGGTGTCCACCTCCCACACCCTCACTGTGCCGTCATCACTGCCTGCAGTGCGGTGCAGAGGAGTGGAGAGGAGTACAGAGGGGTTGGGAACAGGGTAATGGTGCGCTGCACCGCGTGGTGTCCACCTCCCACAACCTCACCGTGCCATCGTCACTGCCTGCAGTGCGATGCGGAGGGGTGGAGAGGGGTGCAGAGGAGAAAGAGAGGGAAGAGGGGCAGAAAAAGGGATGTAAGGAGAGGATTGGGAACAGGGGGTTGATGTGGCATGTGCTAGTCTGCACTGTGTGGTGCCCACCTTCCACACCCTCCTTCCTTTGAACCAGACAAAGAAACACCTCCTGGGACCGTATTAATCCGTTTAAATGACCGTTTTATACGATACCGTTTTCTACGGTAAATCTGAAAAAATACGACCGTTTTTTTTTTACGCTACACTGGCCACAGGGGCGCAAGGAGATCGCGCGCACGGTGGCACGGTGGCACGGTGGCACGGTGGCACGGTGGCACGGTGGCACGGTGGCACGGTGGCCCGGGTAGCACAGGCAGAGAGAGGGAGTGCGGTGGCCTTGGTGAAAACACTCATTCATAGGAGCACTTTCTTTCGAAAAAGATCAGATCAGATCACACCAGACAATACCTGAGGCGAGCCACTGCCCTGAGGGGAGCAGGGAGAGCGATCGCACGGTGGCGCGATGACCCAGGCGAGAGCACTCAGCAGCACACTCCTCCAGATCATTTCACCCGTATAAGCAATGTTTCGTAGACGATACCTGAAGCCATCCATTGCTCCGAGGGGTGCAGGGAGAGCGATCGCACAGTGGCGCGATGGCCCAGGTAGCGCAGCGAGAGGGAGTGCGGGAAGGGACGCAGATCCTTCCTCTTGGGCAGCTTCGGCAGCAGCGCGTCGGGATCGATCATAATCTGAGCGAGGGAGGCGCGGGGGATCAAGGAGGGTGGGGAGGAGAGCCAAGATCAGCCGCACGGTCAAACGGACCGAGTTTGATTTTCTTGGGCAGCCGCAAACTGGTCTGGACTACATTCAATTCAATCAGCAAGCCCAACACAACACTCCAATATCTTTCACTCTATGCTCTCCCACCCACGGCAACACACGCAACGCACCCGGTTCTTCTTGACGCGAGGGCACAGGTAGAGGTCCAGGCAGCGCTCAAAGCGCTCTCGGATGAAGCGTGGATACGCCGGCACAGAGCGCAGGGATTTGTACCTGATGGTGTGTTAAGGGGGGGAAGGGAGGGTGGCGGCAGGGGGCAAGGGGAACAGGGAAGATGAGAGATGAAGAGAGTGAGAGGTCCAGGCAGCGCTCAAAGCGCTCTCGGATGAAGCGTGGATACGCCGGCACGGAGCGCAGGGAGGTGTACCTGTCACTCATGGTGGAAGGGCAGCAGTGCTAGTGAAACGCTTTAGCAAGTAAGAAAAAGAGTAAAAATTCCCTCGCTAAGAAAACTCTGAGCGCAGGGAGGTGAACCTAATAACAAGGGGAAGGGGGGAAGAAGAGCGCAGAGAGGTGTACCTGAACGCCCTCATAATGCTTCACAGAGCGAGATGGTGGAAGGAACTTAACTTACGAGGCAATAGGGGCGCACCAGGCACCACAGCACAAGACATCAATCACTGCACCCACGGATACGTCACAGCACCGACAGAACGAACTGCTTGGGCAGGAAGTGCGAGTGGGAGGTGCCTTCATACTCCGCCTGCTTGCCGTTTCAGGCGCCTTGAAGTACGTATGTTGGAGGCAACTCATAATACACCGCATATACGGCCAGCACAGCAACGCGCACTCACTGCTTGGGCACGAAGAGAGTTTTGAGTCGACTCAAAAGTCACCTAGCAACAGGCACTCACTGCTTGGGCACGAAGAGCGAGTCGGAGGTGCCTTCATACTCCGCTTGCATCATCTTCTCCGCCACCTCCTCCTCCGTGGGTATGTACTCCACCGGTGGGTTGTACGACTCCTCGTGGCCTGCACATGCCAGTGGGAGGGGAGGTATGTGTCAAGGAAGGGCAGAGTGATGAAGCAATGGCATGGGTCAAGCTGCCACCTCCTCCTCTGTGGGTATGTACTCCACCGGTGGGTTGTACGACTCCTCGTGGCCTGAGAGGGAGGACGAAAGGCAGAGCAGAAGAAAGGCAGCGTGATGAGGCATTGCCAGGGACAGCGGTTAGGCTGCCTCCGCCACCTCCTCCTCCGTGGGTATGTACTCCACTGGCGGGTTGTACGACTCTCGTGCTCTGCGGGAGAGAGGGTAGGGGACACGGTAGGGGAGGAACGGTGATTGGGATATGTCGTTGGCATGGGTCAAGCTGCCTTCACCTCCTCGTCCGTGGGAATGTACTCGACTGGCGGGTTGTACGACTCCTCATGCCCTGAGACAGCAAGAGTGACAGGGGCAGGTGGCAGGGCATGCGACAGGGTAGAAATGGGCATTGGCACAGCTCATACTGCCACCTCCTCCTCCGTGGGGATATACTCCACTGGCGGGTTGTATGACTCCTCGTGCTCTGCACATGCCACATGCGAGGGGCAGGGAAGGCAGGGGGAGAGCCATGTGGCAAAACTGACTTTTCGGGCTCCTCAGGATTTGCCACCAGTTGAATTACGCATTTCCTGGCATGAAAAGGGCCGCGTCTGGGACTCAAACCAAGCAATGCAGACGTGACAGATCAGCAAACTTCACGTGTGCATGTATTGCACGATGCTGCTGACCTGGCAGTTTGACCTGGCTGTTTGGGCTGACCTGGCAGTTTGGGTTTGGGGGCGGCGACGAAGCTGAGTCCGTTGACGTTCTTGGTCTTATCGGACTGAGAGGCAATGGCTTTAAGGTCATCCCCCCACAGCAGGTACACCGCCTGCTGCTGCCCCTCGCTCTCCTTCTGCTTCCGCTCCTTCTCCCTCTGCGCTAAAGTCTTGATCGTGCCTTTTCTCAGTCCCCGCACCAGCCGCACTATCTGCATGTGTGTGTATGGGGAGGAGAAGTCGGGGAAGAGCATGGGGGGGTATGCAGGGTGAATGGGAGAAAGAAGAGTGAGATAGAAACCAGGAGATGTGTGGGACTGTGTGAGAGGCAATGGCTTTAAGGTCGTCCCCCCACAGCAGGTACACCGCCTGCTGCTGCCCCTCATTCTCCTTCTGCTTCCGCTCCTTCTTCCTCTGCGCCAGCGTTTTTATTGTTCCTTTTTGTCAGTCCCCGCACCAGCCGCACTATCTGTGCGTGAGGGGAGGAGAGGTAAGGGAAGTCAGGGGGGAGTTGGGGGTGTGCTGAAATCAAAGAATTCGGGTGAGGGTGAAACCAGGAGATGCGTGGGACTGTGTGAGAGGCAATGGCTTTGAGGTCGTCCCCCCACAGCGGGTACACCGCCTGCTGCTGCCCCTCCGCCTCCCGCTTCTGCCTCTCCTTCTCCCTCTGTGCCAACAACTTGATCGATCGTGCCTTTTCTCAACCCGCGCACCAAGCGGACTTTCTGCATGGGAAAGAGAGAGGGGGGGGGGGGGAGTGGGTTTGGTGGCGCATAAGGGGATTTTTTTTAGGCGCCTCAAAACGAGATGATCAAAAGCGGTCCCTTTCTGCACTCCCTGCAAAAGTCACAGTCTGCGTGTGGAGCGAGAGAGAGGTGAGGTGGACAGAAGTGGGAGGTGGACAGAAGTGGGAGGTGGACAGAAGTGGGAGGTGGACAGAAGTGGGAGGTGGACAGAAGTGGAAGGCGGACAGAAGTGGGAGGTGGACAGAAGTGGGAGGTGATGGGCGGTGGGGGTACGTCTCAAAAATCTACTTTCTACACGAGGTGATAGGCGGTGGGGGCGGCCGGCGGTGGTAAGTGGGAGACGAAAGAGGAGGACAGGGAGGAAGAGGGAAAAGATGCAGTGGAGGTGGGAGCAGCAGCAGCAGTTAAAGAAATCAGATTCCCTGTATATATCTACCTTCTATATCTACCTATATTCCTCCATGCCTCAATCACGAGTCAATGCGAATCTGCATGCAGACCGCCTCTCCCACCACCATGACATCAAGCGCAATGCCCCACTGCAGCCTCGTGTGCGCCGCCTTTTCCATCCAGCCCATCTGCCCATACACTCACACCCGCTCGCCCGCTCACCTGCCTGCCTCTGCTCACCTGCTTGGCCTCGTGCTTGGAGGGGGTGAAGCGCCTCTTGGGCTCTGGCTGGGCGTTGAGTGGGTCCCACTTCCCTTCCATCCATAGCCTGCCCTGCACTCACCTGCTCACCCTCTCACCTGCTCACCCTCTCACCTGCTCACCCTCTCACCTGCTCGCCCTCTCACCTGCTCGCCCTCTCACCTGCTCACCCTCTCACCTGCTCGCCCTCTCACCTGCTCGCTTGCTCACCTGCTCACCCTCTCACCTGCTCGCTTGCTCACCTGCTCACCCTCTCACCTGCTCGCTTGCTCACCTGCTCACCCTCTCACCTGCTCGCTTGCTCACCTGCTCGCTTGCTCACCTGCTCACCCTCTCACCTGCTAGCCCTCATTCGCTCACCTGCTTGGCCTCGTGCTTGGAGGGGGTGAAGCGCCTCTTGGGCTCCGGCTGGGCGTTGAGGGGGTCCCACTTCTCATCCCAGTCGAACCAGTCCAGGTATGGCTGGGGGGAGAGGGGGGGTTTGGGGGGAAAGAGAGCAACAATGCGGGAAGAGATTGTAAAGAGGATAGTTTGCTGCAATCCTGTCATGATTTGAGATCCTTCCTTCTCTGAGGTGCATGCTCAAAGCGAGGAAACCTTCTCCAAGTCTGCTGCTTCCGCCCACCCCTTGCTTTGAGTCGAGCAATCTTTCACCGCTCGTTCCCTTCGCCTGTTGTTAAGTTGAGGCAGCAGCAACCACTCCAACCAGCCCGCCTCACCTCTACTCTTTTCAGCTGCCCTCACCTCATAAGGGTTGACGTGGGCGTGTGGCGTGCGCCCCTCCCTGATTCTGCGGATCATATCAATGTCCTCCTCTGTCAGGCGGATCTCCTCGTCGTTGTACTCATCGTACACCACCTTCCTGGAAGGGGACGAGCGGGTGAAGGGAAGGAAGGAAGGAAGGAGTAGGTATAGAGCAGTCAGGGAAGGCTCTATAGTCACCGACCACTCTGTCAGCCGGATCTCCTCATCATTGTACTCTTCGTACACCACCTTCCTGGAAGGGAGAGAAGAGAAGGACACGCAAAGGCACTCTGAAGCAGGGAGACTAAGGGTGAACTTTCAAGGCCCCCCGCTGCTCTGTCAGCCGGACCTCCTCGTCGTTCACCACCTTCCTGGAAGGGGACGAGCGGGTGAAGGGAAGGAAGGAAAGGAAGGAAGGGAAGGAAGGAAGGAAGGAGTAGGTAGAGAGCGGTCAGTCAGAGGAAGGCTCTAGTCTAGAGTCACCAGCCACTCTACTCTGTCAGCCGGATCTCCTCGTCGCTGCACTCGTCGTATACCGCCCGCCTCTCTGATAGAGGAGGAGGCGAAGGGAAGGATGGAGAAAGAGAGGAGTTTTGGTGAACTCTCAGCTTCCCCCCCAGGCTGCTCTGTCAGCCCGGCTCAGAAACCACCCCACCCAAACACACCCACCCAAACCGCACCAGCACACCCACCAGGTGTTGGGGTCGTCGCGTCGTGTCCCACTTGTTCCCACCAACCCCCCCCTCCTCGCTCACAGAGCGCCCTCACAGCACCCTCGCAATACCCCAGCCCACCCACCAGCACCCCAGCTCTTTTGTGAGGACTGAAATGTCTCCCCACCCCACCCCCCACCCATTCCATCCACCAGCACTGCAGCAGCGCACCAGGCGTCAGGGTTGTCGGTGTGGGCGAGGAACTGGTCGAGCTTGTCCCCCTTAGAGGCCACTCTGATAGCCAGCTGTACATCACACACACAGCACCCTCGCTACACACTCGCTATACCCCACCACACCCATCAACACCGCAGCACAACCACCAGCACCCCATCGGAACCAGCAACCCACCAGGCGTCAGGGTCGTCGGTGTGAGCGAGGAACTGGTCGAGCTTGTCCCCCTTAAAAGCCACTCTGGCAGCCCGCCACATCACACACACAGCGACCTCACTAAACACTTGCAATACCCCCACACACCCACCAGCACCGCATCACACCCATCAGCAACCCACCAGGCGTCAGGGTCGTCGGTGTGGGCGAGGAACTCGTCGAGCTTGTCCCCCTTAGAGGCGCGCCCCTTTTGCTTCATAATGCGCTTCCCCTCCCTATCATATCCAATGTGCCCCTCCTCCTTGTACCACTCTAGGGGCACCTTGCCCACCGTGTTGCGCGATGGGCGCTGAAAAAGGGAAAGGGGGGAGGGAGGGGGAGACGGGAAGGTATCACTCTGCAGTCTGCACACGCCCCTCCCTGTCCTACCCGATGTGCCCCTCCTCCTTGTACCACTCCAGAGGGACTTAGCCCAGAGAGTTGCGCCATGGGCGCTGGTAGGGGGAAGGGCAGGGGATTAGGAAGAGGTGGGGTGGGGGTGGGAAGGGGAAGGAGAATGGAAGGGGAAGTGGAAGGGAATGGCACGGGGACGAGTGGGCGAGTGGAGAAAGGGCAGAGCAAGAGAGTGGGAGAGTGGGATTTGGGGCGAGTGGGGGAGCGGGAGAGAGAGAGGAGGGGACAGAGCAAGGCGGGCGCACCTCGTCCTCCGAGGAGTCGCTCTCCTCCGCCGCATGCCCCGCGCCCTCGCCCTCCCGCCCCTCTCGCTCCTCCCCCTCCTCCGTTTCCCCTTCCTCTTCGCTCTCCTCGCCCTCTTCCTCCTCTTCGTCCTCCTTCCCCTCTTCCCCCTCTTCTCCCTCTTCTCCTTCCTCTTCCTCATCTTCCCCCTCCCCCCCCCTCATCATCCCCTTCACCTTCTGAACCCTCCTCCCCCTCCCCTTCCTCCTCCTCTTCCTCATCATCACTCCCCCGCACCTCCTCCTCTTTCCCCCCATCCCCTCCACCATCTTTCCCCCACGGCCGCCGCAGAAGGTCCTTCAGCGCGCGCCGCTCCTTCCGCTCCGCCGCCGCATCCGCGCACTTCTGCTCGCGCGCCAATCGCGCCGCCTGCAATGCAGTTTTTTTCTCCGCTTCGGCTTGCGCCGCCTCCAGAATGGCTCCAGACTCGCCCTCTCGCTTCTCGCCCCTTCCCTCTTCCTCCTCCTCTTCGTCGCTTCCCCCCTCCCCTTCCGACTCTGACGAATCGGAGTCCGAATCGTCAGCCGGAATCAATCTGTTGAAATCCTCGCTTCCGTCGTCGTCTTGCCCTTCCTCCGACGCCCCATCAACCGCTCTAATATCCTCTGCAGCTTCTCCCGCTTCGGGCACGTCTTTATTCGCCTCTACTGGCCGTAACTCCTCCTCTGCAGCCATAACAACGGCTGAACCGGAAACGCCAGCAAAGGGTATAAAGGCAACGAGACAATAGAAACGAAGCAGTGAAAGAAGATGCAGGGCAATCGAGGCTGCGAGGAACGAAAGTATTTGGTCCGACCAAAACCCGAAGTTGAAGGGAGGTTCTGGAAGGGAGTAAATTTCTCGCTTGGAGATGATCCGTTTCGATTAATCGAATGAACTTGTGATTGGGGAGCTCAACCAGCAGTACATCATGAACCGACAAAAACAAGTATCACTGAAAGTTGATACGGAAATATTGCTTTTCTGTTCTCATCTAGACACATTACTCTCCGCTCACGCGGGTAAAAATCCCTTCAAAACATCAAGACACAGGAAGAAGGTCCAGAAACATATTGTACAACAATTGCACCCAACCATCAACTGGCCCAGGGTGACAGTAATGAAGGCAGTCCTTGGCCCCTCTATGGGAATCCGGCCTCAGCTCTGTCATACTCTCCACATCCATATACACAGCCCCCACCGCCTCCGCCACTTTCCTTGCAACTTCATTCTGTCGTGCAAACTTATCCCAATTATACTTATCAATGTGTTCAATACCCCCATCACCCTTATCACTGTCGCTTGAATTATCCTTTTCAACTCTTCTTTCCAAGGGACGGTCGTAACGCATGCACCCCTTATGCCCCGCCGGCGTGCCCCGCACAACAATCAGCAGATCCGGAAACTGCTCTCTCAACCAAGCCAACTGCCCGGAAACCTCCCACGCGAATGACTCGTGCGGGGTGAAGTGCGCGCCGCGGTTGACAATGAGAATCGACACGTTCTCCTGTCGCAGATCGTCCACCCATGAGCCCTGCACGCGCTTCGTGAGCCACTCATTGCGCCAGGCGGGGGAGAGCAGGTAGTCGTCTCGCACAAAGAAGAGGTTGAATGCAAGAGAGGAGCGAGCGGCCTGGGGTGAACTTTCCCTGCTGCTGCTGCTTCTGCTGCTGCTGCTGCTATCTCTCTTCCACTCCACATCCCCACTCTCACCCGTCCCCACCACGTCCCCACCCTCCTGCCTCCCTTGCGCATCCACACCCTCCTCCCTCCCCTGCACACCCCCTTCTCCCTGCCTGCCCTCCACATCCCCACACAGCACAGCGGTCCAGCAGCGCTGCGGCGACAGCCACGGGGAGTACGAAGCACCCCGCACCCGTCGGCACAGCACCGAGATTTGCCCGCGCCGTACACGCGCCCCTGGGTCCTCCGCCCCCACACGCACATTGTAGCGCAGGGCGTGCGCGAGCTGCAGGCTGAGCGAGTCCCCCACCACCATCACGTTGCGCCCTGCTATCGCCTGGCAGAGTGCCTCGCCTGAAAACCGCTCCCACCGCCCACATGTACCCTGGCTGTTGCTGCTGCTGGGGGTGCTTGAGGCACCACTGCTCCCGCCACCACCGCCACCACCGCTACTGCCACTGCCGCCGCCGCCACCGCCGCCGCTGCTGCTGCTACTGCTGCTGTTACTGCCCTCTCCCACTTCCCCGCCCACGCCCTCCCCTTCTCCGTCCCCTCCCACCCTCCATTCGTACTTGAGCGCTTCTCTCACCTTCCACTCCACCTCTCCCCGCCCCTCCTCCACCACCCTATCTGCCTCACGCATCGCCACCGCACCAGGCACGGACCCCATGTGCTGCTCATCACACGAACTCATCTCGCCGGGCCACGGCAGCAGCCGTGGCGTGGCGTTGAATCTCCACCGTCCGTTCCTGCTGATGCACGCGAAACGGTCTCGGAAGGATTGGACCTGTGCTGACGTGGCGAGGACGGATCCCGGGATGTGATCCCATTGGCCGATGATGCTCTGAAGGCCTTCAGCTGTGGTGGGAATGGACGGTGGGGATGATGCTGAGCTGTGATCAACAGACGAGAAACCCGGTTTAGTTTCTGCTGCTGCAACAGCTGTTCCTTCACCTGCCCCTTCACCTGCCCCTTCACCTGCCCTTTCACCTGCCCTTTCACCTGCAGCATCACTATCAGTTGCTGTAATACTAGTATTACCATCAGTTCCCGGTGAGGCAAGAATGGGAATCAGCGCCGCAGAATCATCTCTGTGTGGGGTCAATGCTGCATCATCCCTATACGGCGCCGAACCGAAGCCCAGACTAACTTCATCCACTGATTCTGATTCTGATTCTGATTCTGATTCTGATTCTGATTCTGATTCTGATTCTGATTCTGATTCTGATTCTGATTCTGATTCTGATTCTGATTCTGATTCTGATTCTGATTCTGCTTCTGCTTCTGCTGCCTTCCATGCCGCTGCTCCTGCCCCTGTTTCTGCGACCTTCCATGCGGCTCCTTCTCCGGCTGCTTCTGCTTTGGCTTCAGTCAATCGTTTCTGCGGGACGAGCGAAGAGTTAAGAGCGAAGGACTTGGGCTGGCTTATATCTGACCGAACGAGGCTGATTATAACGAGAATGCACCCTGCCGCAACCAAAGCTACCCCGTAGGCGGAAATGCCGCGGAAGCGCGGAGAGGGAGCGGCGGGCGGTGCGAACGTGGAGCCGTGGCGAAGCGACACGGGCATGAAGAGGATCTAACGGTTATTACCGTGTAGGAATACGTAGGCACTCTGGAGAGCTTATCGCCAAAATAAGTAGAAGTCACCACTAAGCAGGAAATAAGTGGCAGTTTAACACCACATGTACTTATTTTCGGATTAGGACCGCTCCACCTCACACGAAGTAAGACGTAATCGTGCCGGCGGTAGCCCTACTATGGACTGCCACGTGGCGTTGGATCGAGCATTGGCCGATAATGAGCGACAAGGAAGAGCGGCATCCTTCTGACACTGGAAGCGTGACACGTGGGAGACACGTGTCCTGAAATTGCTTTCGACCTCGACGTCTAGCTGAGCCCGTGGAAAGCGGTGATCTCAAGGCGGGGTCACACAGGAGCAGACAGCAGCAGAGGAGAGTTGATTTGACGACCTGCCTTAAAGCGACGGGCAACTTTTGGCAGTGTTGGGTTCAGAAGTTTTTTTTTTGAACCAGGCTTGCCAGCGCGAAAGTGCTGGCTGGCGAAAACCAGGATTTCGTGCGGACACTTTCCATCCGCAGTAACAGTTCGCCAGGGTTCTGGGTTTTGGGTGGCAAATGTGCACCGTCGCTTTAAAATTCGAACAATGTTGAATAACTGCGATATTGCATGTTACAGACTGCGCAAAACACGAATCCACTACACAAACTTCCTATATATACAGGATTGGAATTAGAAGCTTCCAAGTCAACCAAGCTTGGTAGTCACAGCCAGTCAGATATCATCGTCATCATCTCCGTCAGTGGTGAGTTTTGTGCCCAGCGTTCGTCTTTTGACCCTGCACATTACATGCAGATTTAATGTGGAAGAAAAAACACAATTTGGTTTGCATTAGTTCACACATTGAAAGGGCACGCAATAACAAAAAACAAACAAACAAACAAAGAAACATCGGTCCTTGTCAAACATACGAGACACCTCAGACCTCATACTCAACCCTGCACCACTCCACACCACACTGTACCTTCTAGAGTACGGCTGCCTTCTTTGCTGGAGCCGCCCTTGACTAGCAGCACCATCTCGTGCCATCATCGCACTTGCTACACCACCTCCTGCAGCCCCTCCTGCTGCCCCTCCTACTGCCCCTCCTGGTCTTCCTCCTGAACCCACTAGGCTGCCTTCTGCCCTTCTCCCCGTATCCTCCTCCCTCCCCCCTGCTCCCATCATCCCCTCTCCTCCTCCTCTCTCCCCCCCTGTTCTGGTGAAGGCACGTGGAATGACAGGCTCTGACTGTGACAAGAACGGCTGTGACTGAGAATCCAACTGGGACAGTACTGGGTGTGACTGTAACGATGCCATCTGTGCTGCTGCATCCTCTGTTGTCCCCTGCGACTCCACCAGCCAACCTTGAGAGCCACCCTGTGACAATAACGAGGGATCTTGTGACATAGACCCCAGCTGCTGTTGCCCCTGCTGCCCCTGGTGCCCCTGCTGCCCTTGCTGCCCCTGCTGCGACTGCTGCGAATCCTGCCCCTGACCGCTACCTGAGCGAGCTATCGCGGTACCTGCTGTATCCCATGCTGATGCTCTTGGTACTGCAATCACTGACGCTGGTGCTGACGCTGATGGTGCTCCAGAAGGTAATGCTGATGCTGATGCTGCCCGAGGATGTTTCTGGGAAGGTGCATGCCCTTGTGAGCGTGACATCGACTGCGAATGTGAGAGGGAGCGAGAGGGGGCAGGTGCCACGTGGCTGCCTGTCATTCGCGAGGCGGATCTCGAGCGGGCCAGCTTGGACTTAGGGGGGCCCAGAATGCCGTAGCTGCGAGATGCGTCCTGCTCAACACACAGGCACACGCGGGGCCATGTGGGGGCAGCGGAATGGCGAAGGGAAAAGGGTGAAATGCGGTGAAAAGGGGTTAGGGCAAGGGATTGGGGTGAACCAGAGGGCCGTGACTGCGAGCTGTGGGCTGATCAAGACACACTCGCTGGTATGCAGCGGCGTTGACACACACACGGCGGTGAAGGAAGATACGGTGAAAAGCGCAGCAGGGAAACACACACACGCCTAACCAGATGGTCTCTCCTTTCTTCAAAAGACTCAGGCTGGACTTGCGACTGGACGACTCGCTTCCACTCTCGCCGACCCTCTCCTCATCACCCTCCCTCCCTCCTCTTCTCCTGCTGTTCCTACACTCGCGAATCTGAATCTATGTTACCCGTGCCCTCCACGCCACCCGCTCTCCCGCCCAAAGCTCACCTTCTCCTTCTCCACCTCTGCCATTTGCCTCACGTGCTTGGCGCGCTCTGAGTGAGGCGGGAACACATGAGGCAGAGGGGATAAGGCAAGGGAGGGGAGGGAAAAGAGAAAGGCCGAATTCTCGTAACTGTGTTGTGTTGGTAGAAACCCCCACTCTACAGCCTGTTTGTGAAAAAACACATGGGCGTTAACTTGAGAAACACATGCCCGCTCTCATAACCGCCAGTCGCTGGCTACTCTTACCTCCCCTCCCCTCCCCTCCCCTCACTCACCTCGTCTGAGCGTCTTTGCCAACTCGCGTCTGTCTCTCACAACTGCAAACGTGCTTCCTGCTGCCACTGATTCGAAATGACTCTAGAGTCGACTAATAACACAGCCTCATATCGTTTGCTCGCCCCCTTTCCCTCCACTCCCCTCCCTTCCCTTCCCCCGCCCCTTGATCACCTCGTGTAAGCGTCTTCTCCAACAGGAGTCGGTCCCGCCCGTCATCCCCTTCCCCCCGTTCCCCTCCCCTCCCCTCGCTCACCTCGTCTAAGCGTCTTTTCCAGCTGCAGTCGGTCCCTCACAAGCGCGAACGCGATTTCCGCCGCCACTGACTCGCACGACGGAAACAGGGGTGAGGACGCTGGTGACGTGGCTGACCCAATTGCTTCTAACGAGGATGACTGTAACGGGTGTGACAGTAACGAGTGAGAGTGTGACGCTGACGGTTGTTCCACGCCACCGTCAGTTCTCCCCTTCCCTCCTCCGGCGTCTCTTCCCGGCCAATCCACTCGCTTTAGCTTGAATCTAATTCGCGGAGCGCCTTCCGCCTTTTGGCCCGTGAGCGTGATTGTATCGAGGGCAGGGGAATGACTAGCGGGACGGGGCGCTGCGATTGGAATGAGCAGACGGGAGGGGGAAAATCGGACGGCAAAGATGAAGAAATGGACCCCCTCCCGAAAAAAAAAAAAAAAAAAATCATAACGGACTCAAAAAGGCAATGAAATCAGACACGCAAATGAGGTACCGGCATAACACAGCCGAGCAAGAATTGAAGAGGCGGCGGTGGGGTAGCACGGTGGAGCCGAAGGCCTATAGCGATGAGTGCTACCTTGGTTGGGCCGCGCTCGGGCGAGAGCGGGTGCAACAGTAACGTGGCGCGAGGAGAGCGACTCGTGGATCAACGCGAGGAAGTCCGCGAAGCTCCCACCCACTCCGAGGTCGTCCTTCTGCACGGCGCGCGCCGTCCAAGAATGGCAACGGCAGATCGGACGGAGGAAAGGTTTGTCAGGGTGTCAGAAAGGCCCCTGTACCAGAAAGCAGGACGAAAACGAACCAGAAACGAAATATGGACCTTTTTTTTTTGTGATTGTTGTTTTTGTGAAACCATTCTAGCTGCTGCACTTGATCTCCTAAACTAATAGCTGCCTATGCTTTAAGCGACTCAGCCCTTTTTTTAGGAGCTGCGAAGGAACTACCAATGTCGCAAGAGCTAAGAAAGACTGCCGCCGGAACAACAGCAACAGCACTAGAAAGAGCTACCGCACCAGCAGCTGCCCGCAAAGTGTGTATTGGAAAATAAGCTGCCGCACCTCGTCTTCGAGGTCGTCTCGTGACAGCCGCGTGCGCCACGAGCTGCCACAGAAGTCCGACACCAGTGCCTCCAGCCCCTCGCACTCCCTCCCACTGCACTCCATACCGCCGCACTTCACCGAGGGCCCTTGGCTTTCGTCTCCTGCACGATTCCCCCCGCTGCTGCCACTGCTGTGGCTTCCGCCGTTGCTTTCACTGCTATGGTTGCTACTACTACAGAGGGAGTTCGTAGTTGCGCCGTCGCCGCAGGCTCGCACGAGAAAGATGAGCGGGCTTGGCGGCCGGCCCTGGATGGTGACAAAATCCGGTGTAACTGTACCGAAAATGGGAAGAAATGTTTCGCAGTATCCACTGTCATTCTTCGGTCCTGTCTGTTCCTTTGCGCCTAGTGAGTCCATCGGGTGCGGCGCGACGACTCGCGACGGAGGGACACGCATACTGTCGCCGCGATTCGCGCTAGCTTATATCTCCTAGCAAGTACTGTCGCTGAATAACCCAGAACCAAATGGTCTGGTACCTCGACGATAAGCTTTACGCCAGAGAGCGTCGTAGTTGACTCCGCGAGACGGTCTATTTAATATAATAATTACCGGACGTCAGCAATTGACAATGCGAGACGCAAGTTTGAAGACCTGGGTTAGCTAGGTGAACGGCCAAATGTGAGCAGCTGACGTTGAGGGAGATGCGACGCAGGAGACGTAGAACCGCGGGAGGTTCCAATTAGCACCCCTTACCAATTCCGTCTAGAGCGTCGTGTCAACAATAACCCACGATGTGAGGTGAATGCATCTAGTTACTGCTGGTTTGGTTGGGGCAGTGTGACGTGTGAGTTAGCAACCGCCATTGACAGTGTCTAATGATGGGAAAGGCGAAAGTGAGGAGGGTGGTTTGCATGGTGCTGTGTGATCGTGTCATCGTGCATGACTGAGAAGTCTCATCAGGGTTCTCATAACGGAAGATGGTTGCACCAGGTTGGCTGCTGCGAGATGCCGATTGTCCATCGACGGCTGACAGCATCGCGCGGAGCCGGACTCGCTCTGCCTTGCGCCAAATTTATCATGGAAGTGGCTGCGCCGTTGGTGAATGGCGCGAAGCAAACACATTGGCGAACCACCAGCCCATCCTCGATGCGAATGCATGACTGCTCTTACAGAATACGGTATTGTTGGAGGAGGCCATTACAGAGGTTCACGAATAAAAAAACCCATTATAATATCAGGAACAATATGCTGATTAAGCATAATAAATCGGTCAAGGAGAGAGAAACAGGCCAACCGCTTGATCGTTACACCTTTTCTTGGCGTCTATGCCACTCCACGACCTCTCTGTATGGCAGGTCCCCTCCAAAGATGTCGAGGGCACTTCCTACAGTCACGTCCACCGCTCCCCTTCCAGCTGCCTTAACAATCTCAAGGTCCTCGAGAGAGCGAACACCTCCCGCGTAGGTCACTGGGATCTGAAAATAATAGGGGAACGGAGTAAAAGAAACCAAGTAAAGACAGTAAGTTTGATGGCAGCTCGTAGATAGGATGGCAACGGTGATAGGTACTAGGTACTAAAAAAAAATCAACAATGGCCATAAAGAAGGAAAGGCCAACACTTTAAAGGGCACTCACTGGTGAATATTTCCCAAGCAGGGAAACCAGCTCTTCGTCAATGCCCAGCCTGTCAATGAGTAATGAGAAAAGTGCAGAGCAGAGACGGTAGAAAAAGGGCCATTTGGAATCGAACAAGCAGAATGGGAATCTCTAAGACTTGTTCAATTTAAACCACAAAATGGGACATCGATTTCTTCAACCACACACCAGCCCCACACTCACTAACATCTCCTCCACATATTAATCCCCAACTCACTCTAAGCCGTCCACACTCCCTCACTGCCCTCCACATCCACCATATGCGCGAGAAACTTATGGCCTTGGGCTCACACCACCCATGCCATGCAACAAATCCATCCTCTGCACAGTTCAACCCCTCACATTCATTCCATACACTCCACAATTCAACTCCAAAGGGCTCGTTTCATCCATACAATTCAACCCCTCGTTTCATCCCCTGCACAGTTTAACCTCTCAAGGCTCATTTCATACCCTGCACAGTTCAATCCACTTCATCTTCTGTACAGTGCGACTCCCTCTCCCATTCACTTCTTCCCCTCCGGCCCCAGATTCCCCCCTGCATTTCCACTCACTTCATGCCCTCCACGTCCAAACCATGCATGAGGAACTCATTCCCCTGAAAGAAAAGCAACTCTCACAACCTCTCCCCCCCTCCCCCCCCTCCCTCCCCCACCCCGACTCACTTCATGCCCTCCACGTCCACGCCGTGCACGAGGAACTCGTCGCAGCAGTCTGCCAACCGGGCCAGCGACTCGCCATCCACCACCAGCGATGTGAAGCGCTGCCACCGGTCCGTGACCACGTAGTAGTGCTCGCCCTGCGCATGGGGGGGTGTGGGAGGGTGTGGGGAAGGAGAAGAAGTGTGTGAAAGAGAGGGGAGAAAAGGGCCACCATTGATGTGAAGCGCTGCCAGCGGTCTGTCGTGGTAGTGCTCGCCCTGTGGGCCGGGTGCGGGCGCTTTGATAGTGTTTGGGAGTTGGAGTTAGAACACGGACGATTTGAACTCCTGCCAGTGGGACGGACATTACCATGTGTTAGCGCTTGTCCTGTGCATGGGGTACGACTTTTGAGAATTCTCAAAAGTCACTCCAATATAGCTGGGACGGACATTGCCATGTGTTAGCGCTTGTCCTGTGCATGGGGTACGGTGAGTGAGAGCAAGTGCAACAGATGGAAAGAGCCACCACGATGTGAAGTGCTCCCAGAGGTCCGTTGCCACGTGAAGCGTGTGGGGGATTGCGTGAGTGTGTACGTGTGTGTATGTGGCTGTTTGCATAAAGAGATGGAAAGAGAAGGAAAAGGGGCTGTTTCATTGGCACAAGATCAGTGGTTGACGAATGTGCGAGAGGAAGAGGGCGGCAGCAACGTGCGGGGCGACAAAGTTGTCCATGTGTGGGAGGTTTGAGGTAGAAACGAGGATCGAGGTGAAGGGAGGTGGGGGGAGGTGGATGGAAGTGGAGGGAGGTGGAGGGAGGTGGAGGGAGGTGGAGGGAGGTGGAGAAAGGTGGAGAGATGTGCAGAACAATAATAATCCCCACCTTCTTTCTGCAGCTCAGGTCCAGCACCAGTCTCTCGGGCGCCACTGCATTCACCATCCTGCGCAGCCGCTCCTCGTCCACCTTGCCTTCTCGAAACACGTACTGTCGCCCAGACAGACAGAGGGAGAAGCGTTTGTTGTTGGGAACGAGATCTTTGACAATAACGCATTCAGATGGGATGAAGGGTCTCACAGAGAGCGAAAAGGGAGGCAGATGGGGTGACCTTCGAGTGACGTGCACTCTGTAAGCTCGGAAATATGTCGAGACACAAGGCTTGCAGAAGAGAACCGGACTGATTAGATTACTCCTTTCCGAGGCGAGTGCAGGAGAAAAACATTCACAAGGGAGTTTGTTTATGAATGTGATGATGTGATGTGATGTGATGGCAGTGTGCTGCATATCATGCTCAGTCACAACCATGGAGCGAGTCGTACGATACCAGTGATGATGCGATACTGGTGTGATGATGCCTTACCAATGTGACAATGACGTTGCTGGCCCCTGCGTCCTTGGAGGTGCCTCAAAACAAGAGACTACTTTTGAGGTGTCTCATACCGTTGTGACAGACAGAACCACACCGATGTGACAGCACCGTACCGAGGTGACAATGTCGTGGCTGGCCCCTGCGTCCTTGGAGGTGCGTCAAAACAAGAGACTACTGTTGCGGTGTCTCATACGCTTGTGACAGACGGAACCACACCGATGTGACAACACCATACCGAGGTGACAATGACGTGGCTGGCCCCTGCGTCCAGGTACATCCCGGCGTTCTCTGGAGTGATGCCTCCACCCACGTGCAGCCCACCTGGGTTTGGAAGGCAGAGAATAAGGGAAGAGGGAAGGGCGGATGGGAGGGAGGGAAAGGGAAAACCATGGCGGATGTACGCATCTGCCAGTCACTTTTGTGAAGAAGGGTCATGGCAGGATCTTGAACTGCAACAAGCCCTTTTTTTTTTAAGCAGTGAAAGAAAGGAGGTAGATCCTCGTGTCCTTGTGGTACCTGGGAAGGCGTTCAGCGCCCCAAGAGCTGCCTCCTGACTGGCTGGATCGGCCCCCAGCATGATGACGTGGCCTCCTGGCAGCGAATCAGCGGCGTACATGCTGGCATACTCCGCTGCGCTGCGATCCGACTCAAAGTTGGTCACAGGCTCGGATGAGGAGGAGGAAGAAGAGGAGTCTGTGGCTGGCGAGTCTTGGGAGGGCAGATCGCGGAGTGTGGAGCCGACGATCTGCTTCACCTTGCCCTGCATGGTTCGAAGGTAGTGGGAAAAAAAGGGTTTCTGTGAGCATTGCACTTGGCGTTGCAATGTTGAAGATGATGCTGTGAAGAAGATCTTCAGGAGGGAAAGTGACAAACTCAATATACTTCTGGGCTATAATGAAGTTCTTTATAATTATTCATCGGCTGTTGCTTCTGATGGCTGGACGAAACAGGAATGGCGCCACTTGATGATTGAAATACAGCATGGCATGGTGTCCTCGTGTTCAGGGAATGACAATGTATGGCATGGCATTCATCCCACACGCCAGCGCGTGCGTTCCTTTTTGTGCAAGTTTCCTGCCTGATACTGTGTTTGAATGCCTTCTGCCACGTGGATACCTTCTGAATGTCAATGACACATTCGCACCTTGTGAATGTCGATGCACGGCCGGAATTTAACAGCTGCAGCAATCATGGGGGGATCAAGGAGTGACGGAGAATATGTGAAAGAAACCGGAGAAGACGAAACGCAATGGGAAGAGCGGGAATCAGAAGGACCTGGGGCAGACTGACAGGCTGTCGAACATGATCAACTGGAGAAAACGTTGAAAATACAAGGCAGATGGAAGCTGGAAACAAGGAGCACTGGAAGGAAGAATGGAAGACACTGAGAGGGACTAGCGAGATAGCTCACTCTGTCTCGCGCTAGCAGCTTGGCTGTCTGAAGCACTGCAGCGGATAATATGCGATACCGAAGGTCGAACGGACAGTGGAGGTCGATGCATTGTGTGCGACAATGGAGCTGCTTTTAAGACGCTTCTGCTGGTGGCGGTTGCGATCGAAATGGCTGATGAACCCATGATGACCGCTCCAAGAGGTTACTTCGGCCAACTCTATAGCCGTCCTGACGCCCTTAGGACACTAATGCGCAGACCAAGGCTACATAAAGTTAATCGTCAGGCGCATCAAATGGCGCGAGGTATTTGGTTCTTAGACCTGAACCCTGAGCCTGGCCAACCTAGATTCTGGTTCCTGCACATTGTAGATAAATTTGCAGGGCCAACTTTTTCCAAATGATGGCACAGCTACACTCTACTACGTACGGTATAAGAAAACGAAATGCTTAGTTGGACCATCTCCTAATAAACTTTCTTGCTTGTTTCAAATTCCTTGCACAACCCTAATCCACGGTACAGAATGCTACCATGTGCACACTGTTTATGATTAGTGATTGGTGCAACATTGAGTACAAGATGAACGGATAATAGTAGCACTTCCCCTGGTATGGTGGTGCATCCTGCATCTGCACTGACTTGCTCTTTCTCTAACAATCGCGGCGTCATTGCATCGACAGCGCAATGGCAATGGACACAGGCTAAGGTCATGACTCATGTCGCGCAGTAGGTGAATTTCAAGTTAGCTTGTGGTGGAGCAACGGGCATGGCTCCCAGCAGGTGACTCTTGGCTCGACTCAGAAGTTAGCTTGTGGCGGAGCAAGTGGGTGAGGCTTGAGAAATCGCAGCATGACTTCATAGACAGCAAAGGTGATGGATGCAGAGGGCATGACTCGCAGAAGGTTGGGCAGAAAGCCCTTGTAGAAACCACGCGCGCCTTCGAGCCTGGAAAAGAGCAACGGAAGGTAAAACAGAGAACAATATATTGAGGCATTTCAGTTGCCGCAGCAGGTTGGGCAGAAAGCCCTTGTAATAACCACGTGTGGCCTCGAGCCTGCGGAAGAGCAAGGGAGAAAGGCGAAACAGAGATCAATATTTTGAAGCGTCTCCGTTGCTGCAGCAGGTTGGGCAGGAAGCCCTTGTAGAAACCACGTGCGGCCTCGAGCCTGCGGAAGAGCAAGGGAGAAAGGCGAAACAGAGATCAATATTTTGAAGCGTCACCGTTGCTGCAGCAGGTTGGGCAGGAAGCCCTTGTAGAAACCACGTGCGGCCTCGAGCCTGCGGAAGAGCAAGGAAGAAAGGCAAAACAGAGAATAAAATTTTGAAGCGTCACAGTTGCCGCAGCAGGTCGGGCAGAAAGCTCTTGTGCAATTTTTTTGAAACCATGTGCACCCTCGGGCCTGGGGAAGACAAAGGGAGTATGCCAGAAAGAGGAGATAGGTGAGAAGAGAAGCAACACAAGAGAGTGTATGGGGTGTTGCATAAGAGGGCACGACTTGCAGCAGGATAAGCAAAATAAAACCAAAGCAGCAATTCACACCATATATACAGGATGGTGGAGAGAGGGGAGCATGGTGAGAAAGAACTGAAGTTAGTTTTCATCCAACACCATGGCTCCTCATAAGCAAGTGTTAGTTCCTGAACACATGTGCAGCTACTGTTGAGGCGCCTCAAAGGCAAGACCCCTGGCCAAGTGTTAGTTCCTGAACACATGTGCAGCTACTGTTGAGGCGCCTCAAAGGCAAGGCCCCTGGCCAAGTGTTAGTTCCTGAACACATGTGCAGCTACTGTTGAGGCGCCTCAAAGGCAAGGCCCCTGGCCAAGTGTTAGTTCCTGATCACATGTGCAGCTACTGTTGAGGCGTCTCAAAGGCAAGGCCCCTGGCCAAGTGTTAGTTCCTGATCACATGTGACATGTGTAGATAGAGGATTGCTGCAACTCACCTCCACATGCTGGTGACGGCATGCCGTGTGTTGCGGTACTTGAGCTGGCCGGCCTCGTCTGGACGCATCTGAATTCAAGATGTCATTGTGGAAAATGGGTATTGCAAGAGTGCTTGGAAGCACCATGAGAAAGCTAACCGCAAGCTGTAGGGCCAAAGAAAAGCCTTTGACCAGGACCACCCGTGTGTGAAAAAAATGAGTCGACTCAAACAGAACCAAGCTATCCGGACTCGGAACATGACAGCACCATGCGCATGTGACTCCCAGGAGGTTACGTAAGTGAGTGAACGAACATGTGACCAGGACCACCCATGTGTGGAGATTTTGAGTCGACTCAAACATAGCCGAACAAAGAAAGGGCGGAGTTGACCAGGACCATGCGCGTGAGGAATTGAAGTCCGTACGTAAGTGGGTGAATGTTGCATCAGAATAAGGCAGGGCGAAAGCAAGGCCTGGCGCAAGAAGGAGGTTGGCTTAGAAAAAGGAAAGGCCAAGCTTTTGAGGCGCCCAAAACATGAGACAACTTCTGAGGCACCTCAAAAGATGGCATAGCAAAAGGCATGGCCAAGCCGATTCTTGAGAGAGGGGATGGGAGGGAGAGAGTTGGTAATATGGCAACGTGAGGGATACGAGGGCAAGCGTGGAGGCTGGATGCGAGTGGGGGAGGGAGAGAAAGGGACGGCAGGAAGTGAAGGGAGCGAGGAAGGAAAGGAAAACCAGGTGAAGAGATGAGGATTTCACAAGCAAGCAGGGAAAAACGAAGCGTGCGGAGTGGGTAGGGGGAAGCAGGGCAAGGGGGGGGGGGGTCAAGGGAAGAGCGAAGGCAGATGGATGATGCAAAGAGGATAAGGTGAGTACCTGCAGGCGAGCTCGAACCACCTAGCGTGGGAGGGAGGAGCCAAACGGGGAGGAAGGCGAGGCATGGACAAGCAGGGAGGAATGGACAAGCATGGTAAGTGAACTGCCAGGAACAGCAATCAGTGGGACGAATGGACATCAGAACACACACGTGTGCGCGTGCACACACACACACACACACACGCACGCACGCACGCACGCACACACACACACAAGATTTGGACAGAAAGATATTGAGAGAAAGATGAAACTGGGGCCCGGCTTGTTTCACAGAAGGGGATGGGGAAGAGCAATGCAAAGTTTGGTCGTGCACTTTGCAGTCGAGATAAGTCGAATTACGACCTATCCAGAAGACCCACCCAGTTCTTACGACCTACCCAGAAGACCCACCCAGTTCTGACAAGTCAGCGGGTGCCATAACTGGTGATAGGGGCAATGAGACGAGTCAACGGGTGCCGTACCTGGTAAGGGTAGGTGGCAGAGGCAGCACAGAGCTTGGCAGTTGCTCCCACTGCTGCAATGTCCCATGGGGACTGTGGGAGAATGAAAGAGATAGCCGGGGTGGGTGGAGGGAAAGGATTGGAGGGAAAACAGGGACGGGTGGGGCTTGGTTGGAGTGGAAGAGAGTTGGAGGCCAAGACAGAACTGGGAGAAGCAGTGTGACGATGTGATTTAATATATATACATATATATGTATATATATATTTGTTTTCTCCTGAAGACGTAATTGTTTAGCACAACTGATTTTGCAGGGAAGTGACGGTTACTGTGGAAATCGTGTGAAAGTACTGACCAGCTCTGTTACAGCAGGAATTGCAGGCGAGGGGGAAGAGGAGGTGTGGGGATGAGAGGGTAAGTGTGCTGTCCACGCTGTGGGCGATCTGAGAGCCAGCATGAGCTGCTTCAGCTCTTCATACGCTGCCATCTGAATGGCACCGTGCGACACCTGCATAACCGCAGATGAAAGTGCGGTGCAGAAGGGTACAGGGGGATACATGGGTGTGGTTGGGTGGGTGCGTGTGCTGTCCATGCTGTGGAAGATCTCAGGGCCAGCATGAGCTGCTTCAGCTCTTCATACGCCGCCATCTGAATGGCACCGTGCGACACCTGTGACAGGGAGCACGACAGAGAGGTGCAGAGGGGTACAGGGGAAATATGCATCGGTAGAGAGGGAGGGGTAGTGAAGGACCGCCAGATGGAACACTGGCAGGTAAGGTGTAACATGGATGAACGGCCTACCAGAAATGAGGTTCGGACCTAAGCAATGGAAAGGTACAGCTCAAGCCTATGCAATACCAAGATCAGGCTCAGGCCTAAGCCATACCAAGACAAGGCTCGGGTTAGCCCCATACTAAGATAGGCTCGGGCCTGAGCCTTACCAAGATGTGGCTCGGGCCTATGCCTTACCAGGACGAGGTTCGGGCCTATGCCTTACCAGGACGAGGCTCGGGCCATTGCCTTACCAAGACCAGGCTTGGGCCGATGCCTCTGTACAGCCCTCTAACGCCCTCCTCCTTCACAATGGACCAGATGGCGTCTGGTGAGAGGACGATGGGGAGAGAACGGGAGAGAACGGGAGAGAACGGGAGAGAACGGGAGAGAACGGGAGAGAACGGGAGAGAACGGGAGAGAACGGGAGAGAACGGGAGAGAACGGGAGGAAAGAAGAGACAAAGGGAGACAGGGAGTCTTTTGTGGAAGGAAGGAGGAAAGTGGGCCATATGACCACGTATGGCAGTGGAGAAGATGGGAGAAAGAGAAATGGTGAGGCTTGTGTTACGCCTCTGTAGAGTACTCTCTTGCCTTGGTTCGCCCTTGATGCATGCGCAGATGACAGGTGGAGAAAAGAGGGGGAGAGAGCTAGAAACGTGAGGGGTCCTTCAGATTATTACAGACCCTTCTCATTGTGCAGGGAGTATGGAAGAAGGGGTCAGATTTGGAGGGCGGAAGTATAAAAAGGGGATCAGAAAGCTGAATGAAACTAAGGAAGCATGCATGGATGATGAGGAGGAGAAAAATTAAAAGCAATAAAGGAGACTCGACAGAACGAAGGAGGGGATAGGAGAAGAGTGTGTGAGTGAGTGTGAAAGATGGATGGTGAGAGCGACGGAGCAAGGGAACAATGGGAGAGTGGGAAGATATCAGAGACGCAGAAACGCAGACGCAAGGGAAAATATTAGAGACGCAAAAACGCAGACGCAAGGGAAAATATCAGAGACGCAGAAAGGGTGGTGTGACACCAATAGGCACCATTAAAGAGAGCGAAGCAACAAGGGGGGGAGGAAGGGGAAGGCCGCGGCGGGGAGGTGTAGGGGGGGAGGCAGGGAGGGTACGGAACAAGAGGTGAAACATAAGAGAGCAGGGAGGAGGGCGTGTCACCATGAAGCACCATGAAAGCCTCGGTACTGCCGGGGGTGATGGGGTATGGCTGCTGCTGTCGGCCTTGATGCTGCTGCACCCGGTGGTAAGGCTTGCTGTGTGCTAGCAGCACTGGTCGAACTGGCAGCACTGGGGGGTGCAGCATGGTGTGGTGGTCCCTTGGGATCCACAGCTCCCTGCAGCTGCAGGCGCGTCTTGGCGAGCCAGATGGGGTTGGTCAGGAGCACGACCTGATCAGGAGGGGAGAAAGGGAGAGGAGTGGTAAGCTATGGTAGCACTGACGACACTGGGGGGTGCAGCATGGTGAGGTCCCTTGGGATCCATGGCTCCCTGCAGCTGCAGGCGTGTCTTGGCGAGCCAGATGGGGTTGGTCAGGAGCACGACCTGTTAAGGGGGGAGAAGAAGGGAGGAGGGGGGGTCTTTTGCGGTGCACTGGCACCAGTGGAGGCACTGGCGACCCTGGGGGGTGCAGCACGGTGTGGTGGTCCCTTGGGGTCCACGGCTCCCTGCAGCTGCAGACGCGTCTTGGCGAGCCAGATGGGGTTGGTCAGGAGCACGACCTGTTAAGGATATAGGAGGAAAGGGTGAGAGGGGTGGGGTAGAGGGGTGAAGGGGGAGCGATGCAGGGAGACAAATGATGAGTGTGCGTAAGGTTGGAACTTGAGAGGCATGAGCAATAAGAAACGGATCGTGTGGCGACGGAGGGGAACGATTGCCTGTTTCTGATTCATGCTTGCAATATATAGGCATTACTACACTCTTGTCTGAGATGACAGCTGCTGTAGGAATATGAGAAGAAGCACCTTAAAGCACAACCCGAGATACAAATCACACAACATGAACTCAAATCAAACTGCGAGAAAAGCAAGACAAGCCCAGGAAACGCATACCAGAATGCCAGTCTCAGTGGCAGCAGCCAGATTCACCAATGTTGAGCTCCGGCTCTTATCACTCCTTCTCTCCACCTCCACCCCTCCACTGCTCTTGCTGCTTTCGTTGCTGCGTGGCTCTATCTCTTCTCCTACAACTGCTCCCTGTTCTCTGCAGTCACTCCTACCCTTATCCCCACCGCCCGTGTGCACTGCATCAGTCCGACTCCCACCACCAGCAGGAGAGCCACTCCTTTGAAACCCCACTCCAACAGCAGCATCTGCTTCCAAACTGGCTCCACCGCCTTGTTTCCCTCCAGTAGCGCCCCCTTGGATCGACAATTCTCCTTCTCCTGAAGCACCATGAGCGACAACGGTAGAACTTGAAGTTGAACCCTCACTTAATCTGTCCTCCCCGCAATTGCGGCTACCGCCGCTGCCATCACGAGCAGCACCATGAGCAGCCATGGTGGAGGCGCCAACTTGTTCTGAAAGCCTTTCCATTGAAACGATCGTGCTGCTCTTCTCTGTGCTTGGCCGATGGCTGCTGCCGCTGCTGCTGCCACTGCCATTGTGCCTCGTGTCAGACTTGCTGCTACTGCTTCCACATCGTCTGTCACTGTTGCTGCTAACGGTGCTCGTCAGAGCACTAAAGTAAGCCGTGTACCGCTCTTTGGCATGGCTGTACCTGTACAACAATGAAGGAGTGAAGAACAGAGGAAATTTTGAGGCGCCTCAAAAGTCCCCTTTGGCATGGCTGTACCTGTACAACAATGGAGTGAAGAACAGAGGAAATCATTTGGAGTTAAACGAAGAAAGGTGGTGGGGGGTACACGGCAGGGGTAAGGAATCGGAGTGGTGAGGAGGAGCAAGAGAGAAGAAGAAAGGGAGGGGTCGGAAGCAGCAAGCGGGGAAGCTGGAAAGCATCAGGTGGGGGGAAACGCCAATGGAAAGAAAGAAATAATAAAGGAGCAATGTTAGGAAGAGCGGCGAGACATTGGAAAGGGAAGAAGGCAACAGAGTAGGTCGAGCCATAAACGCCAAGCACTGACAGGAAGAAGTAGAGAGCCCAGGAGAGAGAGGAGCCGACCATGGATGGGTATAGGCCCGCATACAGGCCTCGTATGCCCTGATGGGGAGGTGTAGGTGAGGGGAATGGACGGGAAGGGAGGGAGAAGAGTTTTTGCCTAAACCCTAAAACAGGTCCTTCAGAACTGAACCTCGGATGCATAAAGCACGGCAGGGATGGCACTGATGATGCATGCGGTAGAGATCACGTGTGTAGCATGTAAGTTCGAATGTATACACCGGATCTAGAGATAGTGGTGATGGCACTGATGACACATGCAGGAGGGAACATCATGAAATTCAAATCAAATCTATACCTCGGATCTAGAGATGGTGGTGATGGCACTGACGACGCCACGATAGCGAGGAATTGCGGGATCCCTCCCGTCATTCACTGCACGGCGGGACGCGCGGGGACGGGAGGGGGTGATGGGAGGACATAGGCGGGAGACAGAGAGAGGGAGGAATGAGGGAAGTGAGAGGATGAAGGACGGTGAGAGAGCTAGGGTGTTGTGTAGGACGTTGATTACTAACCTTGAAACCTGGTTCGCACGATGTCAAGGGGGTGGAGAATCGCGACGGTCGCCATGCCTGCAACAGCTCCTGCGATGGCCTCGGGACGATTCCACTCCTTTCGCCGGCCATTCCCGGCTGGCTGAGATGCTTGTAATCCGTTCCTTGATTCTACCGAAATCCCTTCTTTCATCGCTCCGGCAGCTAACTTCGGGCTTTCCCCGTCTTTAATCATCTCCGCACTCGTCCAGCCTAGGAATGGCTCAAAACGCGCTCATCGGACTCATCGCATCCAAGGAGTCTCGCAACGCCCACCAGTCTTCCCTCGCTAGCACCTGTTCCTGCAATATCGGTTCATCAACTCCTATCGGAACTTCTGGCGTTTTACTGGTATTCGGAGACTGGTACGGTGAACTGTGACTGAATGGATAGACAATGCGACTGTTTGGATATTATATGTCCTAATGGTCTATGACTTACATTCGGTATCTCAGGAGCACATGTGGTTCTGGTGTGGGGTTGAAGGCGGGTGGTGCGGTGGGGAAGGCGGGCGACGAGGGGAAGCGATGTCGACGAGAGGAAGCGCGGGCGACGGGGGGAAGCGCGGGCGACGGGGGGAAGCGAGGGCGACAAGGGGAATAACGGGCGACGAGGGGAATCGCGGGCGACGAGGGGAATAGAGGGCGACGAAAGGAATCGCGGGCGACGAGGGGAAGCGCGGGCGGCGTGGGGAATCGCGGGCGACGGGGGGAATTGCGGGCGACGAGTGGAATTGCGGGCGACGAGTGGAATTGCGGGCGACGAGCGACGGGGAGGGCAACGGGAGGGGAAGCGAGAGCGACAGCCTGGGTAAATAGGGCGACGGCCAGGGGAGACAAGGGCGACGGGGAAGGCAAAGGTTGGACCTAGTAGCGTGGCCGATAGCAGGAGACGCGAGGGTGATGGGGAGGGACGACGGGCAGCGAAAGCGAGGACGACAACAGAGGAAGTCTGGGCGACGCGGAGGCGATGGGAGGGGAAGCGAGGGCGGCAGGCAAGGGAAAGTAGGGCGACGGGCAGGGAGAAGCTAAGTGGAGGAGTGAGGTATGTGAGGGAAAGCGCGGCTCACTCCTGGGCCTGCTTCTTGAACTGGGAAACAAAAATTTGAGAGGTCCGGGAAACAAAAGGACCAGGCAGGAATAGAGCCTGCGGTCAAGTTGGAAGGCTGGTTAGATTGCGCTACTGGTCCTGTTTCAGTGGCTTTTTTAAAATGTTGTGACTTTATATTTTTTCCAGCCCCCCGTGCTTGGTTCACTTGCTGGGTATCACCTTTTTCCAGCCCCCCATGCACAATTGAACACGTGAAACCATGCTGCTCTTCCTTGCGGATGTTTTCGAGGCTGGTATCCTTCCCGCTCGTTTTTTTTTTGTCAACGGCGCGCCATGTGCTTATGGGGTTCTCGATTGATGCGCTCAAGGAACCCCCAGACTTGAGAGGGAGGCGGTCGCTACCACCTAGGCCGCGATCGTGTCGCTCAACATGTATGAGGGCAGATGCACTGGATCCCACAGGGCTAGTTTGTTACGGTGCGCTTCATTCATCAAAGAACGGTCGTCAAGGTGTTCCACGAGGAAGGTGTTTGCATCTTCAACCTGGCAGTGATGTCCACGTCTCCACACCATGTTGATTCCGTGGCTGAGAATTCGTGGTAATCTGCGGAGACCAAATACAAACGCCAGAAGCTTCGTAATTTCCCTGTTTGACGCGTTGTACTTTTCCACACGGAATGAGCACAAATGGCTGTCAACATAATCCAGCAAAGTTGCAAATCATGCGAGATGGCTTCAGCAATGCATCCACTGAACTACATCGTTTCGTGCCTCCTATGGCCTGCCACACGGTTGTGGTCCCTTGGAGCTCGTCAGATCGCAGACATCAGAGCTAATCCGAAGCTGGTATCTCTGGCGGTCAAATCCGGACTGGCAGCTACACTAGCCGCCGTACTTTGCGTTCTTGAGGATCCTATTCCAGACCTGACAGAGATTGGAATATGGGCTGTGGTGACAGTGGACCTGGTGTTCGAGCCCACAGTCGGATCTTCACTAGGGTAATGGAACTTCACGCTCAAATCTCCGTTTTCCGTCGGTTCTTCACTTTGACTGATAACTTTTTCTGGGCTGTGCAGGAAAGGCATCAACAGAACGGCTGGCACACTCTTGGCAGCAGTTCTCGCATTTGGTGTGAACCACGCCACACCTCACCTTGGGGATGTGAAGCCTCTTTTCCTGGCCGTAATTGTTTTTTTGGGTAGTGTCATTCCGACTTACTACAGATATCGGCCGCCGTTCAAGGATACGTAAGGCCTTCTGCTCGGTTTTAGTCTAGTTGTTTGTTGTGAGTCAGTGATCTGACTGTGGCTTGGTGCAGGTGGAGTTATTCCTTTCTCATGATGTCTCTCACCTTCCACATCTTGATACTATCTGGTTACCGCCATGAGGAGAAATTCTATTATCCCTTGGCACGACTGGTGATGATCATGCTGGGATTCACAAGTGTGGGACTGGTGCACATCTTCATTCTGCCAGCATATTCTGGAGACCTCCTTCACAACCTTCTTGTCAGTAGACTGAAATTAGTTGCAGCCGAGCTGGACAGGTATGAGCTGTTGTTTTGCTGCTAATTCTAGCTCACTATTATCTAGGCTGACTGACGCAATCCTTATCTCAGGTGTGGGGACTGCTGCGTTTTGGAAGACAGTTCTACAGACAGTGCATTGGAGGTTTGCAGCAACATCCTTTTCTGTCAAGCTGAAGTAGACAAGCATGTAAGTAATCATAATATCCTGCACACAATCTATCCGCACATTCTGGCATAGTCTGACACGTGGTTTTGCCTTTCAGCTATCAGCTATCCAATTTGAACCACCACACGGAAAGTTCTTTCATGGGTACCCTTGGAAGGCTTATTGTGAAGTTCTGACCAGCCTTCAGAACTTTGCTCTCGCTGTTATCACCATAAAGTCAAGTATTCATGCTGCTTTTCAAGGCAATGCCTCACTGAGGCAGGATATGGGTGTGGAGATGAGGAACTTGCTGCATGAATGTTCAAGGTATGTCCATGCAAGAATCTGAAAAGCACAGTATCAATCAGTACTTGCCTTGCCATCATAACACCTCAATATTGTATTTCTGTACAGAGTCGTTATGATGCTAGCTGCATCCATGGAGAGTTTTATTTGGGAAGGAAGACCAGCACTGGCTTTTCTGCACTCCCAAAACGACTTATTGAAGGAGAAAGCTCTACACAGCTTGCAGCAGTGTGTACATCTCAAGTCAGCAGCGGTAGTTGAAAGCGCGTTTGTCTCTTCATGCTCTTGCTCAGACATAAGCGTCATGAGCCCAACTGCAGGGAGTACAGAATTCAAGCTGATGGACAGTTTACTCTCTCCACGCTTTGATATTCGCATGTAAGGAACGCACGTGTGCTGTCCATTCAATGCCTCCTTTTCAACCCAATCTTCATCTGTGCAATCTTTCACCGTCCACCGTTACATCCTCTCTCACTCCCTCTTACCGTACTCCCAAGCGCTTCCTCTTTTATTTCATATCCCTGGCTTACTGTTTCACTAGCTGTTTCGCTTCTCTCTGATGTGCATGGAATTTCAATCTCCCCGCCTCATCACCATTCCATTCTCCGTCAAAGTCGGAATGGTCTGCCATCTCTTGTATTAACATATTGAATCTTCATTTCTGTCCTTTGCAGGGAGCATCTGCGGCAGGCCAGGTGTTTGCACAGGTTCGAAAGATTTCTCCCTCCGACCGTAGCAAGTGCTTCAGCCTTGGACAGTGACACTGTTCCATCTGCTCTTCCTTTACTGCGTGGCCCGCTGAATTTACTTGAAGTTCTTCCCAATCTTGTCAACTTGGTTGATGCAGTGGATAACATGGCTATTGGTTGTAGATTCACTCCATCTGAGAAGAAGGAACTTGTAATTGTTGAGATATGATATGATCGTTCAAGCATGTTGAATAAGCTGTGGTATGCTGATGCATGCAACCCCAAGCTTCAGGTATTTTATGTGAGCTTCTCAACCTGTGATAAACACAACCTGTTTTTGTAACGGCAAAATGCAGTTTTGTGGTGCAAAACACAGGGGATGGATAAAAACGTCCTCTGGATAACAGAGGCACACTAGAAACTCTCTTAACAGCCAGGTTAGTAGTACGTTCAGAGGATAAGCCTGTCCATGTAAATATCTAAAGCATCAATGAACTTCTTCTGATCCATGCGGTACCTGCATGTACGCAGATCGAAGGAAAAACCGAGCCTGGAAAAGGAAATTATGCAAAGCAGATGGTTCAAGTGTGTACTGATTTTGCTAATGCAGCAGTGCCATGCATCAGTGCACTTTTAAACATTGAATTTGAGTGTACATACTTGATAGCAGTTCGCCACCGTGCTGATTTGTCCTCTGTACCCTCTGACTCTGCTCATAACATGGCAGGTGGCGAGGAAAGTGAGGCAGAAGGGAGAGGAAGGATGGGAGAGCTGTGAGGAGATAGAAGCCAGCCATCGTGTAAACTAAACCTTTGTCCCCTCTGACAATGGGATGGGAGGAACGGAGGATGGAGGGATGATGGGAGGACAGGCACGGATAAGGGAGAACACACTGCGAGGAGGAGGCGCGCTGAAACATGGAATGGAACTGATTGCACCATCCCGCTCCCCACTTCGTAGCCCGTCTTCTTCATACCCCCTTCCCGTGATGCAAAACCTCCCTGAGACTGTCATGCAACCCCCTTTTCGTGACTCACGCACAGAACTACTCAGGCTGCCCTAAAAAAAAAAAAAAATCAGAACCAACTTACCCAATACTGCTTCGTCCTCCCGTAAGGTTGTGGGAACGCCCCCAGCTGCTCCCGACAACGCCGCTGCTGCCGCCACTGCTGCTTCAGCTTTCAGCCTACCCTGTAAGAACACGAGCTTCCGACCTCCGAACCAACTCACCCAGCACTACCTCATCCTCCTCCAGGGTCGTGGGGATCGCCCCCAGCTGCTGCCGGCACTGCTGCTTCAGCTGTCAGGCTATCCTACAAGAACACGAGCTTCCAGGCTAACTCACCCAGCACTGCTTCGCCCCCCCCCAGGGTTGTGGGGAACGCCCCCGGCTGCTGCCGGCACTGTTGCTGCAGCCAGCGCTGCCACCAGCTGGTGTGGGGGCGAGGAGGGGGAGTTCATTGGGGGAGATAAAGGGGGTGAGGAGATAAAGGGAGTGAGAAGTGTGGTGGGGGAGATCATTGGGGGGTTAGAGAGAAGGAGCAGGTACAACAGTGCCGGCACCAGCGCCCCGTCCACAAAAGGGGTCTGGAGGAGAGTCACCGGCTGGTGTGGGGGAGGGGATGGGAGAACAGAGGGAACAAAAAGAGGAGGAGAGTGTGGGACATGGCAATGAACACTTCCTACAGACTGCGAGCGGTTGTACAGTCACTTGCGAATGCGATCGTGGCTTATCACGGTTATAGTCATGGATCACTTGTGTTTAGGAATCACTTATGTTCTAATCAGTTACAATAACAACCACTTCTGCTCGCCGCTTACCGGTCACTTACGATAATAATCACCTATGGTCATGGCCACTTATGGTCACAGCTACTTACGGTTGTAGTCGTAATCATCATCGGCAGCTATGAGGTCAAAGGCAGAGAGGAAGCTGTCCCAGTGGATGTGGTGTGGGGGAGGGGTGAAGACTCTTGAGATGTCTCACAATTACAGTCACACCCATGTAGTCACACACCCTCTTTCTTGGTTGCCCACGTAGTAGAAAGACGGCTCCAGGGAGACGCGCTGGGGGAGGGGAGTGGGGGAGAAGGGGGGAAGGGGGGTGCGGGATGGGGAGGGGGACGAAGAAGGGAGAGGGGGGATGTTGTTGGATGCCCACGTAGTAGAAAGACGGCTCCAGGGAGACTCGCTGCAGACAGGGGGGGGAGAAGGGGAGGCCGGGGTAATGGGGAGGGGGAAGGAGGGGAAGGGGGGGGAGAGGGGGAGGCGAAGGCAGAAGGGAAGGGTGGGATACTGAGGGTTGCCCATGTAGCAAACTTGCAGCTCCAGAAACGCGCGGTGCTGACACGGATGCAGAAGGGAGGGAAGGGGCGTGGGAAGGGGGGGTGTGGAAATGGGGGAGGGGAGAGGGGAGAGGGGAGAAAGGAGAGGGGAGAGGTGGCGGGAAAGGAGGGCGGAGGAGGTGGTTGCGAGTGGAAAGGGGAAGAACGTTTGAGGGGAATGGCAAGCGCGCCAAGCAGTTTTGCTGCCAAGAGCGCCGAGCGAGCACAGATGACATTGTGGGGCAATATAAGGGCCTTCGCAGCTGCGACAAAAAATATGACTCGCAATGTGTTGCACGGTTACCTCATCTGATGCGCTAGTGGAGGGAGGCTGGTCGGCGACGCGTGCGACGGTTTTAAAGCCTTTCGCGAAACCTTTTCGCGAATGCATCGTCGCGTGCGAAAAGCCATGCGGCAATCGCGGTAATCATGTGGTGAGAGTAATCAGATCGGCCGCGCGTGCAGCGACGAACCGAGCGAAGCCATGGCGATAATCTCGAGGTGATGGGAGAGTGCAGTAACGGGCGGCTGCAGGTGCTACGAAAGCCGTCCATACTCGATAAGCCAGATTTAATATTCGATCGACTGTATGATAGCTTCAGACCTATCAAACTTGTAGAATGATTTGCTTTTGTGACGTTGTTTAAATACTTCAAACCATACATAAGCATATAAATGCTTGCAATTCCTAAGATGATAGGCATGCACCTAAACAAAACCGCTACCCGCATGGATCACAAATATTTGGGATAGCTACCGATAGGAAGGTTGTGTTTAGAAGCGGGGAGCCACAAAAAAAAAGGCACTATTGATAACCGCCGGGTAAGTATTTCATGCGGGGGGGGCAGTGCTTTATTTTACTTAGGCTGACACAAGGCTTCCACAAAGAGTTTTGCAATGATAGCTGGCTTGGTGGGTGTAGCTTTGCACTGTAGACAGAAGGCATGCTTGTGCTCGATGCTCACTCCCCACACGCTAGCTCTGCATGCCAACAGAAAACAGAATCAAGAGAAAGGAGAGGGATTAGAATTGGAAATGGATCAGCTTGTGTGCAGAGCGTGTGAGTAGTCCATGCATTGATGTGAGGGATGCTCGCAAACATGTTCTCACTGTGAAAATGTGAACCCTAAACCTAAAACCTGGACAACCTGGGAGGGACCCTCAAGTGCAGCAGAGGGGGTACCAAGGCGCGTGTGTCACACGAAACCTGACAATGCAAAGCATGTATGCATAAACCTCACGTACGGCGAGCCGTAAGACAGTTACTTTTGAGAATTGTCAGAAGTACGGTAACACCTGGAGAATCCTGTCTGAGCATACCATTCATCTAGACCCCATCTGGTGACTACCGCTACATCCCCATCCTCTCCATTATATCTCTCCTCCCCCGGACTCGGCTCTGTGGCATTCACATCACATGCCCTCTGCTGTTTTCTCCTGAGCTCTGGCGAAATCCACCTGAGCTCCAATGAATTCACCTGAAGTCTGTGGTTTTCACCTGCAGGCGGTGCAGCTGGCGCCGGCCACGCAGTGCAGCTTCACCAGGCGAGTGCTGGAGCGGCCGTGGTAGTACCACCCCCCCACAAACGCATTTGCTCCCCTCTGATGGGTGGTGGGTGGTGGAGGGTGGGTAGGTGGTGAACAGGAGAGAAGGAAGAGAGTTCCGAGGATAAAACGTGTTAGTACCACCCACGCACAAGCGCATTCACCCCCCGTTGGAGGGTGGTGGGTGGCGTTGTGTGCGTTGAGGGTGGCGGAATGAGCGGGAGAAGGGATTTGGAGGAAGGACTTTGGAGAAGACAAGGCACTATGGCTGTTGGACTGGTGTTGACATGACAACAAAGGAAACAGAACAAACGAGAGGGGGGAAGAAAGCGGGGGAGGAGAGCGGGAGTGATCTGGGCAGCCAGGGGCGACGAGAGGGTCTTTGTAGCCATAGGTGGGGGAGAGAAGGGGACTGGCCAGGGCAGGCGGGGGGAAGGGAAGGGAGAGAAGGGAATGACCAGGGCAGGCAGAGGGGGGGAGGAGAGAGAAGGGAATGACCAGGGCAGGCAGAGGGGGGGAGGAGAGAAAAGGGAACTGACCAGGGCAGGCAGAGGGGGGGAGGAGAGAGAAGGGAATGACCAGGGCAGGCAGAGGGGGGGAGGAGAGAGAAGGGAACTGACCAGGGCAGGCAGAGGGGGGGGAGGAGAGAAGGGAATGACCAGGGCAGGCAGAGGGGGGGAGGAGAGAGAAGGGAACTGACCAGGGCAGGCAGAGGGGGGGGAGGAGAGAGAGAAGGGAACTGACCAGGGCAGGCAGAGGGGGGGAGGAGAGAGAAGGAAATGACCAGGGCAGGCAGAGGGGGGGAGGAGAGAGAAGGGAATGACCAGGGCAGGCAGAGGGGGGGGAGGAGAGAAGGGAATGACCAGGGCAGGCAGAGGGGGGGAGGAGAGAGAAGGGAACTGACCAGGGCAGGCAGAGGGGGGGAGGAGAGAGAAGGGAACTGACCAGGGCAGGCAGAGGGGGGGGAGGAGAGAGAAGGGAACTGACCAGGGCAGGCAGAGGGGGGGAGGAGAGAGAAGGAAATGACCAGGGCAGGCAGAGGGGGAGGAGGAGAGAGAGGGGAATGACCAGGGCAGGCAGAGGGGGGGGAGGAGAGAGTAGGGAATGACGAGGGCAGGCAGAGAGGTGGGGGAGACGGGGAGTGACTGACCTGGGTAGGCGCAGGGGGAAGGGCAGCGAGCAGAAAGATGTCGGCAAAGAGCTTTGGATGCCACGTGGGTGCACGGCCACAGAAGCTGATGATGGGTGGTGGGGTGATGGGGGTGATGGGGGTGACGGGGGTAATTGGGTGATGGAAGGGGTTGAAGTAATGGGTTTGGGGAGGGCGGCGAGCAGAAAGACGTTGGCAAAGAGCTTTGGATGCCACGTGGGTGCACGGCCACAGAAGCTGATGGTCGGATAGGTGGGACGGGGTGGATGGGATTGTAAGGCGGTGGGGTGATGGGGTGGTGGGTTGGTGGGGTGGTTGGGTGGTGGGAGAGTAATGGTTTGGAGGAGGGGGAGAGAGAGGGTTTAAAGGGGCAGGTGAGGTTGAGGGTGAGTTATGCACAATAGGAAGAGGACGAGAAAGAGGAAGATGAGGAAGAGGAGGAAGGTGGTGGCTCATGAGCAGAAGACAAGAGCGTGGAAGAGGGAGACCACCCAGTGCGAGTGGCCGTGAGAGGAGAACACCCAAGCAGTGACTCACGCACAAGCCAAGGACTGTGACTCACGCACAAGCCAAGGACTGTGACTCACGCACAAGCCAAGGACTGTGACTCACGCACAAGCCAAGGACTGTGACTCACGCACAAGCCAAAGACTGTGACTCGCGTGCAAACACGAGCAAGTTGGGCGGCATAACTCACGCGCAGAAGACGTGGCCGTGGAAGAGAGACACCACCCAGTGCGAGTGGCCGTCCGCCTCCTTGGTGCCAAAGCACGTGCACGCCGCTGCCGTGTCGCTGCCGTGACTGGTGTGGGCGAGGGGGAGGGGGGGAGAGGGAGAGGGAGAGGGAGAGAGAAAAGGGGCGCTCTTCAGGTGCTTGAAAGGCCTCCTTGGTGCCAAAACACGTGCACGCCGCTGCCGTGCCTGGAGTGGGCGAGGGGGAGAGGTAGTGGGAGGGAGAAGGAGAGGAAGAGCGGGGAGGGGAGAGAAGAGAGAGAGAGAGAAATAAAACACTTAATCACTTTCCCACTCTCACAGGTTAACACCACATCGCGCGATTGCCCTTCTGTGATTGCAACAAGCCAACCCCCCTCACTCGCTCATCCCTCCCATCCCACTCATCGGTATAGCCCGTGCCGCCCCCTGTTACCACATTACCAAGGTGGATGGATGTTACAGCATAACAGCACTACAGGACGTTTCCACACTTACCCAGCAGCAGTGGGCTTCCACCCTCACGGGTAGATTAGGTGAAGCCTGTTATCCAGCAGACCAACTCACTGGTACACCCCATGTGTACCCTGTTACCCTGTTACCCTGTTACCAGCCCACCCACTCACCCTGTCAGTCACCCACTCACATGTTACTGCACGTCCAGCTCGTTACCCTGTTACCAGCGCGTGCTCATACATAGACAACATGCAGCTGGTTACCCTGTTACCAGCGCACCCACTCACCGGTAAACCACGTCCAGCCTGTCCTCCTCCACCAGCGATTTCGCTCCTCCCGCCGCCCTTCCCGCTCCCATCCCGCCTCCAGCCCCCGGCGAGGCCTCAGGCCCCCCTCCCCCCACCACCACACTGCGCCGCACCATGGACCGTGCACTGATCAGCGACGCCCTTCCCGTCCCAAACCCCTTCCCCCCCACTCCGGTTCCCACTCCCATTCCCGCTCCCGCTCCCGCTCCTCCCATGCCTCCCATGCCTCCCGCTCCTCCCCCAACTCCCATTCCCCCACCCACCATCGCCCCCATCATTCCAGCCAGCCCTCCGGCCATCCCTCCCCCCGCCGCCGCCCCGCCGCGCACCTCCCGAATCTCCTCCGTATCCGAACTAGAAGTGTACCCAGCGGTGAGAGCGGCAGCAGCGGGGTTGAGAATGCCGGAAGCGGCGGCGGCGGCGGCAGCAGCGGCAGAGGCGGCGGCGGCCTTGCGCTCGTCCTTCCAGGGGAGGTGGTGCCAGGGCGAGCCGGGCGGGAGAGTGATGCCGAGAAAGTCGAGCTCGGAGCGCAGACGGAAGAAATCCTCGTCGTTCATCCAAGGGAGGGCTTCGAGACTGGAGATGGGGGGGGGGGCGAGGAAAAGGTGGCTTCATCGTTCATCCCTCTCATCCTTTGGTAATGCCATACCCGCATCACAATCCCTTACCTGTGGTACACCGTACCTGTTGTACTGCTGCTATATCTATGGTACTGCCCACACCTGTGGTACTGCCGTACCTGCACCACAATGCCGTACTTGTGCCATGGTGTTGTACCTGTGGCATGGTGCCATACCTCTAGTACACAGTGCCGTACCTGCATCACATTGCCGTACCTGCATCACATTGCCGTACCTGCATCACATTGCCGTACCTGTGGTATTGTACGACGGTGAGCACACGGGAGAAGGTGGCTTCATCACAGTCCAGCATGAACGACACCTCCTCATCCTCCAATGCATCCTCTGGCGCCTGCATGCACAGGGCACAGGGGATGGGGAATTGTGGCACCACACGTCTCAAAAGCAGTCCATCCAGTGAAGCTCAAGAGCAGTCCAGTATGAACGACGACAAGCTCAAGCTCCTCCTCCTCTGGCGCCTTTTGAGTCGACTCAAAATTCTCCTCGTCCTCTGGCGCCTTTTGAGTCGACTCAAAAGTCTCCTCGTCCTCTGGCGCCTTTTGAGTCGACTCAAAAGTCTCCTCGTCCTCTGGCGCCTTTTGAGTCGACTCAAAAGTCTCCTCGTCCTCTGGCGCCTTTTGAGTCGACTCAAAAGTCTCCTCGTCCTCTGGCGCCTTTTGAGTCGACTCAAAAGTCTCCTCGTCCTCTGGCGCCTTTTGAGTCGACTCAAAAGTCTCCTCGTCCTCTGGCGCCTTTTGAGTCGACTCAAAAGTCTCCTCGTCCTCTGGCGCCTTTTGAGTCGACTCAAAAGTCTTTTCGTCCTCTGGTGCCTTTTGAGTCGACTCAAAAGTCTCCTCGTCCTCTGGCGCCTTTTGAGTCGACTCAAAAGTCTCCTCGTCCTCTGGCGCCTGCTGTCACAGCACACGCCACAGGGTCAGTGCGGGGTTGGCTTATTTGTAAGAGTGTTATATCTACTATCACTGTTGGAGAATACCTTTTATATTATTGCTATTATTACTCTTATTCTTATTGTTATTAAACCGCATATAGTTCCGTCTCATAAATGCTGCGACAAAGGCCCAGGGTGTGATGTGGGAATGATGAATGAGATTAGATTTCTAGCGCCTGGAAAACTACGTGCACGCACGCCACACGTGAAGAGAATAAAACAAAGTTCTTATGCTTGGTGTGAGTTTGTTTGATCAGCCCAGTGCAATATGAGATTGGCGAGCAGTGAGGTGTATTTTGAGGCGCCTCAAAATAGCCCAGTGCAATATGAGATTGGCGAGCAGTGAGGTGTATTTTGAGGCGCCTCAAAATAGCCCAGTGCAATATGAGATTGGCGAGCAGTGAGGTGTATTTTGAGGCGCCTCAAAATAGCCCAGTGCAATATGAGATTGGCGAGCAGTGAGGTGTATTTTGAGGCGCCTCAAAATAGCCCAGTGCAATATGAGATTGGCAAGCAGTGAGGTGTATTTTGAGGCGCCTCAAAATAGCCCAGTGCAATATGTGATTGTAGTTGCCATGAATGAGTATGAGGGTACATTCGTATCCCGTGTCAGACACGAAGCCAGACACGAAGTTGAGTTGGGAAGACCCAAAGGGACTCGGAATGCAGGCAAATTTAGGTTCGGAAGACACAAACCGAGTCACTTTGTGTCTTCCGAAGCTTTGACCTGATGGCTGACACGCGATACGAATGTACCCTGAAGCTCCCTACCACACCACTCCACACCCACACCACACCACACCACACCACACCACACCACACCACACCACACCACACCACACCACATACGCACCAGGCCTTGCCACCAAATGCGCCACCACATCACGCCACACAACACAACGACACATCACGTCATTCCATGCCACGTCATCAGATGCCACGTCACCTGCAGCTTGCCATCTGGCGCGGTGGTCTCCAGCTGCTTGCGGAAGAAGGGGATCTTCGTGAGCAGCGTCCTGGTCACTCGGAACAGTTGCATCTGGGGGAGGTAGAGCAGGAATGAGGAGGGGGGGGGAATCATGAGAGAGGGGAAGTAGTGGGAGACACACAAGTGGGGACGTATGAGGGGGGAAAGACATGAGTGGGGGGGAGGGCATGAGGGGGAAGAAGGGAATCTTCATGAGCAGCGCCCTGGTCACTCGGAACAGTTGCATCTGGGGGGGGGGGAGAGGGAGAGGGAGGGGAGGGGGGGTGGGATGGGGGGTGGGGGGGAGCAGGTAGAATCGGGGGAGGCATGAGGGGGGATGACATAATGGGGAAGGTATGAGGAGGAAGAAAGGATCTTCATGAGCAGCGCCCTGGTCACGCAGAACAGTTGCATTTGAAAGAATGGGGGGGGCAGGCATGAGCAGGTAAGCAGCAATGGGGGATGTATGACCGGGGGAGGTATGACCGGGGGAGTATGACCGGGGGAGAATGATCGGGGGAGGTATGACTGGGGGAGGTATGACTGGGGGAGGTATGACTGGGGGAGGCACGAGAGAAAGAAGAGAATTTCCATGAGCGACGCCTTGGTCACGCAGAACAGTTGCATGGGGGGGGGGGAGATAGCAATGGGGAGGACACGAGGGTTGAGGTAGGAAGGGGGGAGGCATGAGGGGGAGACACTATGGGGGAGGCATGAAAACTCAGAGGCATAGGAGGGGGTGGAGAGAGGGGGAAGGCACAAGGGAGAGGAAGGGGGGGAGGGTGGGGGATTATGGGGGAGGCATGAAAGGGGAGACATGAAGGGGGAGACATGAGCGGGGAAGTGGCATGAGGGGTGAAGGAGCATGAAGTGGGGAGAGGCATAAGATGATGGAAGAAAATCATTAGGTCATTCGACCGAGTGGGGGAAGGGAGAGGAGATGATAAGGGCGAAGAGAAGGGAAAGGAGAAGAGAGAGAAACGAGGGGAGTGACAACAGCGCGAACTAAGGAGGAACAGGGAAACAGAGAGCAAAACATTGCAAACAATGCTACCACATTATCTCATGATGACTATGAGTACACAACTGAACCCTAATTGCTTCGTGTTACACTTTTTCGTGATTAATGTTTTTTTCTTCTTTGCATAATTCCTTCTACAGTGTTTTTATTATGAATAAACATCAAAACGCGTGCACTCCGACGCACCTTGGGCCCCACGTACACCGCGATTCCGCTGACACCAACGCTTTCCGTGAAACTCCCCACGGATCTTGACGGCGTCAGCATGGAGTTCAGTTGCGCAATTAACGAAGGTGCCGATAACGGGCGCGGCAAGCCCCCAACCTGTTGATACCCCACCAACCCCCCCGTGCTGTTGCGGCTAAACGCTTCGGCATCCTCGCTCTCGAATCCTTCAGGAAGCTTCACGTCGCTGGCGAAAGAAACCACGCGATGTGTGTTCGGCGAAAGTAACAGCCCTCGCTTGCCCCGCGCGTCGTAGCTCGTGCTCACGCGCATCGGCCGCGGCTCGTCCCCGACCGCGGCGCCTTTAACGCGCTCGTAATGCGGAGCCGTGGTGGATCGTTGCACGCGCTGCAAAGCCGGCGCCTCATCCTCGTCTTCCTCCTCCCCTTCCCCCTCCCGCTCTCCCCCGCCCCCGTCCTCCCCCTCTCCCTCGTTCCCACCCTCTACGTCTAACTCCGGTTCCGCCACCCGCTCCTTCTTCGAAGCCGCGCTCTTGCGCCCGGAAGCGGTAGGCGCGGACGAGGCGGTGGTGGAAGGTGGTTCCGCGGGTGCTGCTGCAAACTCCGCCGCGTCGCCCACGCCATCGTCCGACGCCGTGGTGACGGCGGAGGCGCACGACAGCGAGTCCGCGGAAGAGTTCGCCTTATGGCGTGACCGTCGGGAGCTACCGCTTTGCGAGCCGCCGGTACGCGCGGACTGCTCGCGGGTACTGGATTGATCTACGGCGTTAGTAGCAGTAGGCTGGTCGGGGGAGGAGGAGGAGGCATTGGAGCGAGGCGACTTGGGCACGCGGAGGCTGGCTGGCTGTGAGGCGCGCGACGAGCGCGACGAGGACGTGCCGACGGACGTGGACTTGCGCGGCTCCTTTGTGCGGACGGGCTTGAAGGAGCGGGCGCTTCCGCTCTCGCTGGAGGGGCTGGGACCCGCCGGCGGAACTAACTCCCCGTTGGCATCCACCGCTGCGCGTTACGGGGTTGTCGGATGGGTTGCGGAGCAAGGATAAGGAGCAGGGATGGGGAGCAAGGATAAGGAGCAGGGATGGGGAGCAAGGATAAGGAGCAGGGATGGGGAGCAAGGATAAGGAGCAGGGATGGGGAGCAAAGATGGACGGGAAAAACAAAAATAAGAACGTGAAGAGCGGGGGTTTGAAGGGTTCGATGACTGGCGCGACAGGCGGTGACAGGGTAGAGGACAGGAGAAGGAGAGAGGAGGGAAGGAAGTAGGGGTAACATGTCGGATGGAGGCGCGGCAAGCAGGCATGGGAAGCAGGTAAGGAGGCAGGGACGTATTAACGTGTATCACTGCAACATGGAAAGGAGGCATGGGAAACAGGTAGAAAGCTCGTGCAAAGAGAGAAAATTGCGTGACGGTCTAGAAGAGCAAAGGAGAAGAGGCAGGGCGACATGCTGGAATGGAGAGTGAGGAAGTGAAACGGCGGGAAAAGCGGGCGTGCAGCAGAGGCATTATCCTACCGTGACCGATGGTAACTGGCATTGGGCCTGACGCTTCAGCTGGCGACGCTCCTAGCACTGGCGGCAGGACTCACGGCAGAACACTGTTGCTCGCACACAAGCTTTGCAGCTGGTGGAAAGGACGGTGACTTAACCTAAAACCGCAGCTCTGACTGTACAATTTGTATGTCACGTGCAAGGACGTGGCGACCGTAGCCGATGTCACTCTCTAGGGCGTTGGCGCTCTAGGGCGTTAGCGCGAAAGATACACGTTTCGACGAATCAGGTTCAGTCATGCAGCAATGCCAACCATTGCGAGGACTATGTGGTTGGGTACGGATTGTTATGGCGTGGCGTGGTGCGCTTCTCAAACTTGGGAGAACTCCGTCGCTCTGTTTATTCCTAAGGGTGACTGACTGACTGCTGGATAGCACGCCTGTGCATGGAACCACACTTCTGAAGGCGCGAAAGGTAGCTGTGTGTGGTGGAGTGAAGTACGGACGGATAGGAGGACTACCAAACAGCATTGGCTGACACCAAGCGACTTGATGCACGGGAAGATAGGACCACTGGGTAGCTTTGGCGTTCATCGGGTGAACAAGCGGCAACGAAAAAGCGCGTAGCTTTGGCGAAAGCGACAGAGTCTCATATTCGTACTGTCTTCCAATATGGAATTCTAACAGCGCGACGACTTTCTCGACGGTACAGTAACACGACGCGGGAAATCGTCAATCTCAGTCGATTTGACGGTTGAGCGGCGCAACTTGCTCCGTCAAGTGATCGTGTAAGTGTAAGGAATTGAAATTACTTCGCGTCTAGCTTCCACAACGCGTACAACACTATTTGCCTCAAACACCTGGTCCGCGTTATTTTCATCACGTGAAATGGGTGGCTGGGTTTTGGATTATCTGGCCGTTGTGAAAATAAAGGTGCAAAACTTCGGTCTATATTTTCACCACCAAATATCTTACCAGCATGGAAAGTTATGACACTACCCCGCGAAAGGAACACTTTATTCTTTATCAGCATCGATTTCGTTCAAGCAGAAACATCGACCGTGACGATTTTGTCAAAAAAAAAAATGTCCAAAGTGAACGTTGATATCCCTCGACAAAACTACGCGAGGTGTCGGTAAATCCCACCCTTGGATTGGGGGTTCTGGCCAGCAGGATTGACCGAGACCCCTCAAAAGTTTTGTCGAGGGATGCCGATGTCCACTTCGGACACCGCCTGATGGAAACGTCGCGGTACTGTCTTTTTCCAAAATGGGTGATTCTCGTCAGTGCGCTTGCCCCTTTCATGGCGTCAGCTGAATTAAAAAGGGGCTCGGCAATTCTCCCACTTAGTTTGGTCAACTGTGAACTTTGATTTCTGGCCGCCTGTTACGAGTGCAATTGAGTGAGCGAGCGAGGATTGCACTATCGAGACAAGAATCCAATGAGCGAAGGAATGAGCGAAGAATATATAGCGAAACTACGGTGGTAACGGTAACGTGGGAAAATGGGGTGCGCGACGGGCCTAATGCCGAGGTTTGGGGAACTGTCGGGGCGGAGGTCCGGAGCGCAGGTTACCAACCGAACCGTGAGGTTGGGTCGCATCGTGAACAGTGGCGGGAATGGTGTCGAGGCGAATGTCGCGAGTGGTAACGGAATGTTGTGGGGTGCTGTCTGTGTTGTACGCGATGAGCAGGAAAAGGAATTTTCCTTACACTACCCCCCCCCTCTTCAAAGGAGGCCTCCCTTACGAGAGCGCGTGTATATCTCGGAAATTTCTGTTGCGCAGGTACTCGTTGAGGACGGGGTGGTTTTCGATTTTGTCCAGTGGAACCCAGTTGTCCTCGGTGGGCGTGCGGTCTCTCCAGCGGATGAGAAATTCGACCCTTCGGGCTCCTCATAAATCACGAACGCGGTGGCTCAGGATTTTTTCGGCCGTGATGACTGGCTCGGTCGGTGGTCGGGTCATGCTGGCTGGGCGATGTCGGGCCAGTTGGCTGGTGGATGGGATGTAGGGGCGAAGCAGGCTGACGTGGAAGGAGGGGCTGGCGTACCAGTCAACGGGGAGGAGGAAGTGGGCGGTGACCGGTGTGATCATGTGGCTGATGCGAAATGGCCTGCAATATCGGGGGCGGAGTTTCGGAGTTATGGGTAGGCGGAGGTTTTGGGTGTCGAGTAGAACTAAGTCGTCGGGTTGGTAAGTGACGGGTCTGCGGTGGCGGTCGGCGTTGCGCTTAGCGATAACATTGGCCTTTTTAATTGCGTCTGCTGCCCTGGTCCGTGCTTCCTGTAGGACTTCTGCGAATTGTTGCGCTCGTGGCACCGGGTTGTCGGGATTCGGGGTCATGGGTACTGTAGGGTCTTGTCCGTAGTTCAGGTCAAATGGTGACTGTTGGGTCGTGGCGGATGGCGAGTTGTTGTACGCGAATTCGATTAGTGGCAGTTGCTGTTCCCACGTGGTGGGGTCGTCGCACGTGGCTCGGATTAACTGTTCCATGGTCTGATTTGTCCGTTCTGTCTGTCCGTCGGTTTCGGGTGTTAGAGTGTGAACGAATGAAATGATTGAACTAGAAAGCAGGTGGGTACATATAGGAAACCTAAAATTGTTGTACCCTGTAAGAACTACCCCACTACAGCCTAAACAAACTATAGAATATAAGTTTGACACACCCCCATAGGCAAAGTGGGGGAGAACAAGAGGTCACAAGACCAGTCAAGAAAGGCAAAGCAAGCTCAGGGTGGATCACAAAGTCACCACGCAGTCTGAGCACAAGCAAATGGCCACAAGGCCAGTTCACATGCAGAGTTATATAAAGGAGAACAAACAATTTAGTGAACACAACCTAGCAAGTGTAAGCATGCAGGTATCTGTATGAAGAGTACAGTACAGGCAGAGTCAAGAAGAAAGCAATTGAGGCACAGTAGGTACAAGGCCTAACACAGTACAAAAACGCTGATGATCACAAGGCTGAAGTGCCTTGGTGAAAACATCAGCAGAGTTGGCCTGAGAGGCCACGTAAGCAAGACGAAGCTGGCCACGCTGCCGCAACTCTCGAGCAAGGAAGTAGCGCAGAGCAATGTGCTTCGTTCTGTGCTCCAGTCTGTGCTCCTGACACAAGGCCAGCATGGCCTTGTTGTCGACGTACAGAACTGGAGGAGAACAAGGCGCCTCTCCCAAGTCGGTCAGCAGGTAGGTGAGCTAGCGTAGCTCCTGTGCAGCCATGGCCCCAGCGTAGATCTCAGCCTCACAGCTGGAGCTGAGAACAGAAGAAGAGCGGGTAGACCGCCAAGAGACAGAACCGGAGCCAAGACTGAAGGTGTAACCCTGTGACGACCGCTGCGTAGCCAAGTCGTCAACCCAGGAGGCGTCAGCGTGACCAATGAGGACAACTCGAGCCCGTCCTCCAAGCACGAGCCCCATGCCCGATGTACTGCACAAGTATCGCAACACCCTCTTCGCAGCATCCCAGTGCACCTTTCGGTGCCTGCCGGGAGCCACGTAGCGAGCCAGAAGGCTGAGAGGGTATGCGAGGTCAGGTCGTGTGCAAGTCATCAGGTACATGAGGCAGCCCACAAGCTCTGGATACGGGCCACTCGGCTCTACGGACTCGTCCGAAGGTGGAGCTGAGAGCAAGTGACCGGTAGGCAGAGGAGTGGACTGTGGCGAGGAGTACGTGAAGCCGAAGCGCTGAAAGACCTGCTGCACCATGTGTGACTGAGTCAGGGTAATGGTGCGCTGTGCTCTGTCCCTAGTGATCCGCAAGCCAAGATAGCTTGTCAGCTCACCCAAGTCTGTGCACGTGTGTCTCTTCTGCAGCTCGGACTTCACGTGGGCGAGTGCCTCAGTGTCAGCAGTAGCAAAGACGAGGTCGTCTACGTACACGAGAACGTAGAACGGCGGCAGAGTAGTGTCAGTGCGTAAAAACAGAGAAGGGTCAGAAGTGGAAGGAGCAAAACCAAGAGCAGCAAGAGTCGTCCTCAGTGTGTCGTGTCACTCACGGGGTGCCTGACGGAGACCGTAGACTGGCCGTCGGAGGCTCCACTGGGTACCAGCTGGAAACGACCCAGTGAAGCCAGGTGGGCGGCGCAGCCAGATCTCATCGTGTAGGCTGCCCTGTAGGAAGGCTGTGCTGAAGTCAAGCGAGTGGAGCTCGTAGTCACGCTGAGCAGCTACGTGCAGCAGTACCCGAAGAGTGGTCATCTTCGGGGTAGGGGAGAAGGTCTGGAAGAAGTCAACTCCCTGTCGCTGACTGAAGCCACGTGCAACGTAACGCGCCTTGAAGACAGGCGGAGAACCCGGCGGCCGCTTCACCCTGAAGATCCACATGCCACTGACGATGTTCGCCCCAGGCGGGGGAACCTCGTCGACGTAGGTGCCTGTGGACTTCCAGGAAGCCATCTCGGCGTCCATGGCTGCCTGCCACTGAGAGGAGTAGGGACCCTCTATCGCCTCTGCGTAAGAGCGCGGGGTCGGGATGTCTGGTGCATCCGGGTCTCCCTCAGGGGCAAGCAGCATGGACACGAGATGAGGTACAAAAGCAGCAAAGCACTCAAACTCCTCCTGTCTGTCCTCAAGAACGTCCGTGCCAAGAGCACACTCACCCCCGACGGACGGAGGACAGACAGACACAGACACAGACTCAGCAAAAAGACTAGTGGCGTAGTCTAGGCGACAGGCTGCAGCAAAGTCAACAAGCTCAGTAACAAGAGCAGACGCAGCAGTGGACTCAAACAAAGGGTCAGTGACAGCAGTGGCCAGAAAACGCGTGACAGCTGGACTAGCAGCACGTAGGGAGTCAGACGCAGGGTCCGGACCGTCAGGAAGAGAGGACGCAGGAGGAGACGGCAAAGGGACACGCTGCGGAGCAGTGGAAGGACGCAGAGTCATAGAGTGAGTGCCAGGGACAGGAGGAGGACGCGGACGCGAAACACGACCAGCGCGAACAGTATGGACAGGCGACGCAGAACGAGACGCAGGCGACACAGGACGAGACTCAGGCTCACGACGCTCCGTAAGACCTCTAGTCGGTCCAGAGTAAGGAGAAGGACC